GCACATGTAGCTGCAGGTTACAAACATGTTTTCCAGAGGTCTTGTTTGTTGTAAACAACTTACTTTGTCAGTTGATAAAGAATTGAAAACTCGAGGGGTCATACATGTACATGTAAGTATTATTATTGGACGTTTAGAGCAGACAGACAAACAAACAGATTAGCCAGACAAACAGACGACTAGGCAGGCAAAACAAGAAAACAAAGCACACTCTTACATGAACAGACTTGGGTGGACAGCCATTCCGATATACACACACGCGCAAGCACGCACGCATACACATACACGGACTTGGGCTGATAGACAGACAAACAGACAGACAAGCAGACAGAAGTTCCGCAAAAGCTTGACACGCCAGCACAGTCCTGGTCAAATAATAATAATAATAATAATAATAATATTAACTGGTTTGAGGGGAAAGACACAAACGGGAAATAATAATAATAATAATGACAGTTCGCATATCACTCATTGCATGAGGTCAACGCATCTGTTAACAATTTCGAGCCAAGCAGCTCTATCAGAAGCAGATTGCACAGCATCCAGAAGCGACAGATTAATGCATTGTAAGTCTTTTTTGACAACGTCGATCCATCTCAGACGTGGTCGTCCTCGGGGTCGTCGTATGTCTGTTGTGTTGATTGACATTAGGAGGGCTTGGAAAGAGGACGATTCTTCGCCTTCCCTCACTACATGGCCGAACCACAGCAGTATCCGTTGCCTGCAGACTTGGGATAGTGGGGTCTGCTCGGTTCTGGCATACAGCGCTGTGTTCGAGATTCGTTGTGGGTACGCGATACCAATGATGGTACGTAGTTTCTCCCGGTGTCATACACTGACGACGTCGGTTAATGTTTGCGATAAGGTCCAAAGCGCACAATTGTACAGCAAGACAGGCAATATCAGGCAGGAAAACATACACAGCCTGGAATTCAGGTTGTGGCGTTTCCATGGAATGCTTGCAAATGCCCGATTTGCAGCAGACACTCTGGCTGCTATGTCTTCTGCTGTGCCTAGCATACTCCCCAGCAGCTTCACCGATTTCCAGGAATCATCTTCCTTGGTCACAGTGAAATATTGAGTTTTTGCCACGTTAAGCTTCAGATTGTCATCCGAGAAAACGGGTTCACACACACGGACGGTTTCTTCCACAGATGATCGCTCGTTCTGATGGGCAGTGGTGTCGTCTGCGTATTGTGTGAAAGTTGCTGGTAGGTCTGACGCGGGTAGAGCTTGCGCTCGGATCTTACGCATGGAACCTTCGGCGTAAGTTATAAACATTATTGGTGACATTGGGTCGCCCTGGACGACGCCGATGTTCGTTGGAAATGGTTTGCTTAGTTGTTTACCAAGCTTCGTGCGGGCTGTTGTGTTTGATACTAGGACTGCAGTGGTGGACGTTGGTGCGCCAGCAGTGGCTAACCTCTCCAGAGCAACCTGACGAATGACAGTGTCAAACGCACCGCTGAAGTCCAATACTCAGCAATAGTGCCGATGAATATGACCAGTCGCCAAGTAGTGCGCGCTCACACATCGTCCTGGCGTAAAAGACACCATCCGTGGTCGATCTGCCAGGGCGGAAACCAGCTTGGCTCTCTGCCACATATGACTGCACATGGAGTGTGTGTCGTCTGGTGAGTATTGACGTCAAGATCTTACGGACGACGGAAAGGAGCATAACGGGGCGGTAGCTTTTTGGATGTCCTAGAGGCTTGCCGGCTTTGTAGATGGGAACGATGAGGCCGCAGCGCATGTCGTCAGGACAGTACTCTGTAGCTTGAACAGCGTTGAAGAAGTTCGTCAGCCAGGGTGCGAAAAGGTTTTTAGCTGACTTCAAAGCATCAGCACTGATACCATCAGGACCGACAGTACCACCAGACTTCTGCTTGATAATTGCGGACCGTACTTCTTCGATTGTGAATGGATCTTCCTCATTCGATTGCTGCCTGAGGTCGAGTGGCTGGCCATCAGTGTAAAATACCGATTCATAATATTCATTTTAAAAGGCATTAACCCTTTCACGGTCTCAGAATCCAGTCAAAATGAGGCTATTTACAGAATTCAACAATTTCGTACCTTGATTCATCCATAACTTCAGTTTCCCTTCGCTGATTTTCATGATCTTGGGCTCTCTGGAAAGCTCTGGACACGAGCAACACGCCGAGCTACAATTCGACACCAAGCGTGCCGTGGATCCAGCGCTGCAGCGCAGCGACATCGCCCCAGTGCTTGATTCACGACGAGAAACAAGATTCAACAGCCATTTCCCTCTCCTTGCTCACATCGAGCTCACATTTTTTGTGAGGAGTGCTGCGAGTCCATACTCTCATTTGAATCCGTGTCTCTATGGCGACAGCTAGCTGCAAAGGGAAAAACCCGTCCTCAAGACCCAGCTCGCCCACTCAAATCGCAAATGAGCCGTGACGCAGATCGCGAGCTTCGTAGCATCGCAGCCGTTCACTCTATCGCTTCGGCGATTGTTCCTACGGATAGCCTGGAGCTTTCTCTTCAACCTAGATATTTAGATGTTCGAATTTGCTCAAAAATTGACTGAGTTACGATAGTTTGAAAAAATCGATCACCGGTGATCGATTTTCAAATGTGAGACCGTAAAAGGGTTAAGATTCCATGGGATGTCTGCCATGATTCTGCCGTCTGCGTCAGCAAGACGCACAGGCGCAGCCTTCTTCCCAGAGCGTAGTTGGCGTAAGTTGTTGATGGCGCTGAAGTAGGACCGTGGGTCAGGGCGTAAAGCATCTACTTCAACAGCCTTACGTTGCCAATATTGCTCGCCCTCCTTCTGTAGTATCCTTCGAATCTCGTGGAGTTTTGCAGATCTTTCAATCTTTAAAGCTTTACGTTGCTCTGGATCAGGTTCAGCGTTTATGCGGCAGTGCAGATTCTTCTGTCCAGTGGATAAGGATGCAACGCGAGGGTTCGTGCTTGCTTTCGGAGCAGAACCAGTGGGCACTTTCCCGAATGCATCCTGCGCTGCATCATGCGTAGCCCAGACGAATCCACGCCACGCCTTATCCACGGAGTCATTGTCGATGTTTGCGGAGAGTGGAAGTAGAGAAGGTAACTTCTCCTTGAGACGGTCGCAGAACAGTTTCGACGATTCAGCGGTTGGACGGTTATAGCGATTGAAACATGGGTCTTGTTGTTTGTTGTCCTGGCCAAAGGATTCCTAAAATTCAACGGAGGATACAGAAGCAGACAAACAGACAGGCAGGCAGGCAGACAGACAGACAATTAGACTGAAGAAAAAAAGGACTGTCGGGACACCCTTTGTAAAGTCTCGCTGTAACCATTGACATTCTCTCTCAGCCTAAAGAGGTCCCAGGTTCCAGCAAGCGTCACCGAATAGCAATATAATACATGAATAGACACTGCAACACCAATGACGTGACAACGTTGTTGTCATCACACTATAGTGTATCATACATGTACACATCTCGTTCACACTATACATTCTTGTAGTTTTGCAAAGTGTCCACGCCTTAGCTTGCCTAGGTCCGACACCCATCCGGTGGCCCGTGTGGGGATTGTTCTCATGGTGGTGAGCGGGGAACAAGGGAGGAGCGTGACGTCAGCAAGTTCTCCAAAATACTCTACGTGTCTGTGCCGATTGCTTGTGGCTGGCTGATGACACCTCCTTTCTGTGAGCGCAAGACACTGGAGGTGTTGAAAGTAAGTTGGTCTCTCTGCCTGATCGCAGTTTTCCGTGCAACTTGTGGGCCTGAACAAGTGAACATAAGGCAGGGTGCGATGTCATGTGGTGTTCAGACTTGGGCTACCTTCCCCTATGAACCAATACAAGAGTAGCATACTACTAATCTATTATTAATTTTTGGTTGACAGCATGTTACAAGGTGGAGGACCACTGACTGTGTTCGGAAACAGTGCTCCTTACTACACCCATCCGCCATTGTCCACTATTGCCACTATTGGCACATGTTTTCCACAAAACAAGGTTTATCTAATACATGTATAATCTATTATTCTAAAGCCGTTTGTACGGGCAAAAAGAAATAGATTGAGTAATCTCTTATGCTTGCATGGTTATACTGTTATATTTGTAGTGCATAATATGCAAGCACCGGTGCTGGGACGCCTTGCCCTCGCGCGAACCTAAATGATTATGTAGCTAGCCAGCCAAGCACATGTAGCGAACCGTCAACACTGCTGCTAGCTGGCCGGACTAGACTTCCTGGTACTCCTGGAAGACATGTGGATCTGCAAAAGGAAGAGGATTACAGAATGCTGGCCAAGAATGCTCACTTCCTGAACATACTAGCGTTGCTTCAGAAGGCCGGCGGCACATGGTCACTACTGAACTAAGTTTTGCTAACGTTAGTACAATCATGTACTAGCGACAAGAGAACCGTCTTAGCAAGAGTGCATGGCTTTTTGTACTCTTGAGTCTTTGTGCTAGTTAGGGGTCTGGATGTGCACCTTTGCGGCTTTAGAGTATGGGCCTACTTCTTCCTGACAATGTCAAATTGTACTAGCAATATTGCGGCAGCGTGATACAACTGATGTAAATAGATGTAAGTAGTCAGACCTTGACTTGGGCATGATCCTATCCCATCCATGCACAGTATCCATAATGGAGTAATGGAGTTGGCACGCATGGACTGACGGCCAGGCGATGTGCCGATGATCGTAGCACGGTTCGTTGCCCGACGAAGCATGGCCCTCGCGCGATCGCGGCCATAACTACCTGCCAACACTCAACAGCTAGCACCACTGCCTGTGTGAGTGTGCTGCGGCGGTGGAAACTGCCAGCAGCGACACACGGCAACCTCACCACACGCACTATTACTGTTAGTAGTGTTACATTGTGGTCATGCTGGCATATCGCAGTCAACTGGACCTACATGTAGATAGAATACCCTGACTGAGTGTAGCCTCACACCGATGAGTCCCATGCATGCATCCTTCATCACACGGCATAAGTAAGACGTTAGTTGCACAGTTATACAGTCATGTAGTCACACGAATCTCTCTACGACTGTGTTCCACGCGGTCACTGCACACGGGTACGGAACAAGCCGATGCATCGATGGACACCAGCATCGACCAGATAGTGACACACAGTGACACACATAATCGCAACACGTCTTATGTCGGCTGAGGTGGAACACCGCTGAAGACTTGTAGCAAGCAGACTAGTCCAACAAAGCAGTTCACCGTCAAATGAACCCTTGCCTAGCTAGTGATTTCCATCCGTTTTCATCCTAACGTTCCATTGGCACTAGAAGTTCGTAGTGGTGGTGGCTTTCGTGGTCGTGGCTTTCGTGGTCGTGTTGACAAACTATCGTCACCGGAAGTGCAGTGAGCTCGTGGTGAACGCGTCCGCTTGGCGAGGAAGAACAGGAGTCGGGAGTCGAAATCATGGGTCTTCGAGAGAATCGGCTCGTTTTGAAATGGGCGCTATTCTTCTTCAACATTCTCTTTTGGGTAAGCTCGGGGCCGCGGTTGCGATGAGGTTGTACGTGCCTGACGTTTGTGATGCCGTGCCAAGTGGTGCGACTGGAATGCCCCCGATACTGCCTTCTTTCATCTTTGGTTACCCGACGGGCGGGGGTGATGGGTCTGTCTTCATGAGCACACCACGTAAAACGGCACTATGATTATGCTAAAGCTGCTCGTGTAGGAAGTACACAAGCTGTTACAAGACTTAGTGTTTGCACAACATCGATCGCTTAGGACTTGCAATGGGATGTCAACAGTTTTGTAGCAATGGCCATAGGTCGCTTGAAGCTGTCCCCTCTGTACTGCGCCTGGCTATGGGGCGGCAAAGAGAGCCCCTTTACTTTTTGTAACTTTTATGACTTGTAACGATTTTTACAGAACATGGGATTACGTACACACGGCAGAGGCGGTGCTACGGCCAGCCATCCTGGAAAGAATTTACTCTGGGGGTAGAACAAGTCTAGTGTGTGTGTGTGGGGGTGTACCTGGGGAAAAGAGCGGTGCCCTAGTGACCATGGTGTGTCCACACCCCAGCTTAGTACTATAGTAGGCCTCTAAAACAATCCTCTAGACTAAAGAGTACAACTGATGAGTCCCATTGGTTGAATCCGCCATTATGGTATCCTGCATGTTGAGAATACACCCTTGAAGATGGTGATGCCACTCACCATGCGCTCATGTCTGCTTTCAGACTGCACTGAGATCAGACCAGCATGCAAGTCCCAGTATCTGCAGCAGTCTCCGTGCATTCTCCTATTGCTGCTGACATCCATCTCTTGTGCGTGTCTGTCCATTGCAGGTTCTTGGAATAGCAGTGTTTGGTGTCGGCATCTATGTGAAGGTACAGCTTTGCCATTGCAGCTAGTGCACCGTGGTTTCATGTGAAATAACCCACTTCACTGCATACAGTCATGTACATGTACAGGTATATGCTGCACTTCGAGACTTTTTCTCGAAATCTACAAGAAATCTTGCCTTCAACCTACTGTAACTGAACCTAAACAATCTTGTACTAAAAAACAAATGCAAACTTCAATGTGACATACTACTTCTAGGCCACTGAGGCTGCACCTACACTGGTTCAGCTAACTAAATGATGTACACGCATGTACATGTACCAAAATACGGAAAAGCGTATACGGTAACGGTATAGTGCTCAGCCAATACATTCAACTTCACACTGATACTGATGACAGTATACCGTTACGTTCACTCACCATTCCAATTAAGTTGAAGTAGCCGTGTGTATTACAATCACACTGCACATTAACTGGATCCTCGGACTTACAAGAGCTAAACCGGACATTTTGCAGTTTGGAAGGGGACAGAAAGTGCATTTCTTCATGCGCCAGGGAATGCGCCTAGATGTGGGTATGTATGACAATCCGTAGCGCCAGCACTTGGCTAAGTCGTATGACCTCATTTCCCTGGGCTCATTCCCGTCACACTGCATGCTATGCAAAACACGCTGGGTATCACATGAAAAGCCGTGTCATTGACCTGAGCGTCCTATGACGTCCAAACTCCAAACGCCTGAAAGGGTTCAACATGAATGCTTTTTGTACAGTCACGATAATTATTATTGACACAGTTTGTACACTCAATCTGTGGACAGCACTGTGCCGTGATATTGTACATACCGGTGTACTTGTTCCTCTGCCGCCGGCACTGTGTATTGTGCAGACTGACCACAGCGACTACGCAATCATCATGGACGAGCACAGTAACGGCTACAGTGGAACGCTGATCGCGGTCGGTGCCATCGTCATGGTGGTGGGGCTGGTCGGTTGCATTGGCACGCTCAAGGAGAACAGAACTCTTCTTGTGGTGGTAAGCTACATCATAGCGCTGTGTGTCTGTGGGCATGGCTGCATGATAGGCACCGGCGGATAATACTAGTTATATGTGGAAATTGTGCTAGTAGCACTGCTAGTTATTTGGATCTATTGTGCTAGTTATAATGCTAGCAGTGCTGATAGTGCTACAAAATTGCTATCCTTGCGGTGGGAAATAATGATTTCCCTATGCAGTCACTCGGAATAGGGCAATATCGCAGGGCGAACACGGTGAAAAAATGCTTACACTTTCATTACATCAGTACAGAGGGCTTCCAGCGCTGCAGGGAGCAGCAGTGTGTCTCTCTGCGCTCTAAATATAGTGCTACTTTTCACGGTGGTGGCAACAGACTGGACATAGTGCTAGTTTCACACATCGATTGTGCTAGACAAGGTCACATTTGGAGAATTTATGCCAGGACAGTGCCGGTCTTCCCCACATAGGTCATTATGCTAGCTATTGTGCTAGCATTATCCGCCGGCGCCTACTGCATGACATTCATTCAAAATTAAAGAAAACGCGAAATACATGCGATTGCCGCGAAACCGGGAAATCCCCAAATTGCATCCATCCCGCAGCTCACACAACTGTCGCAGCTTTCGAAATTCGATGAGTTGTATGAGGTCGATCTTCTTTGCAGCAAAGTTGTACAAAATGTTCAATTGTTGCTTCTAGATTTGTAAAAGTTGTACCAAGCCACGCGAATACCATGATGATGTACTTACTCACCTGCATCGTTGAACTTCGCGCCAAATCAGCAAGGCGATATCACATCGCTGACTTCTTATGTGACTGGCATTTCGCGAGTTTGCATCGCACGCCACCGTCGCAGATCACGTCACCTCGCGCATCGCATCGTAAAAAAGCTTCTGTGAATCCCGCTTTTTTGAATATCCTCCAACGGCAGATCCAGCGATCTCTACAGGAGGGTTCAAGTATAGTCAAAACTGAATAGCTGATACGTGTACACAGACACTCCTATGGTTGCCAGTAGTACATTTAGGAAATTTAGGGGTTCCGCGGAACCCTTGGAACCCCTCCTGGATCCGCCCCTGTCCTCTATCTAACTGGCTCTGAACTCATGCTGCAGTGAAACAGTGTGCGGCTAGAACATGAAAAATCAAACCTGTCCAGCTTCATCCTATTCCGTGTGGATTGGCCATGGTGGCATGCTGATGTTGACTCACCTCTCTTCTGCTGCTTTTTGTTTCCATTGTTGTCATTGTCATCGCTGCTGCTGCTGCTGTTTCTGCTGCTGTTGATGATGTCGGTTTTTCTGCCATCACGGTCGCCATTGCTGTGCTTCAGTATGCCTCCTTGGTGTCGCTGATTTTCATTTTGGAATGTGTGGCAGGCGGCCTTGGCTATCAATTTCGTGACAAAGTAAGTCGATCTTTCAGTCCCCGGCCACCCCCCCCCCCCCCCCTCCACATTGTTTTCCCAGTATGTGAGTGGGCTTTACTCACATAGTTCAAGATTCCAGGTTCGCGTAGAGTTAAGGTCAATTCACAATATCACTTATTGCGACACGACATGCGACTTGCAACACCAGCGACGAGCTGCAACCGTGACACACGATTCACTATATTTTAGGTTTTTGCGACAACCCTGTTCTATTCATGCACTGTGCACGTGCACTGCACGTGCATACAGAGTAGAAAACTATACTCCATTTGTGTGCAGCGTGCGTTGCACGTTGCAAAAATTGAACTTTGGTCAACTTCTCCGGCAGCGACCTTGCTACTCCTTGCGACAGTATGCGACAGGCATTTCCTTGTCGCAAGTGTCATGTGTCGCACATTGCACTGGAGAAAGTGATATATCGTGAATGAGCCTTTATGTTCACATCTACATGTAGTAGGAGTCCATTAGGAAGAGACAAACTTTAACCATTTCAAATAGAATATGACTTGTACTGGGCCCACAGCAAGGATCACTAGCGGTCAGCTGCTGTCTCAAAGTAGACCGTACATGATGTCATGCACCCTGCTGTTCCCTGCTACAGCTGAGAGATGAAGTCATCAAAGGCATGAACACCACCATTGCCAAGTACGACCCAGCGGTCAACAACAGAATCCGCAATGCGTGGAAAAGCGTGCAAGCAGAGGTAAGCGCCACAGAACATTACGTCACGGTATTAGGGAGGTTTAGTTCCCACGTAACGGAAGCGCGTACGTGGGTGATCCACGTAAAGTGGATGAAGGGCACCCATGTTGCAATGTTGTGTTTAGTCAGACGGAACAAACAAAAGCATGAAGCGAAAGGCCCAAACCTGGTCAAAGACGAAGCTACCCGGGCCTAAGAAGCTCATCCAATATTTTGATTTCGTACTTCGGAAACTTCTTCAGCTGAGCACCCTTACAGCTCTCACAATGCGCTCCATTCTGATTTTCACCCATGTTCTGGCGGAACGTGGGTGAGCCTCCATACACGGTATGTCGTGAATCAGAAAACGTCTGTACATGGGTCACTGAGTATCACGTGGTACACACACGTAAAGTACCCACGGATTACGTGGGACTAAACCTCCCTATTGCCCCGTACCTAGATACACCCGTATGGAATGTATGCATATGGAATGTATATAGAATGCAACACAATTTCATGTAACTACGAACCAGCAAAGGCGGCCAGGAGGACATAAACGATTTATCTCAGATGGCCCAATCAAAATGTTGAAGGACATGTTTGTGAAATAGCATTTCAACTCTAGAATGTGCATGAATGTGGCTCCCTCTATCACCAGGGCATTATTATACACACACCTGCTATGAAAGTTCCTGCCCCCCCCCCCCCATTCACTGCTGGATGTTTAGGACTAATCAAAATGTTGGCAGTTGAACAAAAGCACACCTAAACAAGGTACAAGACTGAAGCCTTGAAGCTCGGCATAACAAAGCAGCAAAGCCAAGCCATTTACATTGTACAGTCTGTATCGGCTACAGAGTGACCAGATATAAGAATATATCGGCTAAAGTAATAATTATTGGTACGAAATATCAAAAGCAAAACGTATTTTATCCAGTAAAAATATCACTATAACCAATATTATCGGATGTAATGATATATCGGATATTATGATGGCAACACAGAATCAAAACATGCATAACACACTATAATATCGGCTATAGTGATAACTTTAAAATACATGTAGCAATAATATCAAAGGCCCTATTTTTTTTTACTTTCTTCACGTTGCTTATTTTTATAGTGATGCATTCACATGAACATAACAGAATTTTTTATGGAAATGCAGGCACTGTCAACTATGCAGCATGTTCATTTGTCAAAACGCCATGTTGGAAGTATTTCCTTGCCTTTCATGTGTCGATCGAAAAAAATTCAAAATCGATCGTATCGCATATAGTGATGCATCGGTTATAGTGATAAAATCACGGAAATCAAAAGGGTACGCTATAGCCAATACAGACTGTACATCAGCCAACAAATCCAAGTTACAGGTCGTCCCTCGTTAATGCATAATCTCTGGGGCTTGACAAATGTTATGTATTAACGGGGTTTATGTACTAAACGAAAGTGTACATAACTTGCTTGTGTACCAGAAGTTTTCACTTTTTCAACTTTTCTGAGTTTCTTGCTACCATGACTAGGCAGCGAGATATTCTTGATTCCCTCAATTTAACATAAAATTACAATAGCGAGAGTTCCCAGATTGCCTAGAGTGCTCAACACCACAAGGATGGAGCATTACCACAAAAGGCAGAAGAGAATAGATACAGCCGGCTAGGTCATTGTTGTAACGCTGCGTTTCATGCACATAGCAAAGCTAAGGCAATCCTCAGACAACTGATAACCTGTACATCATCTAATTATGTTATAACGGTCACAGTTAGCGAAGATTCTTCAGTTTACATGATACATGCCCAGCCGCACCTGTACAGTCACTCGGAAAAAAACAGAGCTTTGTCGGTTTGTGATGTGCGCTCTGATTTCTGAGCTAATTGCGTCCACAAGTAGAAACTAGAACACGATGTGCCTCCACTGGAAGGTGAAAAGACCAACAAATTGTGTACTATTGAGGTAGGTGGCATGCGGGTACGGAGAAATGTTATGTACTAAGGGGTCGTCCACAAATATCGATGTTTTTTTAGAGAAGATATTCGTTCGTTTGGGGGGGGGGGGGAGGGGGTTTGGGCCCTGTTCGTCTCTTTTGCAGAAAAAAATATCGAACTCTATCTATGGACGGGCGCGCTGTTCGAACATGTAGTTTATGACCTTCACAAAGTGAAAGTCAACCTCGTGAGCATAGCTATGGCAAGGTTGTGCGACCGTGGCAACATAAACCTAGGTGTATGGTGAAATTAGAGTGGCAGCTGGTCACGTTCCATGAGGAAATTGAACTTAATTAAAAAATATCGATCCCTTGCATAAACATGCGTATGTTCGTTTTGAGGGGGGAGGGAGGGGGTCTAGGGAGAAATGAACAAATATCGTAACATCGATATTTACGGACGGCCCATAACGGGGTTTATGAACTAACAAATTATGTACTAGCCGACACAATTTGTATGGAAGTGACCACGTTTCGTCCGGGACTTGATTTCTTATGTACTAACGAGGTTTGTGTACTAACCGGACTCGTATTAACGGGGGACGACCTGTACCTTCTACCATTTAGCCGCCAGAATGGGGACTGGTTGCAAGCTGAGTCCGTCACATGACTTGTGCCATTCAGCTGCTCCGCCGGATGGCAGCTATCATGAAGACTAATTTTCAAAAGCAATGTAGTGACAAGGGTACGTCCTCAAATCAGGGGTACACAGTATGCCACTACAACATGTCCCTGAGCATCAGCTGGCAAGTGGCCATTAACTCCGAAGTGTGACGTCACAGGTTGTTGAGAACTTTCAACTTTGTAGTAACTGGGTTCATGTATACAACCAACGCGTGCATTAGCACAGGGTGGTAACGTTTTCTTCTTCCACTGAAACTCTGTTCCCGGCCGAGTCCAATTTTTTGACTGAGTAGAATAAGTCGGCCCAGCTCATGTTCGAATCCGATGTTTGAACACCAGGCACAGTCCTGACCTCAGTACATCAGCACGTGTTGACCAAGCACCCTTACTTGTTGACGTGGGCAAGATGTGAGCTTGACGGGAAAAGGACCCGTTGTGAAAGAAGGCTGTTGCCTTCTCCAATGAACCTGAGCGATTGCGCTCGAGGGAACTTATCTGTTAAGTACATTAGTGCATGCATAGTGCAGCGATGGTAACTCAAAATGTCTGATTGGAAGGAAGTTGTGGGCTAGTTGTCTAGCAAAGTATGCAATACCCCCTCCTCCCTACACACACACACACACACACACACACACACACACACACACACACACACACACACACACACACACACACACACACACACACACACACTACTACTACTACTACTACTACTACTACTACTACTACTACTACTACTACTACTACTACTACTACTACTACTACTACTACTCAAAATCTTTATTTGAAAGAACCCGAAGTTATAAATATGGAAAAAGAACAAAAACGAAAAAGAGATTCAAAGCAAAACAATGATGAAGGCAATTCAAAATCAATAATCAGAGAAGGTAGCGAGAAAACAAGAAAAGAACACAATTGTAACTCCAACTCCAAAGCACGAAACAGGGATTACACTGAAGAGGGCATTCGTAATAGAAAAACAAAACAAAACAAAAACTGAGCAAGTCATTTAAACACGCGACAGTACACAACATTCATGAACAAAATTTGCAGAGCGCTTAGTACGATAGGATGCTCTACAGCCACGCAAACAAGTGATACACCAACGAAGGAGACAAAACGATAAACGGCAGCGCAAATGACTCATCACAACAGAGTACGATAGATCGATATTCTTCTCGAGAATCAGGCTAACCAGATATTTCAAAAATATGGTGCATTACTACTATTAGCGAGAAAACAAGAAAAGAACACAATTGTAACTCCAACTCCAAAGCACGAAACAGGCATTACACTGAAGAGGGTATTCGTAATAGAAAAACAAAACAAAACAAAAAAACTAAAACTAAAAAAAAAAACTACTACTACTACAACTACTACTACTTGCAAGTACTACTACTCAATATTGACAGCTGCCAGAATTGGCCACGCCGCTCCCAGAGGGGAGGTACTGTCAGAGAGGTTAGGGGGGAGGAAGGCAATGCTCCAAGTGGCGATCCAGATCTTGCCGCCTCCGGACTGTCGGTTGTGGCAAACTTGGCAGTGAAACTTGAATTGCTGGCGTTCAGCCATAGTAGGGCGCTTTGGACAGGTTCCACAACGGTGACGCTTGAGACCCGCAGCCGATTTCACACACACACACACACACACACACACACACACACACACACACACACACACACACACACACACACACACATACATGGTACACACGGTGCACACACACACACACACAAACAAACACACATGGTACACATGGTACACACGGTACACACACACACGGTACACACACACACACACACACACACACACACACACACACACACACACACAATGGTCAAAATTCTGAATATGCCATGAATACCAAGGCAAGATGGTACTTCACTTGAATTTTTCAATCTCCATGAACATTTTTCTTTGCCTGGCTGCAGAACGAGTGCTGTGGTGTTCAGCAGGATGAGGACTGGCTATCGAATGAAACCCTGTGGTATGACTTCCTAGTGATGCACCAACGTCTTGACAAGAAGGAACTACCATATTCGTGCTGTCTTCCATCCAATGTGCCCTGCAGCATATATGCTGAGAACCACTATAATGAGGTTGGTGCGTGTGTGTGTGTGGGGGGGGGGGGGGGGTGCATGTGTATGCCGCAGTCACTTGGCTCAGTGTGTACTTGCAGAACGTCATGTACACATGCATAGCAGGCCAGTGAAGACTGCGAAAGTGCCATGTCACCGGCTCTGCACGCATGCTTTTAATTAACAGATTTTTGTGGGCAATATGGCGTATCACTGCCCTTGGTGCAAGCGTTGCCCAGTGGCCATTGACCTGACCAGGCCTGACCTGATCGTGACCATGGACCATGATGGACCTGGCAACGATCACGAGTCATATCATAACAGTGACCTATTATTGTTGTGACCAAACACACTGTGACAACAGGGGCGTCGGAAGCAGTTTAACATTGGTGCGGCGAAAGTGTGAGAGGGGGGTCCGGGGGTCCTCCCACGGGATTTTTTTGAAAATTGGGCCTAAAAGGCCATATTTTTAATGCTACCGAATAATATGAGAAATAAGAATATGCATGCTCATGACACACCGCATTGTCGATGTAAAATATGGTACCTGTACAAGAGTCGACAAGCCATCAACAAGGTTGAAAATGTAAAAAAAAAAAAAAAAAAAAAAAAAAAAAAAAAATCCAAAATTATTGGTGCGGCTTTGGCCGCACCTGCCGCACCGGTTCCGACGCCCCTGGACAAAGTTGAATGCAATGTGATGCCCATTGGCAATTCATCCCCCGGTGAGCCAAGGAAAAATCATTGTAACATTGAAATTGTGGGCACAAGTTATGCGATCGAGTCCACCAACTAAACCAGATTTTGAACAGTCAAACGTGCACAATGTAGCACACAACTGACAAGGAGTACTGAGACATTCCACGGCACGAAAGTCAGCTTGAGCACTGCTCGATAGCGCTAACCAACGGCCTTCCAACTTGGAAGGTTGATGGATATTAGTGCCAATTCCAAAGAGGGGAAGGCAAGCGCCATTGAGCCGAGCACAAGCTACATTCCAAGGCTTCATGGAATGCTGGCCTGGTATGATGATGGGACGGCAAGACCAGACAGAACGGTCAAACCACAATTCGACAACGCAGAGCAACAACCACCCAACTTGGGAGGCTCAATATTATCAGAGATGAAAATATGAAGGGGAAGCTTCACGAGGACAAACTGTAACAAACCGAACGCCAGTACCCTACGGTACTGTGCTTAGTGGATGACAATGATGAACTAACTAATTGCAATAACATGTATAGTATCACACAACGATCGTTTCGCAGTATTGTTCATGACGGCTCTTCAGGTGTGCATTAAGAACTCAGATGGTGAGCCAAGGAGAAAAATTGTAACATGGAAATTGTGTGCACAAGTTATGCGATCGAGTCCACTCCAGCTGACTTTCATGCCGTGGAATGCCTCAGTACTCCTTGCCAGTTTTGTGCTAGATTGTGCACGTCTGACTGTTCAAAATCTGGTTTAGTTGGTGGACTCGATCGTATAACGTGTGCCCACAATTTCCATGTTACAGATTTACCATCTCTTTCTTTTATCGATTGGTGTAGCCCAGAGACCGTTTGGAGAGTGTTGTGAAGATGACTGTATGGATGTAGTGGACGGCTACAATGGAGTCTTCGCATTTTGAGAAGATGACTGTATGGATATAGTGGACGGCTACAATGGAGTCTTTTCATTTTGAGAAGATGACTGTATGGATATAGTGGACGGCTACAATGGAGTCTTGGCATTTTGAGAAATCACGGTGTAGACTAAGTACTTATGATAATGGACTGTGTTAGCTGCTCCCGGCTAATGATGCCCCCTCACACCGGAACACAAGGGTATTATGATTGGATAATTAGAAGTATTCGATAAGAGTGTAAACAGAAGGAGAACAGGACAACGACAACTCAAGACTAGACTACACTACAACAGAACTGGAGCATGCGCTCTTCTATGTGAGTGCTCATTGCCAAGGGGAACGAGCGGGAAATACAAATAGTGAGTATTCAGGTCGTAGCATACATACACCTATTACACTGTGCCCCCCTAGCTTAAATTCACGTCCACGGGAATGAACGAAATACCTAGGAAACAACAAAAGAAAACAAACCAAATAATAAACTCAGTCCAGGACATAGTCAGCTAGTCGAGCAGGTGCAGTGCGGACACGGCCAGAACGACGAGAAACAGGAGAAGAAGTACGGACCGGATCAGACGACGGTGGCTGTAGCGGCGGAACGCAGCGCGGCAAATCATCATCGGGCAGCGGCAATGTAACAGGACCGGACACAGTTACAGCTTTCTTGAGGCGATTGAAATGGACGGTACGTTCACACCCAGGCATAGACAAGGTATACGACGTAGGACCATTCACACGAACAACACGAAACGGACCGGACCAATAACGGTGGAACTTGGCAGACTCGCCAGCATGAATCACCTTATCATGCAGCCAGACTAAATCGCCAACGACAAACGAAGCACCACTGCAGTGAGCATCATACACTGACTTCTGGTGACGATGGACAGCAGCTAACTGAACACGAGCAAGAGAATGAGCCTGAGCTAAACGATCACGTACGAGCTGAACATAGGCAAATGGGGAGAGCTCGGGAGGATCAGGAGGAGGAAAGACCAGATCAACAGGCAGGCGAAGCTCAGCACCATACAACAAACGGGAAGGCGTAAAACCAGTACTACTGTGTACAGCAGCACGGTAGGCGAGAAGAACAAGCGGAAGGTGAATATCCCTCCAGTCTCTCCGGAGGCGTGGGTTCGAATCCCACCGCTGCCACCAGTGTTAGCTGCTCCCGGCTAATGATGCCCCCTCACACCGGAACACAAGGGTATTATGATTGGATAATTAGAAGTATTCGATAAGAGTGTAAACAGAAGGAGAACAGGACAACGACAACTCAAGACTAGACTACACTACAACAGAACTGGAGCATGCGCTCTTCTATGTGAGTGCTCATTGCCAAGGGGAACGAGCGGGAAATACAAATAGTGAGTATTCAGGTCGTAGCATACATACACCTATTACAACTGTATACCAATGTACCTATACTACAAGTGCATGCATACAGCAGCTGCTGATCTGTTTCTTCTGTCCTGGTAGCACCAGCTGACCGTGTCCAGCTTTTGAACCTCTGTGTGCTCCTTGTCGGTGTGTTGATCTGTGTTAGACCTGCTTCGGTGTAGTGCACAGTGCCGTGCGCTACCACTGGAAAGAATTGGCTGGCACGGCAATCGGCATTGCCTTCGCGCAGGTATGTGTCACAAAGCACGACACATGTGCACAACATCATTGCTATGAGGCTCTAGGGGTGAAACAGTAACCCTTTAAGGTAACAAACGGGTACTTGGCTTAAAGGGGAAGTATACCCTAAAATCAAATTTTCACCAGTTGTAGTCTTCTGGGTGCTGAGTCGAATGGTCTTGGTCCGAGGAAGCTGCGACGCTCCCTTCCTACTTGAATCCCAATCGAACTCGCGCACTTCCACCAAAACTGGGTGACTGCGCCCTACTAGATGGGGATTTGTATGCAAAATGTCACTAAAAGCGCCATTTCGTTCTTATAAAAGCACGGATCACCGCGATTGGCCCATATGTTGTAGTCTTTTGGACGCTGAGTCGACTGGTTTTGGTCCGAAAAGGCTGCGATGCAGCGTTCCTCCTTTATTCCCAATCGAACATGGTTGAACAAGCGGTCACGTGCTCCTGCGTACACCAGTCAGCTGGTCACCGTGCCTGCAGGGTACAACTTACTAGCCTGTTTGACCTTTTTTGGGTACAGTCCTGTCACTCGAGTTGAACCCGAGTTGAACCTTGGTGTGAAAGTTGTCGCCTGCTGGCGCGGTGACCAGGTGATTTGGGCACCCAGGAGCACGTGACCGCTTGTTCAACCATGTTCGATTGGGAATAAAGGAGGAACGCTGCATCGCAGCCTTTTCGGACCAAAACCAGTCGACTCAGCGTCCAAAAGACTACAACATATGGGCCAATCGCGGTGATCCGTGCTTTTATAAGAACGAAATGGCGCTTTTAGTGACATTTTGCATACAAATCCCCATCTCGTAGGGCGCAGTCACCCAGTTTCGGTGGAAGTGCGCGAGTTCGATTGGGATTCAAGTAGGAAGGGAGCGTCGCAGCTTCCTCGGACCAAGACCATTCGACTCAGCACCCAGAAGACTACAACTGGTGAAAATTTGATTTTAGGGTATACTTCCCCTTTAACAGGCGGGTTATCGCGTTCCCTTTAGCAGCCAGTAGTTACAGTTACTATACAATAGACTTCCACATTTCGTGCCAGGAGGACATGCGAAGTCATGCAATTCACAGCAAGTGTACTACATCGCGACAAGCGTAGCATGCGCACTTACTGCGCTACATGCACAACAGCCTCCTAGCCTAGATCATTCTTATTTTCATGTTTTACAGTCTATGCACAGTTGAATCACCGTGTATGCATTGCAGGGTTCTAACCGTGTATACATTGCAGGGTTCTAGCCAAGGCGGCGGGGGGGGGGGGGGGGGGGGGGGGGGTAGGGGACGCAGCCCCCCCCCCCCACACTCATTTTCATGCTTTTTCATGCCATTCGACGAAAATGCTGTCGATAGTCAGTACTTTTAAAAGGGTTCATAAAGGCACATGTGTCTGGGGTGACGTCAGGTGTTCGCTCCGTACGTTGCATTTCGCATTGCAAGACAGTTATTTTGAAAATGGAAAAATGGGTTACGGGTAGGGCTGAAACGATTATACCGAATAATCGAGTACTCGTTTGATAACTCTAGCGATCGAGCAATCGTTTAGATTACCGATTACGATTATTTTGCGTTTTTTAAATTTGTGTCCAGAAAGTACTGTAAACCCTCGTTTTGTGAAGTTTGAATCAGTTTACGCTGGGAGTATGCAGTTGCCAGCGGTATGGTTCATGTTCTGAGGTTAAATTGACTTCAAAACTGCCATGTTTCGGAGCTACCCTTTCACTAATGCAGATTTGTTGGTATTATGAAGGCATAGTTTGTGGAAACAGAGTAATGTTTGCACAGAATTATGACTCTATTTGCTAACGATTATAATCGATTACTCGATCGTTAAGGTGGCAGACTACCCAAAAATTCGCTGAAAAATCGAATTTGTAAATTCATATTGAGTGCTACGTCAGTTGAAAGAGCATGAATAGCTGCAAATTCTCTGAAAATTGTGTCCCTATCTGACCAGCCGTTCAATAGTTATGGCCGAAAATGTGCCCTTGCAAGGAAAGATTTTTTTGTTGCATGCTGTCATTTGTTGGCAGCACTGTATTTGAATGTGAGCAGACCGTGCGCAACTTGTCGTATTATGAAAACACGCGAAAGTGTGCAGAATTTTGCCCAAGTCCAAAAAAGCCCAAAAAAACACGTTAAAAACCACGTATTGGGCTGCACGGCGGCGGGCTTCGCCCGCCGCCGTGCAGCAGGACTTTTGCCAGCACCCTCGTGACGTTGCAGATATGTGGCTTGATTATTGTAGTTGACGTTGATTTAGTGACTTTGGCAAGTTTGAGTCGTGTCAAGAAGTCAGGTAGGATTCAGTACTAGGCAGTAGTGAAACGTGAGTGGCAGTCTTTGCCGGTTTCTGAGGGCATCCTGGATTTGGTGTGCAGTGCTGTGGAAATGGCTTGCTGTGGAGGTCCCAGCACTGGATGTTGTATCAAAGGTACGACCTCGTAGCACGTGCTAAACCTAAAAAATTCAAAAATTGACTTGGGTCTGTGGGAGTCCGCGAGAGAACGCCCACTCGTTCCGTTGTGACAGATTCCAGGGCCACGTTGAGGGGCCCTACCCCACCACCCATGGCTGCTTCTGGACTTGTTTTAGGTTTGGGTCCCGCGCACGGACAGAATGGGCACGAAAATGTGAAAAAAATGTAAATGCATTTGTTTGGCTCCTGGGTGGCTCGCACACCGTGGCCCTATGCCGGAAATTTGAGTTTTTCCGGCCTGGAAAGCCTGTCAGTGAGGCGCAAGAACTTGTAAATCATGTCCTGAGGGCCAGCATAGTGGCAGGAGTGTGTGGTCAAAATTTCACTCAAATCCACTGAGAAACACCAAAGTTACGGTCAATTGAATGCCATATGAAATTTATGGGTAGGCTGCCCCCTTAAGCTAAAGAGTAATCGATACATGAAAATCCACGATCGTTTCAGCCCTAGTTACGGGGTAACTGCTTCCCCCCCCCCCCCCCCTACTATTTTGACCTGGCTAGAGCCCTGCATTGGCATGCTGTGCTTGGTGAAATTCTAGCCTGGTCGTTCTTTGGCGCTCCGTTCTTCGGCGCCCGACAGTACCGTAATGAGGCAGGCATCGAACTCAACAAAAAATGATAAGGGACTGTGGGTGTTGAGCGGTCTCTGCTTGGATGACAGTCAACTTATGATTTTACTCCCTCAACCTTATGAATACTGTGATGAACCTAAAACCCTATGAATACTGTAATGAACCTAAAACCTATGAATACTGTAATGAACCTAAAACCCTATGAATACTGTAATGAACCTAAAACCTAAAAGCTGCCTAATTGATATTCATGAGACCGTGACTCCTGAGGGAAAGTCATCTCAACAGCAGTAGCTAGGCTGAGGGAAAGTCATCTCAACAGCAGTAGCTAGGCTGAGGGAAAGTCATCTCAACAGCAGTAGCTAGGCTGAGGGAAAGTCATCTCAACAGCAGTAGCTAGGCTGAGGGAAAGTCATCTCAACAGCAGTAGCTAGGCTGAGGGAAAGTCATCTCAACAGCAGTAGCTAGGCTGAGGGAAAGTCATCTCAACAGCAGTAGCTAGGCTGAGGGAAAGTCATCTCAACAGCAGTAGCTAGGCTGAGGGAAAGTCATCTCATCAGCAGTAGCTAGGCTGAGGGAAAGTCATCTCAACAGCAGTAGCTAGGCTGAGGGAAAGTCATCTCAACAGCAGTAGCTAGGCTGAGGGAAAGTCATCTCAACAGCAGTAGCTAGGCTGAGTGAGGGAAAGTCATCTCAACAGCAGTAGCTAGGCTGAGGGAAAGTCATCTCAACAGCAGTAGCTAGGCTGAGGGAAAGTCATCTCAACAGCAGTAGCTAGGCTGAGGGAAAGTCATCTCAACAGCAGTAGCTAGGCTGAGGGAAAGTCATCTCAACAGCAGTAGCTAGGCTGAGCGAAAACATTATTATGTCTAGTGGATAGTGAGAAGTATAGAGGTCAGGTGAGTTGTACCCCACCCCAATACGTAACACTACCCCCCCCCCCCCCCCTCTCAGTCCCATCTCACCCCAATACGTACCCCCCCCCCCCCCCCCCTCTACCCCAAGATGTAATAACATAGCTCTCTCACCCATGTTCTAACTGTTGCATTCTTCTGTTTTTTGTTTTGTTTTTTTTTGCTCGGTGTTATCCCAGCTCATTGGCATCGTGCTCAGCGCCATCTTAGCACATTCTATAAAGAAGTACGGCCGTTACAACCAGTTTGATTGAGCGGCTTGCCGGCCTGCACCGAGTGCCGCTCTGTGTGCATGTACATGTCAAATTCTGGTCTAGCTCAGCACACCAAACCTGACACATTCTATAGCAACTCATGATTACGGCAATGCCCTAGAGTACATTGTCACAATGCATACTAACTTAGTAGCGGGTTGGATCTGGTCAACAACATGCCGGATGCTTTCCCATTGTGCTTGTATTGCCACTGCTTGGAACTGTTTAGTTTGGCCAAACCACGCTGCGATTGCATTCCGTGCCAAAGTTTTTTTTCACTTGCTGGTGCAAATCCGAGCGGCTCAGCGCCAGGATCCAGAGTCGATGCGTACCGCTGCAGTTATTCCCATTGCATGTCATTCATTATTCTAGCATTCCTCAATCCAACTACATGCAGGTCGATCCTCGATCCTCATACACGTGTGGTCTTCCTAGGCTGCTCCCGTTCCTATTACACTTGATTGCCGTGTACATGTATGGATGACTATTGTATGTATGTATGTATGTATGTATGTATGTATGTATGTATGTATGTATGTATGACTGGCTAGACTGACTGAGAATGTGGTCCGTATCACTCGTACATGTACATGTACCAGTCTGTTCATTTTTGCTTTGAAAACAAAACTGAACTCAAGCTGTTTACCCGCATATAAGCCACGTTGATGGAGCATAGTCACATGTGACATGGCATTACTCAATGTCAGAGTATGGCTGCACCGATTGATGTTCTAGATTACCTGCTATAAACTGGATGTGCTGCAGATGTAGGCGTGTCGACTCACGGTGTGTTTCGTGATGGGCGGTCGTGACACCAAACGGCATGCGGAGCCGGCCTAGCCTCTGCGCCAGGCTAATTAAACCCAGGCCACTCGGGCTCGATAATCACCGTGAGTTTTACTGAGCCACGGTATCAACACTAACTCGCCATCACCTACCTGCTCAGGTGGCAGACATGCTGCCGCTCAGGGCTTGGCCGTCTTGTGACTCATGGCAATCGGATGGAGGGTAGTCTGAATTGTGCCTGCATCAACGCAGTTCAGTCCAAGTTTAGAGGTATCATTGTTGTATTGAAGTCACATGAAATCATAAGAATTATATCCGGGACAGTGCCAGGTCTAACCGGCTTGGCCAAGTTGACGGCGGTGATCAAGCCAGACAACCATCGCCGGTTATGGCTACATGCAAAGTTATAAGCTCGGAGCTTGTACTCTTGCTATCGTGATGTATGTATGATGTATGTATGATGTATGTATGATGGATGTATGATGGATGTGATGATCTTGCTAACCACTGATTATAGTGCTGCAAATCAGCAGGTCACAACAGTCAACCGTGACCTTGTCAAATGCGGCAATACCACGCCGGGTTTCAGTGACCAGTCCTACACATAGGCACATGCTCTGGAAGTGAAAGGGTAACTGAGCCCCTACGTACCGTGAGTTACTGCCCTCCACATAAGTGACATTCACTTCTGACGGTCACTGAGCCTGGCGTAGAGGCGGCTCCGCCTCGGACCGGCGTCGGATTTTGCCAACTGTTACTTACTTACTTCAATACTTGCCACACACTGTCAAACTGTTACTTCCACGGATAAACCTAAACACTGTACTACTGCCCTAAACGGTGTTCTCCTTCGCTCGAGATAGCACGAAGCTCGAAGCTCTAATATCGCGATACGAGTATTGATGCAATTGTGACGCTGTACGATACTTCCTCGGATATTATTCGGGCACGTAGATATCTAGATCTACGTACATATTCATGTCATTTTATGTCACCCACGTGGCCGCGTGAATTTCCCGCGCTTACATGTTAGTACAGTGCATAAAAACATGTGTCGATAAGTTCATTATGATTGCCATGGCCACCAGTGGTACGCAAATGGCGCGGAAGACAAAGCGTGATCTTGGGGTTTGTTCATTGTTGCTGTTCATGTTTGCCTGCGATGTAGGTCGTGCAGGGACGACGTACAACTAACTAACTTACTTGACCGCGGACTGTATAATTGCACTTAGATTCTGGATATATTTACAAACAATTCGTATTGCGGAACTCTTATGCAGTGTTGCGGAGGGAATCCACACCCGTCCTTTAGTCATGGCGGAGGCTGAACACGATTACGAGGACTTTCTCCAGGCGTTTGAGAGTAAGCGCACCTCATGTACACAGCAGCTGCGCTTTGGAAAGTCGACAATTGGTCTGAAATATCACTTTGTCATTGTCCTTCTTTTAGGGCCCACGCAAATTTATCGCTACATGCGGTCTTACCACGAAAAATCGGTCAGTATGGTTTATTGTATTGAAGCTTTTCTCCTGTAAAAATTTGAAAATTTCCGTAACGATCTTCTGGTAACTGAAGTAATGAATAAGGATTTGTTCTTTCTTACTCATAACTCATTGATATCACAGCATTGGTACATGCTTCCATAAGTGGAACTTGGTCACCGAAAGTAACAGTTAACTACAGTATTTTGAAAAGCAGGATATACCACCGAGTACCATCCATCAATGCTGCAGTGCAAGTGTTTTAGGTGTTACGAATTTCGGTGCACAAGTCTTTGTAGTAAGTAGGAAGTTGGGAGAATTCGAAGGGCTTGATACGTCATTACATGTACCAAGATTGAACATGCCACACATGTAAAGGAAAGAGAAAAGGCCCAACCCTGCAAGTCACCAACACGGCCTTGGCCATTGCCGACAAGGACGGCAAGTCACCGAATCCGTATGTCGTACGCACCGGGGGAGCGAGGGCAACTTTCATATGTAAATCTCTCTCCGGATTAGATTAACGTAGGAAAGCTCTTTCCTACGTTGGGTCCTCCGCAGGACTTTTTGAAATAATTTTTGCACTTTCCGGATTTATCCATGGCAATGTTCAAGCCGCGGGAAACACAAGGTACACACCACGTGGAAAACAAAATGGAAAACGCGGTTTCAGTTCGTGTCGCATGTGGTGGACACATGTAGCCAACGCGTCTCCAAAGCGGCGGCATGCTTAGTAGTCGTGGAGAAATCACGTAGAGCAAAACTCAACAGCGCTGATTGTTACGTATGAAAATTACGTGCAGTTCCTACGTTATTTTCATACGTAATTACGTAGAGCGAAACCTCCCTAGTATAATGCTTCTCCGCTTAGGGTTGTAAACTGTCCATGATGTACGCATGCTCATACAAGTCCGCACACATGCACACACACACACAGAGCAGTGCCTGGGCACTTTCAATCAGTACCACCCATAGCACTTGCATTCATGCTGGGTGTGGAAATGCTTGCTTGACAACTAGAAGTAATTTTGTTATCAGTGCTAAGAGCAAGTGTTAAAGTTACATTGTTCTTTTCTGTCGGTTACTAGCATTTATTTGCTCACAGCCCTGCTATCTGCTTTATTGTGTATCCTGCCCCCATTTAGCCGTGTTTCTTGCAACGCACTCTCAGCTACATGCGCTATGGGCGACCGAAACACACCGAGAAAAGAAGGTCAGGCAGTCAAAGTAGTACTTTCACCTGCTCTCTCTCTCTCTCTCTCTCTCTCTCTCTCTCTCTCTCTCTCTCTCTCTCTCTCTCTCTCTCTCTCTCTCTCTCTCTCTCTCTGGCTCTGGCTCTCTCTCTCAACCGCCTTTGAAGTTCGGAGAGCTTTGGACACGTCTCCTAAAATTCAGGGAGGATATATTCTCGAACTTTTCCGGGAGGATTTAAGAACGCACCGTTAGACTTCCATAAAGTCTTGTATAAAAGCCGCGGCTTCTATGACTTTCTTGTTGAAATTTTGCAGGCTTATATGAGACAGGCTTCTATACAAGACAGGTATTTCTATGTATGTCAACACTAAAACCAGGCTTATGTGTGATTTGATGGGCCCAAAATTGCGGCTTCTATTCAAGTGCGGCGTTTATACAAGACTTTACGGTACATTATTCAGGCCTACTCCGCCTTGGCCCGAAGCATGTCTGAAGTTTAGAATAAGCTGTTCCTGTTCTGTATGTTTACATGTACATATATATTTAAATACTATAGCAGGCTGCCTGTGCGGGCTTGTACTTGTCTCAGTAACAGTTCTTCATTCTCACTGTTGTCATCGCCTCGATGTTTTTGTTGGTTTACAGGAAGTCGGCTAAACGCTGTCTAAATGACTTGCGTGATCACAAAGCTGCCCTGGACCACTCTGTCGTTAGCAGCGACTGCATACGGTATGTCCTAAACTATACTAATTGGGGAGGTGGTGCTTCCATGGTCCCTCTGCCCTCCTCTCTTTCTTTCTTCGTTTCTATCAAGAGTACAAAAACAAGTGCGTGCAACTCCGCAGCTGGTCTGGTCCACGGTGGATTTTCGTTGTTGACCTTTTTCAGAACCCATGACACATGCCGTACAAAGCGTGCGCTGGAAGATGACCTTCATCGCGAGTTTGTGTTTTTGCCGCTTTCGAAACAAAAAATTAAATCTTTCTCTCAGTGCTGTAGCTTTCTACCGTACTCGTAGTGCAAGTTTAGTGAACCGTGCCGAGTTCACGCGGACGCAGACTCGTAGTACATACCTCATACGGTGTGACTGATGATCTCCAGAAAAGTTGACATCAACAAAGATTCTTCCTCGAACCAAACTAGTTGCTGTTGCATGCTCTTGTTTATGTATTCAGTTCTTTGAATCTTGGTTGCTGGCGCAAACAATGCAGCCAGAAGGCATGTGTTGTGAATGCAGTGCTCAGTTTTGTGTATTGTATTTTGTGTGTGTGTGTGTATGTGTGTGTGTGTCTGTATGTGTGTCTGTGTGCGTGCCTATGTGTGTGTATGTGTGTGTGTCTGTATGTATGTATATGTAGCACAAGTTGCTATGTCTAACATCCTGTAAAAGCCATTATTCTAACGAGGCACATATATAACGATTTCCCAAAATTGACTAGTTTACGTGTACCAAAGGTAACGATTCTCACTCATTCTCAACGCTCAATAGGACAGTACCGTATTTTTCCGGTTGTAAGTCGACCTTTTACCACTAAAAATAGAAGGAGAAAGGGTGGGGGTCGACTTACAACCGGGATTCGACTTATAACCGGGAACTATCAGAATCTTACAAAAACATGACCTGCCCTGCATGCATGAATGCACCATGTGTACACAGTTTATTGGCCTTTTTCAAGGATTGGGACGTTATACCCTCCAATAAGGAATGTTTACATGATGTATTAGTAGCAGGGAGTGGTTGGTAGTGCTTCGTTGGGTGAAAACTTAAACGCAGAATTGAGACCTCCGGATACAGGGGTCGACCTATAACCGGGGTCGACTTACAACCGGTAAAATACGGTATATGTATCGATTTCTGTATAACGATTTCTATTTTAACGACAGATTTCTCCTCGTTAATTCGTTAGAGTTAGCACTTCGTTTATATATGGCTTTTACAGTAGCTGTTCGCTATCATCGCTTCCGCGATGGGCATGTCTGAGGTCTGAGGTATATGTGTGTATGTTTGTTTTGTTTGACTTGTGTTTAGGAGTGGTGGTCCCCTGGAGCTTAGCTTCTTGCTGTTCTCTGATGACTGTGGTAAGTCCTTCATGTTGTCGTGTCTGTTTGGTTTTTGGACTTGTATCATTCGTGGATTCTTGTATCACTGGCACCTGGTTTTTACTGTACTTTCCGGGTTGAAAACCGCACTCTTATGAAAATGGATCGATTTTGCCCCTGCGACTTATACGTGAGCACTTATTCTCATTCGAACTGCAAAATATATGAACTGGAAAGTGAAAGCGGCATTTACCTGCAAGATGGGATTGTGGTACAGTTACTGGTGCAGCTCGACCCCGGAAATACAGCACATCCCTGTTGATGTAATTCGGCTTTTGGCAGATAAAAACATGTTCATGTGCGAACTTCATTGATCGGGTAGCTTCTTGTTTCTACCCTCCTGCAGTTTCCAAGTCATCCAGCTCCTTGCCCACAGAAGCTATAGTAGAAGTAACTCTACGCAAAGAAGGCTTCCGTCGTGCCAAGGTATGGCTGCTGGTCACTTTGATTTACTGTATAAGCAGAACTATTCGTCTGAAATTTAATTTCTTCTTTTTTGTCCAAGGAGCTTTTGGACAAAATTAAATGCCGGACTACTGTCAATTTGTCCACCTTTTCAACACACTCTTATGATCCATGGACGAAATTTACAACCGGACGAACTCCCTTTCTTTGGAGTTGGACGAAATTATTGACCGACGAAATTTTCTGCCTGTACAGAGTATATGCTTTTGCCCATGAGACACACTTTTGACTATCGTTGTTTGTCTTTACTTTGGACTTTTGGGGGGTTCTTGCTACTGAAGTGAAGCCATGTCCTCTGTGTGTCTGTGCATGTAACGTGTCATGTAATGTGATGTGGTGTGCTGTGCTGTGTGTACATGGTAGGAGTCACTGGGTAACTCCAGTGATGACGTATCGTTGGGCACGTACACTGTGCCGTGCGAGTGGCGGCGACGTGCCGGCGGTGGCAGCGCGCCATGCTCCACTGCATCCAGTACAGGCAGCGCAGCCAGCATGGAGAGTCTCGTTGTTGTTCCCCTGGGCGTGTTTGGATTCAGCATGCTGGGCGGCCTTGGTGTCAAGGAGCAGAAGCTTTTGTTCAAGGTGGGTGTTGTCAGATTGTGGCTTTTTTCTGTGTTGGGCCCCTGCCGCTCTGCTCGCAGTGGTGTTCCGTTTCATGCTGAAGTTATTTCTCCTGGCTCGTTCTGTTTTCTCTTGTGCTCGCTCAGGTCTACTTTCACACGGAACAAGCTGGTTTTCCAGCTAATGGTCACCGTCAGATTACTTACGAGTCCTCCGTATCCGGCCTGATGATGTCTCCGTCACCTTCCCACTCGTGCTCATCTAGTCCGGCTACGTTTGCTACGGCGAATGCCTCCTCGCCGCTTGTTGTCACTCAGCCCAGCTCTGTAGGTGAATCCACCGGCTCTGCAGCCGTGCTTATGGATACTTCTCCGCCGGCTAAACGCCACTGCATCGCTCCACCCTTCTCTTCTCCCAGCCCTGTCATGAATGGCCATCGACACTCGCCAATTGGTGGTCAGTACTTTCGTGTATGCTGCATGCAGGCATGGTTAACTCACTAACTTTTTACTCTCCAATCTTCTTGATGGTGAAAATCCTGGGGTAGTTTTTTGTGTTGTCGTTGTGGCTATGCAATGTTTGGGTAGTGGTGTTGCACTGGTTGCATTGCGGAATGCTGGGTAGTACCCCGGTGCTGTTGAAAACCTGTTCTTTTTACCCTGAGCTGTAGTCAGGCCAAGTGATGTGCACCTCTGCAAGGTGTGGCCTCTCTTTGCTCTGGAAAGACTTGAAAAAGGTATACATGTGTGTTGGCCCTCAGCGCGAACATGCCCGTACTTCATGTCAAAATGCTGTGTGGGTGGTTGTGCAGTTGTGTTGTGTTGCGCTGGCTTGCGTTAATGCCACGCTGTTGTGTTATTGCTCATTGTGTAGCAACTGGTGGCACCACACGGCCACCTTCTGCAGTCATATTGGTCGCCGCCGGCACTGGCGCCCACCCAGCATCATCACCACCAGCAGCAGCGGCGGTGGCAACCAACGCTAGCCACTTGGGTGGCACTGCTGCTGGTGCTGTGGCAGATGATCCCGGTCATATTGATGGCAATAATGATGATGATGTTGATGAGGATGATGATGATGATGATGATGTTGATTACAACTCCTTTGACATTAATAGCTGTGTGATGTCTGACAGTGACATTCAATATTTGAGGCAGCAACAGCAGCATCCAGCAGCATCAGGCGCACCACCACAGCACCTTTTTGATCCTCGTTTCATGGCCGCCATGCACCGCCGCCGTGAGTTGCATGTGTGACAGTGGAGTGTGGATTCTCCGCGCACCAGTTCTGCTAAAGATCATTCATAAAAAACCCTAAGTTGTCTAGTCCTGTACCACGGGGAGTTTTTAGCATTTTCCGATTAAGCTCAGTTTCGCAACAGCGAAATCTAGCGCCCCGAGTCCCAAGTCAAAGGAACAGCAGTACAGTGTGTATTGCGAATGCTGATCATGGGTGTATAGTTCTCATTTTGGTGATTCTGAAGTTTGGCGAAATTACTCCTTTCGCTAAAATTAGTAGTTGATCAGTACGCGGTGTGATGTAGCTGCGCCTCGCTACTGCTGCTGCTGCTGCAGTGTAGAAGAGGCTTGCAGGAGTGTTGACAGATTGAATGCATTCCGCACGCTGTGTTTGATCCCTCGCTCATGGTTGAAGTTACCCAGCGATGTGCGGATGATGTTCACTTCACTGTTGCTGTTACTGTGCAGCACGCGGGGTCTGTCTGCACCAGCTGGCAAAAGCCTCTTGCATGTCCGCACTACTGCTCCTCAGTTGTAGTTCCGTGCCTCTATCATCACGCTCTTGCTTTACTCCTATATTGTGGTTTACTGCTTCCTGTTTGACGAGCAGTGGCTTCGTTTCCTCTGGCTCTTTTGCTGCTTCTTTGCGTGGTGTTGGCGTACTGTGCGTATGCGTTATAGAGCCTGTGCTGCACTTCTGCCCTGAAATACTTACCAAGCGTGTGTGGCTGTTTGCTAGTGCGACTTGGTCTTCTTTGTGCACACTAGCACCTCTGGAAGACTTCAGGACAGACCATCCTAATATAGCCAGCCTGCTTATGGTCCTGCGGTGATCCTACATGCCCAGCCTGCCTGCTTATGGGCCCCAGTTGGCACTGTTTGATGTGTTCTCATTGCTTCCTGAATGCAAGCAGATACTAGGTTTGGTCTACTGATATGTCTGCTCAGGTTTGCACTGACCATAATGTTCTTTCTTTCTTGTGTGCATCTTCACACAGCTCAAGATGGTGGTCCCGAAGAAGAAGGGTGTGTTGACTGGAGCCAATGGAATGGAGAACTGACACAGAGCAGTGCAGCATGCAACCGCAAAGTGCAGCCACTTTTGCGCAGGAACCGCGAGTTGCGTGGCTTAGTGCTGGACGACCCGCCCGACAACTCTGGCCTGCCAGAGTTCTCGTACGCTCGCGGTCGCCGCGGATACACCAAACCTCCTGCAGGTCATCTTCTTCTGCCACGTCCCACTGTTCCCACGTCAACACCAGCAGCAGCAGCAGCAGCAAAGGTGGTCCACACCGCAACAGCCAATGGTGGTGGTGCCAGTGCTTCTGCTACTGCCAATGCTACTGCCACTGCTACCGTCGCTGGTATTAGTGGAGGCAAGGTGTCTAGTGAGACCCCGGTCAGAACACCTAGTCCCCCTATCGAACGGCCACACTCTACGCCACCGACCCCGTCCAGTGTTCATGACAGAGCCTACTTTGTGGAGGTATGTCTTTCGACTTTGATGTCGTGTGTTGTGCCTTTCACCAACGTACAACGTCGTGGATGCCTGGTGGCTGCACCTGCTCCGCAGATAGGGGTGCTGCTAGTGCACCAGCTCCAGTGTTAGTTATTAGGCTGATGTCAGTTTCCATAGTACAACTGTGTTGCACGCAGAGAGAGAGAGAGAGGGGGGGGGGGGGGGGGGATTCGTTGCAACACCAGGTTTCACATTTCGACAATGATCAGGCAACTGGTTTGTGGAGGGTACAGCCATCTCTTTGGACAGTGGAGTACCTTGCTTTTTTTCACAGTTGCATTGTCTTTGATTTGGGTGTGGTGTGTCTGCTCTCAGGTGCTGCTGGCTGATGAAGACAGACGGTGCCTGCTGGAAGCTGGTCATTATGATATGACATTGCAAAGGGAAGACAGCGGTACGACTCCTGCGGTTGACATGGCCAGGACTGATGGTGACAGTGGTATTGGCACACTGTTCCCATCTCCAGTGTCCAGCCTGGATGTGCCGGCTGCACCTTCATGTCCACAGCATCCTTCTTCGCAACCTTACGGCCAGGCCGTGTGGGAGTCTCTGCCACAAACGCTTCACTCGGTATGTGTTGTCTTTGAAGCTGCATTTTCTCCATTGGTCAGCTCCTTGTTGGTGGTGATGCCACTTAACATAACACACACACACACACACACACACACACACACACACACACACACACACACACACATACGTGTATACGGGTGTGCCTGTATACCTGACGACGTGCATTATAGTTCCCTCTTCCAAATCACGGTCAGTTATACCAGGATGCTCTTGTATGTGCGTGAGTGCCCAGTGTGATGGCGAAACGTATGGTAATGGTATCAGTGAGCGAAGATGACACACTATCCTGTCACCATTGTCAGCGTGGAGCTCAATGCGTCTGCAGAGCGATATGCTCTTTCAGTGAGACCGGGTCTGCTTACATCACCTTTTTTGATGCTCAATCAACAGACCGCTACAGTGTATCTGTTTAGTAGTGCTAGGGCCTGATCACAGGTCAGAGTCACTGGCTGAACCTGTTGCAATACAATGTAGTGAACAATAGCACATCTTTAACCCTTTGAGGCCCATAGTACGGATATATCCGTACCAGTGTACAGTGCATACTTTTCAAAGCGCAACCTGGCGTAACTCGGCCGTCCCTTGACCAAATCGGACCATCGAAAGGTCTATCGACATTAGAATTGTCTCAGCTATCGGCTCGAAAAAACCCGAAGGCGATCTGAGGTTGGAGAGCGGAGTTATGAGACTCGAACTAAATTCGCTCAGCAGAGTCACCTCGGGCGCGTGCATTTTGAACTCGTTTTTGGGGGTTTTCCCTGACTCGCGGCCCACACAGCCACAGATAGTTCACGTCATCGCAAAGGCATGTTTCTCAGCTCTCATGTAAAAAAATTGAGCGATCTGCGATACATTTTGTTGAAACGGCAGAGAATTTGAGTTGGGCGCTCGCAATGCTGGCTTTGGAGCGCCGAATCGCGCTGCGGCACTGGTTCTGTGGATTTCTGGGTATCGCTGTGTTCCTCTGGCCAAGAGCTTTCCAGAAAGCCCAAGATCACCAAAATCGGCCAAAGAACACCAAAGTAACGACCAGATAAGTAACTGGGCTCGCGTATGCAGTGCATTCCTTGAAATAATTGTGGGCCCTAAAGGGTTAAACTGGCTTGCTGTATCACAATCAATTGCTCAAACTACGAGAAAGACAGTGAACTTTGCACGACGGTGGCAGAAAACTTTGACGTCGACCAGGCAGAGTGCTCAACCGATACAAGGAGGGGAATGCAATACCCGATCCCGTAATTATGATATAATACGAGTAGAGGTCCCCATGAATTTGAATTGTTGTTGTTTTCCCCTGTGGTGACTAGTTGTCAGCCCTGCAAGGACCCAGCCTGCGCTTTGTTGTCACCTGGCCAGAAGGCAAACCGGAGTTTCTTCAGTCGCGCCCACCTAGGTCAAATGTCTCCGCTGGTGTGGAAGGTAAGCGTTTGGGGCCATGGCCAACAAGTACGCACTCCGGAGTGTGGAGTCTGTTGGTTGCTCTCTTCTTCTATGTCCTCGTGCTATTGCTGTCATGCCTGTGTGGTGAACGTGCCCCCATGGCGCCTGTAAAAGTCATGCTGGTCATGTTTACCCTTGTTGCCTGCTCCATAATGTGAACGGAATAACAAACTTGAATTCTAGCAAATTTTTCTGCTTATACAGTGTAACCTTCTGATAATTGAAGGGTAAATCTGGGCATTGCAGACATTTGCAGTACATATACATATGCTGACATTAGTAAACCACCCACTACACCCTACACACTACACACTACACACCTCTTCCACAGTACGAATAGGTTTCTGATGAGCTGACACTGGCTAGCAACAGAAGCATTGTTCTTGTACAGAGCGGCAATAGGGTTTGGGTAATTCAGTGACAGATCAAGAGCAAGCCACGCCTGCTGCATACTAGCAAGAGTACATAACCAAGAGTGTGCAACTCGACGACCCCCCCAGCCCACGGCGGAATTTTTTTATGACATCAGTCTTTGGCGGCGGTTTGGCTCACTGATGCCACCATGCGTAGCCAGAGATCAAAGTACAAATGATTTGTACATTACAGCTACGGTAGTCGAAGCAGAACAACGGACGATAGATCGATGTCTTGAACCTGACGAACTCTCGAGTTGCACACTCTTGGTCATGTACTCTTGATACTACAGTCCATTTCAAAACTATAGATGCGTAGTGTTTTGCAAAATTCGATGGGATTTATTTAAATATTTTTAGTTTTTCTCCAGATTCCGTCTCTGCATCGCTTCGCAATTCTGGCTATATACTTTGTTTTCGCTACAACTGAAGTTTATTTTTAGGCCAGGTTTTCCGGTTTTACATGTAATTTCTGTTTTGAAGGGTTTGACCAGTTTGTTTTTAAAAGGGTTTGACCAGTATGACTAACTGTCCACCAACGTAACCAGATCTTACACAGTCAGCGCATGCATAACTCGTAACATTTTGTCCTTCTTCTTTGCACAATTATTTAATTGGCTCACCATCCGAATTACATTTTTTTTAAATGAAGAAATGAAAAATAGGGATTTACGGGCCAGAAAAAGCCGCTTCAATCAGCTGTGTGGTGGATACCAGGCTAAAATTAGTGATTCATCAGCCTTGCAAGCTGTTGAATGGTGTAATCCCAGCACTAGTTGCTATGTCTAACATAGCTGTTCGCTATCATTGCTTCTGCGATGGGCAGGTCTGAGGTGTGTGTGTGTGTGTGACATCATCATGGTGCTCGGCGCAAACTGAGCTTTGTGCACAGCTCCTCTCATTCTCAAGCCCTGGTTATGTGCTGCTCCTTGGCATACGGTCTGTACCTGTGGATTTGGCTGTCTTGACTGCAGGATTACGTTCGGGCAACGCTGCGCATCCCCCTCTCTCTGTCACCTACAACTTCATCTATCGCAACGGCCAGCGCCAGCAGACGGAAACAGCTGACAAACTGACGTGTCCTTGGTGCCGAGTATTCTGTTTTCATATCTACTCACTGTTGAAGCACATGCAGCTCAATCATCCGCGGTTCACTTTCTCTCTGACCGTGAGTTTTGCACGGCTTTCATCTTTTTATGGAAGTATGCATTCACAGCTGTTGCACTAACCCATGCACATCCTCATAGCACTCTCAGTGAACGGTCTCCAGGCTACACCGATCAATCAAGAAATAAATATGTATAGCCGTAAACTGAGAGGATTCAGTGGAGTCTGCGTGTCTTGAGAAATGTCTCAATCTGCGGACAGGACTGTTCCTCCTTTGTGGACTCCTGCGTGCAGCAAAGAGAAAACTAGAAATGCACTAATCCGACAAGTATCATTATAGGGAGAGGTACTTGAAGGGAGAGATAGTTGAACAATTCATCAGGCATATCACTGTTATGCACCCAGTCGTGCGTGCGTGCTGACTGACAGCTTATTTCAGTTTTCGTTGTACTTGTACTAGTTGTAGTCGCAGTTCCCCTGTCTCAAGTGAACAACCATTCACTGCTCTGCTCTTTGTCCCTGCAGCAACGCGGTCAGGCTTACGAGATTGATGTTTGCCTAAATAGCCGATATGACGTGTACTATGACTCTGACTTGCACCCGGCCAGACGCTGGGATGCTGTTGGCCAGACTTGTAGCCGAGCACCGAAGAAACGCACCTCGTTCACAAAGGCTTTCTATGGGCGACGGTAGGCTCACTTTTGCTTGTGCGTGCAATTTCGGTGTTTACGCTTGCAAGTTGCAGCTGCTGTCGTTGTCAAGTTTTCTGCTTTTTCCAGAGTTCTATCTCTTCGTCTTGTAGACGTGCTGGTCAGAGAGTCCTGTCATACCTTTGTTTCTGTCTTGCTTGCATGCTCTTCTCATCAGTGGCCGCTCTTTCAAGTTTGACCTCAAGGAATTCCAGCTCCTCGGTGGAGTGGGCAGGTATGCCGGAATTTGTGCTTGTGCAGACTGCTGTTCATGCCCCCCCCCCCCCCCCCCCCCCACACACACACACCACCACCACCAACACCACCACCACTTCCCATCACTGGATTATCTGTACCCGTGGCTTGTTTGTGCAGGATAATGATGCTGTGAAACAAACGTTCCTGTTCCAAATAGTCAGTAGTGCTGACAACGGAAACACGTACTTGTAGTGGCCTACACACACACACGCACACACCCTTGACCTTTGATGCCCATGCAATGCTACCGCAACTTGTGCTGGGATTGCACCTTTTCGACAGCTTGCCAGGCTGAAGAATTGACTGCTGCTACTCAGCCTGGTCTACACAGCACAGCTATTTGAAGTGGCTTTTTCTGGCCAGTGAATCCCTCCCTTTGATCTTTTTTCCTCATACACACACGCGTGAGTGTATACATGAGCTGTGAGATTAGAACGCCGCTCTAGGAACTGCATATGACACTTCGATCCTGGTGGTAGTGGCATTCCAGTGAATGCGGAGAAATCAGTCAGAGTGACTTTCGCACGAGCCATAAGCTTTTCTTTTTTTAATTCAAGAAGCAAGTTGAAAATTGTCTCTCGAACCCAAAGGAATTTGCCACTGCTTTCGTATTAAACCATTGGTTCCATGTGTAATGCTCCAATCAATGGTGTTTTTTTCGGTTTTGTGTTCTCACTTGTTGAATGTTGTCTGTTTTCTCAGAGTGTTCTTCCACTGTCGAACATCACTGCCCGTTGTGCCATCGGAAGCTGATGAAGACAGTGAGGACGATAGCTCTCCACCGGAGTGGATATCCACGAAAATGGCGGATGTAAGTTACAGTGGAACTGCAGTGTGTAGTAAAGTACCCCGGGGTATGACATACAGTGGGGTAATATTCAGGGTCTATTCTAGGACGAATTTCCAACCGGTTACGGTCCCCCCCCCCCGGAATTATTTTCCAAATGCAACCCAAATATGGCACTCGACAGCAATTTAACAGATTTCTTGGCGTTTGACCATTCACAGCTCCATTCACCCACAGAAAAGTACGGGCGGTTGGAACTGATTTGTAACTTTTCAACCGGTCGCCAACAATTTCAACCGGTCGAAAACCGGTTGGGGCGGTTCTAGAAAATTCCCTGGGGTATAGAGTAGTACTCTACACTACAGGACCCTGCATTATGCTACAGCAGTCAGTTGACTTCAGACACTGATATACTGTGCTCCGGCTATAAAGTACAGATTTACGGCCGGCGGGGGTGTTATACTTCATTGTATTTATTGCACAGGGTTTGTTTCTTATCAGTGGCAGAGGTCGTATGAACGCATGTGGAGAACGAGTGTGTCATATTTGTTCCACCTCTGGGCCACAAGGTCCGTCAGGAAGACATTGTTTATCGAACAGGAAGACAGCGGGAAGGCCCTGTGAAAGTACCGTATTTCCCCGATTATAAGTCACAACCCGTTTTCAGGTCTGAGCCAAGTTGTTTCAATACATTGGCATAAGTAGGAAGTCACACTTGATTGTAAGTCGCATACTCTTCTTTGCCCTTAAAGTTTAGTGTAAAAAGGTGCGACTTGCATTCGGGGGAACACGGTATGTGACTAAGGCTGGCGAGAGAAAGTGACTGCTCGTGATGAAATGGCCACGGGCTTCGTGCACTCCAAGTACCACAGACCAAGTGTTGTGAAGTTGTTTGGATGCAAAGCAAACGCTGATCTAATGCTTTTTTTCGGCAATATACAGCTGTTGAACGAGTTTACTGACGTCAACAATGGGGAAAAGGCTATGATGAAACTGTGGAATGACTATGTCTTGAAAGAACGGTGAGTTTGCTGTTAGCCTTTGGTGTGGGTAATGTTCGCGACGTAAATTTTGTGACGCAAATGTTGGGCGGCTTATTGTACTAGGGTGCAATGGTGCTAAACTGCAAGTCTGTGACTGGTTATTCACTGTGCATGCCACGCTCATTCCTTGTATGGTAATCACAAGGTTGTAGCGGACCTGACTCGTTACGCACTGGCCCAGGTTCTGATTGTATGTGGACCTACCAGCCCGTTTGACGTGTGAATGCACAAGGAGTTTTCAGTGTATTGTTTATGCACGCACTGCGGCACAAGATCCCGGCCGGGCGTGTGCGGGCTAGCCTGCACCTTGACCAGCCTGGGCTAGAGTTACACACACACTGTGACACACTACTAGTATCACCACCTATTAGAATACACCCTAACTCGCTTTCTATCACTGTGTTGTTGTTGTTGTTGTTGTTGTTGTTGTTGCTCCACTGCGCAGAGTGAGTGTGGACTCTGAGATGCCCTCGGCGTGCCTGTCCTTCACCAAACTCCATGCCTCCACTATCCACCGGTTCGACCTGCAGCGCAACTTTCTCCTGCACCTGTCCACGCTGTGCGACTTTGGCCTCATCAGCCAGGAGTGCCTGCATCAGTGCTATGCACAAGTGCGCCTGTCCGGGGCTGACAGTGACGGTGGTGGCGAATCTGTGCTGACGTGATTGCATGCTGACGGTCAACGTATTCAGACGTGTCGTTTGCTGCCAACACCTTGGTCACCAGTCGGATGAGGAATTTTTCTACCTTAGCTGTCGCCGGAGGGCATTGCTGATGCCGGATGCTCTTCGGTGTTCATGTTTGAATTTCTTCTAAACAGCCAGGTGGTGATGTTGGTGGTGGTGGCGGCAGTGGCACATGCTTAAAGCCTAGGGAAAGTGGGATGTTGTCTGCATGACTATACCAGGGCTGGCAACAATTCTCTCTCTCTCTCTCTCTCTCTCTCTCTCTCTCTCTCTCTCTCTCTCTCTCTCTCTCTCTCTCAGCCTGATGCCGATACTGCTGCTGTGTGTGTATGTATGTATGGCTTTATGACCTTCTACTTGTACGATCATTTAAAAATTAGTCAATCACAAGACAGAATTAGCATAGATTCTTCTTTTCCTTTTTTTATGCGTCCAAATTGGGACTCCCAACATGTCAATGATTGACTATTGCTCTTTTTCATGATTTTTATACCGACATGTGATGTCACTGGATCACGACTGATTGCGTATTCATAGAACTCATGCTATTGGCCACATTGCTCTTGTCACACTGCTCATGGTCACGAAAAAGCGTTTATTATATGTTGTTTGCTAAGTGGTTGCTCCCCTTCTTTCTGTGTACGTTGTCTCTGCTCTCTTCAAGTTGCCTGATGTTTTTGCTACCTATGACTGGCTTTCCGTATCGTTTTCATTGTCTCTTCTTACTTCTTCTTTTTTTTGTGCTCGCCAGGCCCAAGATGCCACTTGCATTCCCCTGTCACAATATGCTGGTGTCTTTGAGTTGCTGCTGCTGCTGCTACTCTGCAGTGTGCGTGCGGCCATTGAAACACACTTTTTATAATGACTTTCTTGATGCAGCCATTCCCTTGCTTTCTTTCTCACACGGTATGGTGATTGCATGTGAAACACGCTGCTGCGCTGCGCACGGATCGAGCGGGACTCAGACTAGTCGACTGCATACTGTCTGGTTGTCAGTCAGCGTTCTATGCTGGAATTTTTTTAAATGTCTGGTTGTGCTCCAGCAGCTGCAGGCTGTGAAGGAGGATAGTTCGCACCAGCCCCACGGCCCACCCACGTATACAGGTTAGAACCTGCTACAGTGGAGATTGGGTATAACGACAAAATTATTCATTTTATTCTAGTTTAGCGACACAATTCTGTTGCACAAGTCCTTTCTGTACATTATAGATCGGGTATAACGACCTCGAAAATAACGACAGATCGAATTTACTGACACTTTTTTGGTGCCCGAAGACCTGAAAAACAGAGAAAATACATAGGAACTAATGACTTTCCTCTTGTATCAGGCAGACTGGCATGTCTGGAACATGGTACAGTCGTCCCTCTCTAATCCGGCACCTTTTGCTACGGCATTTTCTGCTGGATTAACGAGGTTGCTGGATTAAGAAATCCTGCCCTCTGACCCGGCCCTACCCAATTGCATGCATGTATCATACGTCAAAACGCAGGGTTTTCCGTGTCGACCCCAGTATTTGGTGCACGGCTTTATATTCTCAACTTTACACAGTGATAAAGTAAAACAGAGAACATGTTCACATGTATACGTACTCTTGCACACACACGCACAGTCGATTTACGACTGCCGGATTATGAAATCAAACTACGTGCAGTTTGAGCGATTTGTTTCAAAAAGTCACTGCCGGAGGCGGAATTCAAGTGCCGAATTAAGATGTAGGAGTTGAACGAAAAAAATCGGTTTCGTCAGAAAGTGCGCCGGTTGGCAAGGGTTCCGGATAAACAAGTGCCGGATTAGAGAGGGACGGCTGTATATCATAATTATGGCTGTGCCATATGCCCGGACCTCCGGGTCACTCATGATGAATTTATGCGTGCTTTACATAATATTGCACGTTGTCGCCCCAGTGCAGGATGACTTCACCTTGAACAATGTATGCAAGACACATGTCCAGGTATTATCTACAATACATTTCTGTCATTTTGATATACATATTGCATACTAAATGTGAAGATCGGGTTTAGTGACAGATCAAAATAATATAGCGACATTTTGCTTTCTCCCGAAGGAGTGTCTTTATATCCAATCTCCACTGTACAACACTCGTAGTCGTGGTACCAGCTGCGCCCGTGCACCATTATTTGTAGCCGGGGGTTTTGATGTTCATAATCGAAGCACAGAGACATGCACGATAAAGCAGTGCAGAGTTGCTTGCTGTCTGCAGCTGTATTACTATTACATTTTTAGGGTAGACCTGGGAGCCCTACACATATCGGTATGTGCAAGAGTACACTGTACAGTATTGTACTCTTGGTATGTGTAGGGATCCCTGGCCTGGCCTGGGTTAGACTACTAGACAACCAGTTACCTGTGCATTTAGTACACGCTGCAACCAAGGTTGACGACTCCCGGCCTGGCTCAGCTCACAACACGTGCACAGCCGATGTGTGCAACCGAGCACATGAACACTCTTAGTTATACATGGTCAAACGGCGGTAAATACACGCCTACAGTAGCGTCTGCCCACACGTACACAGCGCTTTCTAAGCTGCACGGTCCTGACGAGTTTTTAATGTTTTAAAAGACGATTTGCAATTTTCCCACTAAGCGGGCACACCCTGCCATAACACAACCGTCTTTTTAAATAACAATGTGTCTTCCTCATAAAAACGTTCACTTTGTGCCTCGTTTGTGACTCAACTCTTTTTGTAACCCAAAGGATTTGAGAGAACACTATTAGCAAAGAAAGCGGGTACAAGTAGACTTGGCTTAGGAATTAGCTAGAATGATGGAGTGCGAATCGTAGTCCAACCATGTAGGTATGTTATGTAGTATAATAATACTATGCTGTGTATGATATGCAGTATATCTAGTATATTATTATTGTATTCAGATGTGCCAGCACTATGACATAATGTTATCATGATAGAAAAATATGAACAAAGCACATAGACACTGGTGCTCCGATGGGGGAGGGGACACACAGCTGCGTTCGCTTCCACTCAAAAACATGCTCAATCAAAAAACATTAGGACAAAAATGTACACGTCATACAGACGAAGAATGAACGAAGGTGTGATGAAGCAACACCAACGGACATTGAAGCAGAATGACCAAGTCAACAAAGAGAGTAAAAAGTCCACACACATACAGCATACACCTCAACATGCCAATCCATAAGCTGAGAAGGCACAGACACAGACAGACACACATATACAATCTCTCGCATGCACGCACACACATTTACACGCACAGAAAACCACACACACACACACACACGCACGCACACGCGCGTGCACACACACACACACACACACACACACACACACACAACAGCACACACACACATACACACAACAGCACACACATACACACAACAGCACACGGTACTAACACTGCAGTAATTTCTACTCCGTCATAAAAAAACTAAGATACGCCACGGCGATGCAAAGCTAACTTACATTCACTCCGTAAGTTCAAGACGTTGACCAGGAGTTCGAGGAGGTTTTACTACCACGGCCAGCATGCGCAGGCTGTGGGTGGCTGCGTGCACGGAGGTCGGATAACTGGCGTCGATGCGACGGGGAGACGTGCTCAAGAGGGCCGCGTGACATTGGAGAGCGGGCGCGCGAGGAATGGCCGGTCTGGGAGCCCGAGGCTCTTGATCTGCTCCGTGTGTTAGGACCCGCCGAGCTAGATGTGGATGTATGCCGTTGACCAGTGGGTGATACCTGCGGATGTCCGTATTGTACATGTCCGATATCAAGCGGAGAGGGCGTGCGAGGCGGTGCTTGGTTACTATTGTATGCTGCTGATGCGTTGCTGCATGCAGCTTGAAATATAGAAGCAAGTGGTGACGTGGCGTCAATGGACAATGACAATTGCACACTATTGGCTGCCAGTGGTGGAGGGTGAGGGGTACTCAGTGACGTTGCTCGGTAAGGGTTGCTGCTGCTGCTGCTGCTTGTCCTACTGCTGCTTGTCCCAGTGCCAGGACCAGCACTGCAACGGCTCTGCTGCACAGCTGTAGATGCAGGAGCTTGTCCAACTGCGGCCGCCGTGTTCCCTGCAATGTACAGAGATCCGCGACTGCCTGTCTCTGAACTCAAGTAGGATGCATGAGATGGGTACGTTGTCATAGAGGCAGCAGGCGTTGATACGGACTTATGGCGTAGGCCTGCTGATGAGAAATGATGCTGCTGCTGACCTGTGCTCTTATTCTCCTGCTGCTGGTGCTGCTGTTGCTGGTGCTGCTGCTGGTGGGAGTGAACGGAGGCATTGTTGCTCTTCAAAGCGACACCAGGCAGAGGCTGCTCATGCCACGGATGCTGCTGCTGCTGAGCCTGCTTATGCCACGGATGGGTTGGTTGCTGCTGCTGCTGCTGCCATGGATGCTCTTGTCTCTGATGCCCTGGTGATTGTTGGGCATGAACTACAGGTGTTCGCTGCTGCTGCTGCTGCTGCCGCACTACTTGATTTTCGAATTGCTGCATTGGCTGTGAGTGTGATGGGTTGCCCCAGCTGTGCTGGATGTGTGCTTGCTGCTGTGGCTCAGGGTGTGGCTGTCCCCCGACTGCCTCGTCAGGGTGTGGCTGTCCCCCAACTGCCTCGTCAGGGTGCGGCTGTCCCCCGACTGCCTCGTCACCCGATCGCGATGCACTTTGCGAGTGAACACGTTTACAGAACACAGACATTGGATCATAGTTCACCTCTGCTGCTGCTGCTGCTGCTGTAGCTGCAGTATCATGAGATGCGACGCGTGCTGCTGTTGCTGCTGATCCTGCTGTGCTTGCAGCTGCACCGCCAGCAGGCATGCCTAGTCCTGGAGCTGCACCACCGGCTGAGTGTTGTTCTGTGCCTTGTGTTGCCGATTTAGCAGCTCGCTTGCGCGCTTGTCTCTCCGCTCTCACAGCCAGTCTTTTTTGGTGCTTTGAGACCCTTTTCGGATTATGGGGGTGTTGTTGTGGGTTCGGGGCTACCTTTGGTGGCATCGCCGGCTGCGAGTCCCTTAAATTTATTCTCTTCATCCTATGATAGGTCAGGACAGAATGAAGCTCAGCCCTCAGCTTCACGAGTTCTTTGCTACAGATTGCGAGCTTGTTCTGAGCTTCTTTCAAATCACACTGCACCCTCTTCTGCATTTCCTTATTCTGCGTGTTGCGGATAAACGTTGAAAGCAAGGTCACCTGTTTTTTTAACAGTATCTCCGTCTTACAAGCGTGTTTGATATCATTCTGCACTAGCTGTTGTGGTCTTCTTTCCGTTGTGGAGCTGCTGGCGCTTTGCTCCTGGGGTGTGCTACTAGCAGATGGGGTATCAGCTGTTGGCTTGGACACGAGTGCAGCAGCAGGGCCGCACTGAGTTGGTAAAGTCTTAGAGAGTGCACCATCACCGGACACTGTCACTGCTGACCTATTTGCCGCCGCAGCCTCCGCAGCAGAGGCCGACGACGCTGACAGCTGCCGTCCCTCTGAAGCAGCGTGCACACCAGCGACTGCTGTAGGCCCGTCGCCAGCGGACCCATCTTGATCAGGTGTCGTTGGCGGCGGCTGTGCACGTGTAGATGCTGCTGAACACGGCTCAACAGACGTGACCCTGGCAGACTGAGTAGATACTGCTACTGCTGGGCAAGTTAGCGCATCGCTTGGCTCACTCTCCAGTTTCGGCCCCGTTCTACTTCTCGTGTTAGGTTCTTCCGGGGTAGGCGAGCGGATCGTGATCCTACGGCGTAGAGCACGGTTGACAGCGGCAATGCCCTGACCATCACTGTCCACATCTCTGGCAAAGACGGGGGAGACTGGTGTGTCAGGCTGACGTACCTCTGCACCAGTAGAGCTAGCAACCGACGAATTCGCAGTGGCATTCTTACTGTCGCTGCTGTTGCTGCTGCGGTACACCGCCTCCTCTTCAGCTTCAACTAATGTTGCACCAGCATCGCCATCTTCAGCTTCTAAGTCGAGAATTGTGAACGGCTTGTTGGAATCCGCTTCAGTTTCACTTCCTGATTCGTCTCCCCACAGACATGCATAAGCAGGTGAATCCTCACTGGACACAGAGAGGACGTCAATTGCCATTTCACATTCATCTTCCGCAGGTAGGTCTGAGAGTTCAGCTTCAGTGTGCATGTCGTCTGCAGCTGCTGCGACTGCTTGGCTCTTCTCACTACACCGCACACCAGACATATTCTCAGAAACACCTCCAGGCTCACTGCCAGTCACCACACCACATTCGACCTGTGAGAGGGCCGGCACAGCACAATTGCCAGCGAATGAAATGCCAGCAGCAGGAGGGCCACTGACCGTCACAGCCGTTTCTGAACACGGGGGGTCAGTGTTGCCCTCGTGAGCATCGCTGGCAGGACTGCCGCGAGCAACTGTTCTGCTCGCAGGTGGCCCTGCAGCTGAAGCAGCACAGCTACCACTCAGGGTAGTACCAGTCTGAGCAGTGGAGATTCTCATCTCACCAGCATTCTGCTGCTCACTGCCAGACACTGGTCCCGGTGCTGTCGCTACCGTCACTGCTGCTGCTGCTGCTTCTGCTCCTGCTGCTGCTGCTGGTATGTGAGACAATGTCTCACGGTCCAGAGATTGACCTGCACCGGACACAAAGTGTAGCAAGAAAAGTAAAAATGTAGAAAGATGAAAGAAGAGAGGGGACCAGATGCAAACAGAATGCTGGCTCTTCAATCACCACCCATCCCAATACACAGCACACTGTAGAACACACAGCACACTGTAGAACACACAGCACACTGTAGAACACACAGCACACTGTAGAACACACTGGAGATTACAATAAAGATGGCCAGAAGCAGCGGAAAATAGGCACAGCAACGTTGCATTGCGTCAACACAGTTGAATATTGGTACGTTGCTTGTGGCTGTAGTACTGTGATACTGCTCAGCTACACACAGCTTCACAATGAGTACAACGCCAGCAAGACAGCTTACAAGGAGTGCAGCATGGCATAGCACAGAACAGCAGCCAGTGCCATGACCGGTTGCAACTATGGTGTCAAGATGAGGAAGCAAGGTAAAGTAAATGCAGTTGGCCAACACCTGCCAACAAGGAGTTGGGTCTACGTCAAACCACACTCACAGTTGGACTCACTGCACCCCATCATCAGCGGAGAGCCCAGCAAGCAGTATGAAGTAAGCGCCTTTTCAACCTAGAGGAAATCACCCTTCTCTAGGATCCATAAAGCGTAGTCAGCGTCATCAGATTAACAAAAATGAAAATTCGATTATTTCAACAAATAATATTTTCACCAAAACCACGACCACTGTTTCGGAATTTGGCTTCAGAAAAAGAAAAAGAGAACTGAGTTAATACCATAACAAGGAGCATTTTTGAATTTTTATGATGAGAAGGCATCAAATCACTCGTGGACATTTTTTGAAAACGTCCCGTGCGAGACGTGTGAAGCTTGTTCATATCTTGAATGTGATTACGTCATGTTTGTTTCCAAGAAAACTGAATGCCATATTTGCTGGTGCATACAGCACACCCCCTTCTTGCAAGCTGTATTTACCGCCATTTCGCCAGGTGTGTTTTAACCACCATTTTTCGTCGACCTCCAATATGAAGTAAGGGCGAGGCTTCTTGCAGTTTCATTTAGATGAAAGGCATTCGAGCTGACAAGCTCATTCTCATAACTCTGCAAAACACTGAACATGACCTGATGATGGAGAAATGCCAAAACGTTGCTAAAAAATCGATGTGAAAACGATGTTCAGTGTTTTGCAGAGTTATGGGAACGAGCTAGTCAGCTTGAATGCCTTTCATCTACTTCCATTATGATGCTGAAATGGGAGCCTTCATATCATTCTACCATTGCTCACAGATACAACTAACATGCCCTTCTGCAGCTAAGGGCGCGTTCAGACTACCGAGAACCCTGTCAAACCGGGAATGGCGATAACACCGTGAAGGGCATTTGCACTACCACTAAACAAAGTTACTTGTGCAGCTCTCACCACGGCACTGAGAAGGGATTTTGCCTTACTCCCAGCCTGAGCACCTTTTTTACTGCCGGAGTGCTGTTTCTGCCACAGCAGTAAAACCGTTCTGCCGGCAAAGTGCCTGTAACGTCACGTGATCAAATAACCATGGAAAACCATTCCGTCACTTTTATCAGTAGTCGGAACGGGGGGCCCTTAGCATGCAACTGCAGGCAAGCGGCGGCCCGTAGTGGTAAGACACACCGCTGCTGCTGCTACCACACTTGCTACTGTTTGTCGTTCAGCGACAGAGCGGCTATCGGTTTAATTGCAGTGGTTGAAGATGTACCACCACAAGGACTATCATTCACACAAAACTTGTCTGGATTTCAAGATTGGCAATTGCCATCATGAAAATATTCTTTAGAATCAGCAGAGAGAAGTCTGAGCATGTTACCCTATACTTCAACGTCCCTAGAAAGTGAAGTTATCACAGAAGTGGTTTACTGCTCATGTACAGAGACCACTGGCTAAAAAAGACAAAAATAGACAAGTACCAAGTAAACGAAAAACAAACAAAAAAACAAGAACAAGACAACATGAGCACCTACCGCAAAAATAAATGCTAATACTATGTGCAGACCAGCAAGCTATTACCTGGAGCTGTGTCCATCTCCTGTACTGTAGTATCAACGGCGGACGCTGCTCCGCAGGATCCATGTGCAGTCTGATTACCACCGACTTGAAGGCCTTTCTCGCGCAGGATGCGCAGCGCTTCTTGCACCACATTCTCCCCTTCCATGACTGAATGCTCCTGGTGGGCACGCACTGCAAGCAAGCAAAAAAACACCAACACGTAGCAGCAGGCAAAAATGATCCATGTGCTGTTTTTCAGGCGTACCGGCTAAGCAAAAGCAGCTGATATAATCGTGGAGGAGGTAGTAGCATCAGACTAAGTTAGGCTCTAGCCAGGCAGTACTGGCCTGTAGACATCAGATTGGCCTACCTAAAGTCAATAGACACCAGTACTGACCTATCCAAAGCCACACCAATGCTATGCACACAGGTAGCAAAAGCTACGGTCCTAGACTACAGGCGGCGGCGGTACATAGTAGCCACTGTACCTTTGTAGTGTGGCAGTTGAGACTTGGCCACCGTCTTTGTCATGACCGTCGTTGCTACCAGCAGGTATCCACCACTTGATACCATGCGCATCAGTGGGTGGCTACGATCAGGTAGGACCTGACAGCGAGAACATGGCATAGTGAAAAGAAACAAGTGAGTCCAATGGCATTATGCATACATGTACATGTTCTAGATAATCTACAGCACTGTAGAAGTAGAACGGGTAATTTTAGCAACGTAAAAACCCTAGCGAATTTAGCGATCGACTCATTTTCGCTAAAGTTTCAAGTCGCTAATCCGTTGAGACATTAGTACGCGTAGTGCACTGGTGATCCATGAGTAAAATCGCTGCAAATCGCTAAAATAAAACGTCGCTAGCCGGTTGACAATGGGAAAACGCTAAAATTAATAGTCGCTAAAATTACCCGTTCTACAGTACTTTACAAGTGACTGCCTGGTCAATCAACCACTTGGTCCGCATGGCTATATCCTTCGGCACTCCAAGAGTGTTGAATTTGATGGGATCACACTGGCTTCAGAGCCCACATGCGTTCCAAGACAGCAGTACAGCAGTACATGTACAGTAGCAAAGGCAATAGCTGAAAGCAACTTCTACCGGCACGTACACGTAACGTACAGCGCTACATACTTTCTTCCACATCACACAGCTCAGTGGCAAACTGCCATTATTCACACGGATACCGTGCGCCTGGACATCCAGTACACGGCCACCCACCTGGCGGACTTTCGAGTACTGTAGTACGCACATTGAATGCCATGATACACACAGTAGAACAGCGGAGAAAGGTTGCAGTGCCGCTGCCGCCCAGAGTTTCATGCACAACATGCAGCTACCAGGCAACACAACAATACCATATCGGCACCGTCGTCTTAGCAATAGCTGCGGGACAGGAGTAGCGAAAGAAACGGCCAATGACTGGTTGCAACACATCGTCCTACAACATCTAACTGCTATGGCAAACGAGAAAAAGACCGTGAAGTAGCAATTTAAGTAACAACAGAGGTTTGTAATGGTTTACCTGGTGTTCTCGCATCCAAGGCTCAATGATTCGCACAGCATTGAATGTGGACGATGCAATCATGTTGTCAAAGCACTCCATCAGTGGCTGGTAGGAAAGCACACAGCAAGTATCGAGACAAGCAATAGTGCACGCGAGTAATTACTACTTCAGTAGCAGTTCACACACACACACACTGCGTGTCATGGTGCATACTGTCATCACCCAACACATTAAGTTAACTGGATTCAACTCCATCCCTGTACACTCTACCAATGCCAGCCTCTCTACAGCCGGGCTCGAAACCAACCAAACTCAGCAGTTTGACTTCCTCTCCATCACAAGCTGCTCAGGAAACTAGTGTAAGTCTGACCACCAGGCTATGGTTACACACACGCAGCCATTACTCTAGACAAGTAAGTTGGGGCAAGACAGCAGTGCGGTGTTTACTGCAAACGCCGGCAAAGCTGTATGCCTGCATGATAGCTTGATAAAAGATAACTACTACAGTGCTGCTCAATGAAATCCAGTCGCATCCCTCAAGTACGCGCCGGGCGCTGCGCAGCCCTAGACCTGCGAACACTGAGGTGCGAAATGGTACACGGCGCAAACTTGAGTGACGCGACTGGAGTTCATTGAGCAGCACTGTAGTAGCCAGCGTGCATAGTAGATGCACACAGTGACCAACTGAAGATAATTATACAGCTGAACCGGCAGGTACTGTGTCGCCTCACCTCCATGTAGCGGCTATAAATGACGACGGGCCGGGAAGGTCCAACAAAGCCAATCAGCTTTTCAACAAGCGGCCAAGGACGATACGATGTGCACAGAATGAGGCTGTGCACACACACAGACACCGACACACGCACGCACACACACACATACACACACAAACACACACACAGGCACACAAACACACGCACGCACACACCACACACACACACGCACACACACACACGCACACACACACACACACACACACATATGAGTCGCATGAGAGGTGATACGAAGGGTAAGCAGTAGCTTTCGAATAAAAAGTGAGCTTGCTCTATTAATGCTGAAAAAAATTCGTGCTAGGACAGAGCCTGGATAGCTACCAATTATTTTAGATACATGACAAGTTGACCGGCCATGCACACACTTATCAATACACCGTAGAGCATGGTGCAGCTGTTATCAATGTCAGTGCAACTGCCTAGATAGTGTATGTATATGCAAGACTCCTCTTAGTGTATCCGCTCAGCTAGAATACACCCACTACAACGTACCCATGGTAGTTGCCTTTCCAGAGGTCTCTCTTCAAGCGTGACAGCATGATTATACGCTCCAGCTTGCTGTCCATGGCCATGGGCTATACAACAGGAGAGCGTTGGTCGCACACAGATACAAAAACACAGACGCATGCACGTATGCACACAAGTGCACACATGCATGGACAAAGACGGACACACACAGTCACATGCGCACACATACACATAACTGTTACATACACACCGGTTAGTAGTGCAGTGACAACATGGGTAACAATAGCATGGAACGTCCTCTGGAAACACGATGGTTAGATCACACTACTAGAATTTTTTAAACGCTCTTCACATTAGTACCATTGTAGTCATGAAAATGTTCAGAGCCAGCCTCCAGTACACGCAACTAACCTCACATGGCATGCAAGCTGCGGGGACCTGGTCTCGACTCAGACTGGATTCCGATGTCTCCTCTGATGCGGCGGCAGAGGAAGTTGTTTCAGTGCACGTTGCAGTACCGCTTTGCACATCGCCATTGTCTGTGTCTGCTTGCACGGGCTCGCGATCCACCTGTTCAGTGTCCATGGCTTCATCTGTTCCCTTTTCAGTGTCCTGCCGCTGTTGTTGACGCGAAGGGGCTTGCCGCCTCCGTCCCCCCGGCAAGCGTGGCATCTCAGATGACTCTTCGATTGAGGGCTCAAAGTTGTCAAGTAATGAGTGCAGGTCACTGGATGGATGGGCTGCAAAGCACAGCAAAAGCACAACAGATACGAAGCAGGTGGATGAGCTGCAGACCCGGCCACGAAAAAAAGAAATCTTCGGGACTACTGTAAACAAGGAAGCGTTTGCGCCGGTTCTAGTTCGTGAGTCGCGTGCACCGACCAATTTGCACCTGGAAAGGTTTCCGATCGGAGTCCATTTCATTAGTTCTATTTCCACAGTTAAGGCGCACCGCACCGCCTCTGTATTTCTACAGTTCTACATTTCAAGCCGGCTTACTTTTGCAACACCCATCGCAAAAATCGCTAACGATTCCAGGTGGCAAAGATTTCCAGGTTTACAGTATGATTATAGATTCATGCGGAGAATCATCGGCTAGACCCAAAGCAATGCCCATCTCAACAATGTGTACGGCATAATGCCCTACTCGGAGAATCATCGGCTAGACCCAAAGCAATGCCCATCTCAACAATGTGTACGGCATAATGCCCTACTCAGGTACAGCATGCACCGGGGAATTCCACTTCGAAACTTCGAACTTGGTGAATGCTGTCAAGCACACTCACAGACGCATGCGCGCACACACAAACAAACAGTTTCTATGTTGATTCCGCAGCCACAACTGAGAAACCACTGTCCAAGGAAAGCCGAGTGCAAACCAAGTGCAGACCGAAAGAGAAAATAAAACTCAGACGTTACAATCACTTACAGTCTGCCCATTCGATGAGCCTGGATGGCCAGGAGTGTTCATCTGCCAGCATCCAAGTCAACTCTGCCAGCGGCAAGTCTATAAGTGTTTTACGGAGTTTAGGGGAGCACACAGCAGGGATGATGGGTCTGCCACAAAAAAAAAACAATAACAACATACGACACAATCAGATAGATAATAGCCATATCAGCGCATAGATACAGTACATGACATATCTCAAGACCGTGCACACATAAATGATACAAAACGTCTTGGAAAGAAATCCCTACAACAGGTTACAGAGGAGCAGAAGATTAGCCCGGTACAGCAGCCAACTTACATTCTGATTTCACCGCGGTGAGTTTTCGAAATGACTGAGTGATTGCTCTGATAGTTGTGGATGTGCACAAGAGATCCCGAGCCTTGGCCAGACATAGCAAAGCAGAGGAATGGGAGCATGAGAATGTGCGTGTGAGGGGAGGCAACAGCACAACATGAGAGAGCACCTGCTGGATAGTGAAGCTTTGGTATAATTATATGCACATGCATTCTCAATTTACAAAATCACACGGTTCCCTAAGGGCACGTTTGATTCGTCGGATCCGGAACAGGATCACTTAGAACAGGGGCATTCGGTTGGTCAGATCCGGAACAGGATCGCTTAGAACAGGGGTGTTTGATTGGTCAGATCCGGAACAGGATCGCTTAGAACAGGGGCATTTGATTGGTCAGATCCGGAACAGGATCGCTTAGAACAGGGGCGTTCGATTGGTCAGATCTGGAACAGGATCGCTTAGAACAGGGGCATTTGATTGGTGTGCACTGATTTAGAAGTGTTCAGAACATGTTCTGTAATACGCCTGCACAATACAAAACACAGCTAGGGACTCACTGACCTCCAAGTCGTTCTAACATTGCTGCAGCAACCAGGCCCATGCAGTTTTCCACCAGCAGAAGGCGTGACCCAAACTGAACATCAGCTTGATTGACGATCTGAGATATCGTGTCGAGTCGCAATTGGCTGCAGAGGCACATCGGAACACAATATACTACTAAGCACTACACCGTAGTACATCAAAGAAGCAGCAAAGTTCAAGCAAATCTGCAAGTCAAGGCTACAACTGGACATGTGCATTCAGCAAAGTATGCACAACAAGGTTATAGCTGAACAAGCCGCAGCTACAATACAGTACATAATTACGGAAATCGGGCTTTCTCAAAAGCATAACGATTAAAAGGAGCAGGAGAGGTTCTTAGCGCAAAGAAAAGTAGTTGCATACCAGATTTTGTTGTCCTTGAGATTGCCAACATTGTTTGAGAACTGGTCCCACATCAACTGAATATTAGGACGACAGATCTTGACCCGGCAGCAGTACCTAACAACAACGCAGAGACACGCATCACATACCGTATTTTTCGGAGTATAGTGCGCACCTTTGTATAACGCGCACCCCCCCCCCCCCCCAATCTTCATTGGGGGTGCCCACTTCAATCTTCATTGAAGTACATGCATTTCATATTCAGAGCATAGTGCGCACCTGAGATTTAGGGCCTAAAATAGCACATCTAAAGTGCGCACTATACTCCAGAAAATACGGTACACACATAACAACTTTACAACGGTATGTACGTGAGCACACACGTACAAGCACTACCAGTACATGCATTAGAGAATAGGTCACCACCATACATCATGATATGCCAGTACTGTACTAACAGGAAGGGAGCCTTGCATGAAGGCAGCACACTTGGCAAGCAGAAACACTGCCGACTCACTTGGCCTGCTTTTTCTTCAGGTACTTCGCCTTGGAAAAGTCTGTCTTCTCTTCAAACGTCTTGCTGTGTGCCACTAGATGATCCACCATAGCCTGCAAGAACAACCAAACAGTGAGAGGACACCATGGAAGATGTCAGTCACAGCTGGGCACAGAGTTAGCCAAATACGCAGCAATTGTACTGGCCTAAACAAAGCGCCAAACACACTGATGGCCGCATTGTGCAGGAATACACACAAGTTTGCCGTCCACAGTTACAGGCCAGAACCAATAATGTAGCTACACTTGATCCTCACTGCCACAGTCACAGTTTCTTCGATGGGGATGGCATTGCGAGTTGAAGATTAGTCTCCAGACGATGACATCGCTAAAAGAGCACACTGTAGAACGGGTAATTTTAGCAACGTAAAAACCCTAGCGAATTTAGCGATCGACTCATTTTCGCTAAAGTTTCAAGTCGCTAATCCGTTGAGACATTAGTAGTGCACTAGTGATCCGTGAGTAAAATCACTGCAAATCGCTAAAATAAAACGTCACTAACCGGTTGACAATGGCAAGACGCTCAAATTAATAGTCACTAAAATTACCCGTTCTACAGTATCGATGATGCAGGTGTTATTGCAGTGGAACCGTCCCAAGCTCAGTGCTAGATGCTCTGCTATGTGATGGTGGTCTAGATTCAGAGTTGTCCGTCAGTTCTAGCCTCTAGAGCAGAAGACGAGCTTGAACTCTACGTGACTATGGTCACCGAGTGTCATCTGGCCGGGTCAATAGATGTGCTTGCATGGTGGAAAATCAACTCTGAGCGTTTCCCGCCTCGTCAAACACTGCTTGACGGTTCTTACGCAAGTGTAGTAGAGGCCTGCACTTCCCACTGACAACGCTGCAATTCACACAGATTGCTGTGCAAGCCATGTACGTGTCCAGCGGCAGGGCTTACCTGATCGCGGAGACCTCCAGCCTTCAGGCGCTCAATCTCCTCATAGTCCAATGCTTGAGACGAACCATCATCCTTTAGGTTGCGATTGTCATAATCACCAGCCGCTGTCACAACATACCACACAAAACAGGGTAAAAACCAACTACGAAAGACAAATACAGTCCCCAGCAAGAGATGGCAACAGTAGCAGAATAAGCTCATGTTCTGCACTAAACAGTATAGTGGCACAAATCGGAAATACAGTCATCCTTTTTTCCTAACATACTTCAGCGAAACTGACGGCTACATGATAAGTGGCGGCCGAAATTTGTTTGTAGAATGCATGCTCCGAGCATCCAGTACATGTACTGCAATGCAGTTTTATAAGGGGCGTTAATCATTCAAACACCTGAAAGCCAGTGTAGCCCATGACATAGAAGAGCATAAGCGTGTGGAATACTACACTGTGTGTACGTGTGTGTGTGTGTACGTGTGTGTGTGTGTGTGTGTGTGTGTGTGTGTGTGTGTGTGTGTGTGTGTGTGTGTGTGTGTGTGTGTGTGTGTGTGTGTGTGTGTGTGTGTGTGTGTGTGTGTGTGTGTGTGTGTGTGTGTGTGTGTGTGTGTGTGTGTGTGTGAATGGGGTGTGTGTGTGCGAATGGTGTGTGCGAATGGTGTGTGTGTGTGTGTGTGTGTGTGTGTGTGTGTGTGTGTGTGTGTGTGTGTGTGTGTGTGTCATGGGATCTGTGTACCGGAAAAGCTGCATGTTACCAAAAATCCCTACTATAATACCGGTTGCTTTTCTTGACAGCTACTTGATAACCAAAGCAGGTTACTGGAAGTGGAAAGTAGTCTTGTTCATGTCAATCAGTTTGTGAGTAAAATGTCAGTTAGTCATAACACAGATTGTAATACGTGTTGATGTGATGACGTGATGCACTGCAACTTACCTTGTACATCACGTTCATCAGACTTCATCAGGTTGCGTTCACCGGGTAGCAGGACCAGTTTGAAGACGGGACGATTCGACGAGCCAGACGTCTTTTGCATTTCAAACACAGAGTCGAACGGCATTCCTATAGCCGGCGTCGTGTCAACTTTCTGCCGATTTATCATGGTGATCCTGCAAGAAGAGTGGTACAGTGTGATTGAGTGAAGGTTTTGCAATGACGTCGCAGCACAAGAAATCCACTTCCCCTCCCCTAGGAGTAATTCATATCTTGTACATGTACTCCCCTATGTTCATTGCCTATTCTGCATGGCTGAACGTTGCCCTGGCAAGATAAGGACCGTGGCTCTCTCAGCCTCTTCCAGACCTGTGTCACCACTTGACTCTCTCAGCGTCACCTGATCCATCGTCCCTGTCTTCTCTATTTCATAGTAGTTCTTCGATTGGCACGTATATCCTGGATTTCTACTATCACAGTCTTATTACCGAATTGCGTGTTGCTCCCTAAGTGAGAGCTCGCGCTTTCCCTGCCAACTCGAGTCAGTGCTGATACACAATTCCTCAAGTATCGCCGACGTTGCTACAACCTCTTCTTTGCACTGTCGTCCCCAGAGCGGGCTTGCGATTCGTTGGCTTGGAGGCAACAGCATTGTGAAAGGCCAGCGGTCCTCAGCGCTTGTTCTGCACCTTCATAATCAACACTGACTCACGTTGCTTTCGGGAGTTTGTGAGGTGTTTGTTACGCTGGAAACGGAGTGTCACTGTAAGTTGATATCCCTAGTGATGCTTAGGCTCAGAGAGCACTACATAATGCAGTGCTCTCCGAGCACAAATTTCATTAGCCTACTCAGTCTCAAATGACGAGGGGAATTCCCCGAAACACTGGGTATTGTGCAGGGAGTACATTATAGTGCGTTCCTGCAGATTCGCAGAGTAGAAGGTTCGATAGACTCCTTGTGTGCTCTGGACGGCAGTCGTGAGTCAGTCAAGTGAGAATTCAAGTCGGCAGGAAAAGCGCGAGCTCCCACATTATAGGGCCACATAGGGAGCAACACACCACAAGTATCGCCAAAGTTGCTACAACCTCTTCTCTTTTTTTTTTACATTATTTTTATGCAGCCCCTGCTTATCCATCCCTACGTACCAGGGAGTAGTAAAATACAGGGAGGTGACACGAGCATGTACGGCCAGTTTGACGATTGCCTCAGCACCGTTTTCACCCGGCGGGTGAGATTGGGGTACTATGGGTACCGAAGTGTGTAGACATGCGCGCGGATCAGGATTCTCTCGATCAGGGAGTAATAAAATACCTACCGCCAAAGAGACTCCTACTGCAGCCCGTAGAAACTCAGCGCTGAGAATTTCCAACAATTGTCTGCCTTCACAAAGTTTGGTAGTCGACCAAACTACCACTATGTCAGGATAGAACTCTAGCAAGAGTGGTATCACTTTGGGAGATATCCCTGCGTGCCGTAGACTTTTCCTGTGTCGATACAAGCTGTTTACGACGACGTAGCCCGCATTGAATCCTTGACAAACTTAGGAACATTTCATTCCGAAAAGTGAACTCCCGGATCTCTAGCATACCATAATATGAAATGCTCATCATCACAAAGAAGGTCGAGAAGTACTGGTTGATCACAACTGAGGAGAAATTAGTGCCGATCGTGTGGTGTCCTAGAGATTTTTTCGACTTCGAAATCGGTGCACTCGCTTTTCATCTCCAATCGTACACGTATTGTTCTCAAGGAAATCACCTTTGTTCTATTGCTCCATGCCGTCGATCGGGACGAATTTCGGAAGGGTGGTACCTTTCCATATGGCGATGACACAGATGTATCACAAGAGCAAAACAAATGCTGTTCCATGAGATGGATAGACCTTTTCATGGAATTAGATCTTTGACAAATACTCAAGATTGATTCAGCAGATCATCTTTTTTTGCGAAAGAAAAAAAAACAAGCGCGAGGCACCCATCAAAAATCACGATTAGTGGCGTGTCACCTCCCTGTATTTTACTCACGGCTGTTTTTTGTGCGATTTCACGCCACTTAACAATATGGCCGCCGAAAGTCTTGATTGGGCTTCAATGGCAAGAAAATTTGAATTTTCAAATCGTCAGAACACGAGTAGGCCATGGTTTCCCCTGGATTTTGGAGACTAGTCAGCCCGGACAGCCCGGGGAACACGCTAATCATCTGCGTCTTGTTTCAAGCTTTCAGCTCGTACCTCACATGACTGCCTTTCCTTCAAGAAACATTTGTTCTGTGTCGTGCGACTTTGGCTTCGTTCTGGAATACTCCTTGTGTCGTCGCTGACAAACTCGACTCCGAGAAGCCCTTCCCGATTTTTTCCCAGCTTAGATCGATTTTTTCCCAGGTAGAGGACTATCCTCTGGTTGTCTTCCCCAAGTGTCATTAGAATACGCGCGTGAACTTCTAAATACGCGCGACGAGTCAGGAGCCTGTTTTCTCTTGATTTGGAAGACAAAATGGTGTGGCCCTTTAGTTGCTGTTGAGTGTAGAAGGCTGCTTCCTGCTGTAAATTGCTTAGTCGGCATGTGGGATATTGTAGAAGAAGACAGCAGCCGGCCAAGTGAGCTTGAAATTGTGATATCTACCCTATTGTGCGTTGAACGATTACGAAATGTCTAACTTGAATGTTGTACACGCGAGCACGCCAAGCAGAGGCTGACAATCACTGGTAAGATCAATCTCCAGACTGCCAGGAGTACTTCGAGCAAGTTTGAAGCGGAAAGACAGCTAACTGGGCAAGCCAGGACGCCTTTCCACCCTCTTTCTCTCTCAAATTGCCGAAAAGTCGAGTATCTCGCTCGAGCGCTTTCAAAACTTTTCTCTTGGTTTCGCGTCCCAAATCGTGGAACCACGCGAGAATCGACATGAGTTTCGCGCAAAAACGCAAACTCATCGCGTATTTGTACTATTCGCACAATGTTACAAAAATCGCACCGAACGACGCCATATTGATAAGTGCCTGCACGTGAACAGCCGTGTACTACTCCCTGCTACGTAAGTCATCGTGGAGGCAGGTATCACTATCAGAACATACTCTAATTTCACAAATTTTCGGTGTACTTTTATTTTCGGTACTTTCGGTGCATCTGCTTCATACCTAAAATTTCAATACACCGAACAAAAACTAACACACATAATCCAATAGGGAACAGCTTCCCTGTACCGAAAATTTCTGTTCACCTAACCTGGCCTTTTGCCCTCATACCGAAAATATTGAGCACCGAAAATTTCTGAAATTAGAGTAGTCTATATGTCGCATAATGGTATAATACATTAGTAGCATTCGTCCCAAAATGGCACGGGAAACGATGGGCCCTGCAGACCATAAAGTGAGAAATACACTTTCAAAGACTAACTTTTGATTCAGCACAGCTGTCGTCTTGAATTGTGGTGTTATGAGCACGACCGGCTCATCGCGCGTGATGAGATCCATGGTCGCCACCTTCGAGCTGAAAACTCAGCAAATCTCAGTTCTTCGTAACTAACTACTTCCTTCAACAAGAATCACATAATCATTGGTAAACAAACCTCCTCTCAGTCACAGCTCGAGCTAGGGCAATCAACACGAATAAAATCCAGAATCAGTTCTTTTCCTAGTTCCTACTCGATCTCATGCTCAGAGACATGAGCACTGCGCTGCATGAACTGTATCACTGCGGTGTGAAAATGACGTAAGGGGCCGTCCGGGGTTCAATACTAGTAGTTTTTGCAAAACGAAAAGTTTGCATCTGCATTCAATTATTTTCAAAACGAAACTCCTTCAAACCCACCCACCCCCAAACGAAAACTTTTCGTTTTGAAAATACTATTGGTAACCTTGAACGGCCCTGTACAGTACACTACTACTAGGCCTGCTAGCCCTAAAGTAACACATAATATGTAGTTAGTTACTGGCCTAAGCCAAGGCGAACATCAGATCTAGCTACATGACACTCACAGGCAGGATATAGCACTATTTTTTTTTTAATATTGTAGGCTCCAGGCGCGTGCTCGGCGATGGACACGGGGGGCACGTGCACCCCCCAAAAATTTTCAATATGATCCAAGGCAATTGTAATGTATGCAAATATACTCTAAAATTCAAGAAAGGTTGCAAACAAATTGCAGAAAATTGCCGGGGGGGGGGCTCCCCTCGGCTCCCGTGCACCCCCCTAGTTGAGGGGCCGAGCACGCCCCTGGTAGCAGTAGGCTACTAGCAGGAGTCAGCGCTCAGCAGGGGTCTGGGACACCATGCACGCGCAGTGTGCATGGTGTGGGCGTTGCTGTTGTTTATTTCAGATAATACTCTTGCTACCTCACTGAGGTCCTCAGTCCTGGCCAATGACAGCATCCACAGAGCATGTAAGGACTTATCAAACACACATGCAAGAAGGTATAAACTGTTGTTTGTTTGTGATGCGGCTTTAGATGAGTACAACTATCAACAACAACAACAACACCGCCACCTCTACCACCACCAACAACAACAAATACCAGCACCGGCACCAGCAACGACAACAACAAAATACCAAGTGTGTACAGTTGCGCTCGATGAAGTCCGACCCAAAGTGCAAATGTGGCGCCCTCAAGTAAGTTACTTGCACGCCCTTGATGCCCTGGCAGTGGCACGAATGCGGCTGGATGTACACATGTACAAATACAGTAGTGTAACTGGTCTAGGACACCAGCTTTGCTCTTTTGGTCGGATTTCAGTGAGCGCAACTGTACATGTCATGCCAAGTAGTTGACAACTCCCGTAAGAGATTCTCAGTCCACAGGGTATTCTCTGTTACCACGGGATGAGCATGACCAGCATGACAAGGCAGCACGTCCAGGAAGCAGTCAGGCAAAGACCAAGACTGGCAGGAGGCAAGACACTCAGATGACAAAGTACTGCCGCACAAATAATAACTGCAACATCGTCAGATAGGTCATTATACAACATACAAGCAATTCTTGAAGATACAGCAGCGCTAACGTTTCAGTGGAATGCAAGCCACAAAACTGTCCCTCCTTCAAGGTTAGCCGCAACAAGCCACGAAAGAGAGAGAGAGAGAGAGAGAGAGAGAGAAAGAGAGAGAGAGAGAGAGAGAGAGAGAGAGAGAGAGAGAGAGAGAGAGAGAGAGAGAGAGAGAGCTAGCGTTCTGTAGTAATCTGTACACAGTTGCAATAAAACTGATAAAGTTTCGTGTGTTTTATGCCATATGCAGTGCGAGGGGAATAACGCAACAGAGATATCATGCGAATTACTAGCGATACAGCAGAATACCAATCAGCAAAGCAGAACAATCTCAAGGGAGGAAAAGTCGTTCTTATGAGAAACTACGAGGACAAACACAACATGATACGGGCTAAACACATACAGACACCGCATTTAGCACCGACTACACATGCCAAGACATAACCCTTAGAAGTAGAAGAACGTTGTGGCATGTGATCTATGGTTGAAAGACAGAGACACGGACATCCAATAGAAAGCCAGACTCAGGACGTTGGAAACACAGTCCTTCAGCGCTTACTGGTCTTTTGTGACTTCTGCTTCTTTTTTTCACGCGTGTGCTTGTCATTTCCGTGCTTGTGTTTCTTGTGCTTGTGTTTTCGACTTCTTCGCCGGTCATTGCTGTCTGAATCGCTGCTGCTGCTACTATCACTACTGCTGCCTGAGTCCGAGTCGGCAGAGGAAGAACTGCTAGCGTCACGATGTCTTCGCCCAAACCGAGACCTGGCATAGACAAGGAAGCCGAAGAAAGAACATGACAAGCAGAAACATTCATAGGAGAGAAGCACGAGGCAGGGAATAGCCACATATTCAGCCGAGGGTGACACAAAGTGTAATGGGCTATCTTGAAATGACAAGTGTTGGCAAAAGAGAGTTCAGATACTGAAGTGCCTTACATGTGCCTGGCCTTCAGTAAACCACGTCAATATTCAACAAGGGACTCCAAAGACAGCCTTACCTGTTCGGAGACGAGGATCGGGGTCGTCTCCTCTCTACATCACGCTCTTTCAGAGCACGGCGCAGCGAGCGATCTCTATCGTCCTTGTCACTGGCAGACGGGCTCCGATCCCTAACGCGATCTTTACGTGATGAGTGGCCGCTGGTCTCACGCCGCTTGCTGCTATGGCGTGGTGACCGGGATCGCGAGCGTCCCCTCTTTCGGTGACGATCCTGATGTCTACGGCGATCACCATCGTCATCAGAATCCGATGAGGAGTCTCGAGAATGGTTCGATTTGCGTGAAGAACGATGCGTATGGCGTCGCGACCGTTCATCCCGCCGGTCATCATGTCTGGAGGATCGGCGATCATCTCGATCTCTGAACACAAGACAGTCAACCGAAGCAAAGGAATCATAAAGTGCGAAATGACCTTCCTACAACTGCCCTTCAGCAAAGACTACCTCGAGTTCATGCCTAGGGATATGATTCTAAGTACATCATAACATACTACAAGCAAGGCCTGAGACAATGAATCATCTTCTCAGGCATCTTTGCACTGCACTTGTAGAACTGTAGCATAAATGTACCAGTATAAATATATTTTAACATCAATCATACTCAATACACACGCACACACACACACTACTGGTACAAGGTCATTCCTTTATTACCTCTCCTATTCGTTTGTTTTGAACCAAGTATTTTCTTGCCCCCCCCCCCCCCCCAATGCAGCAAGAGTGAATGTGCGAACCGGCTGCATGCACATGTGAGCTCAATTGACACTGCTACATGAAGAAAGACTCCTGGCTGCCCAACACAGACACACAGGGCAATGGCAACACAAAGTAACTAACCTATTGTCTCTGCTACGAGAACCACCATCTCTCTTGTTGTACAGCTCACGGATCTTGCTAGAAGCATATCTTTCACTCACTGAATGTACACACATGCACCCAGTCACACACACACACACACATGCATGCATGTATATACGGGTACAGACAGACAGACAGACAGACAGACACAGAGCCAAGACACAGACAGATGAGTTTCAAACAGGGGATGGCGGGCATGGGGTGAGGCATCACCCATAGTGCACGATGATATCCATGTGAATCACAACTGAAAGAGATGATGGACACCAAGCAGCTTTGCAAGCACATTATTAAAATAACCTACTCAGCTCCTTTCATGGAACGTGGGTGCCAGCATCGGCCACGATGTCGAGCGTGTCGGCGGCAAGGACATCGTCACCAAAGTGTGGTGCAAGCTGTGTGCCAAGTTTTTGGACAAGATCTGAAGGTGCAGTCAGCTTTGTGGGAAGGCACTGGAGGATATGCTGAAGTTCGTGGAAGGCACAAACTACGTTACCAAACACGCAGTTATTCGCCATTTGAGTGCCAGCAAAGCAAGTGTTTATTTTCCAGTTTCCCATTATCACAGAACTAGTCGTGAACGCAAGTATTGTAAATATTTATCTGCAGGCTCACGCAGCAGCTATTGCACACGAAGCGATCGTCTCCAGTACGATGCTGCCAGTTCCTCAACATCTTTGCCGGCGTCGTCGACAGCCTCTCATCGACTCGGCTCTTCAGAAACAGGCGCAGGAGGCGACGAGGGAACTCCTCAACATGGCGTACATCAGTGTTACCAAGTGCCCTCTACCCCCATGCGTACTGCCCAGTGCCATTTTTCAGAATTTTTCAGAGTTTTCCGTACTCGTTTTTCACGTCAACATTTTGACTGATTTAGTGTAATTTGGAAGAAAAACGATACTGTACAACTTTTCCAGCCACAGAGTTCACTTGCGAAGCCTACGGATTCAGTACAATTTTCAACTTCACCAGGTCATAACTTTGGTTTGCTTCGCTTGATTTTCGCAATCTAGGGCTCGTTGGAAAGCTCTTGGCAGGAGCAACGCCAGGATGCCAAGCTCCATTATGAAGCCGCCACAAATCAGGCGCGGTAACACAGCAAAGTCGTCTCCAAGCCTAATATGCAAGCAAATAATTCGTCACGCAAAAAGGGACTTTCCCTAAAATAGGAAGAGATCGATCAAAGATTTGATTTTGCTGAGGTAAGAATACATGAATACGGCGTGCGAAATCTCTGGAATCCGACATCGTAATGCTTCAGCGATTGTTGCATTGGACAACTTGGAGTTTTTGCTACCACGTAGACCCTTCGATTGTGGAATTGGCGCAAGAAACGATGGAGTTACGAAGGTTTTAGCAATCGATCATATACGTGATCGTTTGCGGGATATTCGATTGACATCCGTACTGCGGACAAAACTTCGTTTTTCCGTAAAAATACGGACAAATACGGGCGGTTGGCAACACTGGCGTACATCGTGCCTGTTGGCGAGCAGCCGTTTTCGACTTTCACCACGATGGTCAAAGTTCAGAAGGCGAACGGCGTCCAACTTCTGAAGGGCTGTGAGTCGTCTGACAGGGCACGAGAGTTCGTCAAGTATTTCGCAGCCAGCGTATTGACGACGATTGTGGCGCAAGTCTCCCAAGCTACAGCCTTCTCAGTGCTGAACGACGGTTCGCAGGCGAGGAAAACGGGCAGCGAGAAAGAGCTCGTGTTGGTGCACCTTGTCAAGCAAGGGCTGCCGACGTTCTTTACACTGGGTCTAATGAACGTTGACGACTATGGCGATGCTACATCAGCGAACTTGAACCCAGATTGTATTGTGCTGGCCTTGGACAGATAAGGAGAGCAATTTTTGGGGAGAGGGGGGAGGGGACTGCTCTCCCACTACTCTCCTTGAGAGGATAGCGAGAGTGATTGTTCAATCCCCTGCATTATTTTTAAACGGAGGTCTGAGTGATGTGTCGGAAGTTGTTCTTCCAGAAGCAACAGCAATTGCTGCTAGTCTCAGACACCTCTATAGTTCCAACTGCATTGCACCTGTTGATTTCTATAAAATTGCTGTGCATAAAAGCTATAGTAAGAGATATATTTTTCATTTTCTGATGAAGCACTATACGTACAGAAACCGGTCAGGTATCATTTATAGTAATGTACAAGTATGAATATTAACTCAACTACTGTGCACTGGTTGTGTCGGGAGATAGATGAATCTTCCCTAGCGTGAGCGATGTGTCGGAAGTTGTTCTTCCAGAAGCTCAAGCCAAGGTAGGCCTAGCAGATCTGGTCAAGACACTACGGGCTGATCTTGTGCGATGTCGCTATACTGCTGTCCTCTCTGCGTTCGTCTGGCTTAGCTGCTAAGAACCTGTGTGAAGCCAAAGAGGCAGCAATGAAGAAGTTGTAGCCAAAGCTGCATCCAAAGTGACCTCTGAGCCGATATGTGCTGAAAAGATTAGCACGACTGCTGATGCCGCCGCCACCACATCGACTGAGTCCATAGCTGAGCTCCCTAACACCGTCAACATCTCCGCTGGAGCAGTACAACTTCCAGATCCTGAAATTGAATCGTACGTACACTGGTGCTTTAACATAATTAATACTAGTGACAAAATCATTTCAGAGCAGAAGAAAAAATGATGTACCATACTACAGGCTCAACTAGACTCCAATGTCTTTGATGACTTCATATTAAGGAAGTTCTGTAAGCTTTCGAAAGCGGCGTGTTTGATTGAGTGCACCGAGTATGTAACTGAGGCTATCAGCAATTGTAGGAACAAGTTTGAACGAAGAGAATTGGTGAGCACACATGCTCATTCCCTGGGCACTGCAAATTCACAACTCATTTCATTTCACAGAATCATTTCCAACGTTTCGGCAAATTGCCATCATCAGGATGCAATATATAAATAGTGCCCAGGGAATGAGCATGTGTGCTCACCAATTCTCTTCGAGTTATGAAGCTGCAGGATGCCTCACCGCTACTAAGTTTGAACGAGCAGAAACTATTAAGAGAGAAGCTCACACCGGCTTCAACGATTTAGTTCAACACTGTTAGTCTGATAAGCTTACGTCCGAATTTGCAAGCCAGCTGATTTCACGCTTTGACTTTCTAACTGCAAAATGCCGAGTAGCAGCAAAGTTATTGAAAGCTAAATGATTGGCCGAAAGGCAGCAACAGAAGAAGCCCACTGGTGAGAAAATGAACGAAGATGTTACAGCACTGCCTCCGACTACTGAAGAGATCGGCTCACTTATCAAACGTGAGGTAGCAGTTGCCCTCAAGAAGTCATGGAAACCGTCATCTAAGCCATCGAAGTCCCAGCCAAAAAACTTGGTCGTGAGAAAAGGGCAGACGGGCAGACGAGAAGTAGTTGTCCCCCGAAAGGGAAGAAAACTTTGAAAGACTTAAGTGCTCAGTTTATTTGGAACTTGCGTCTCAGTGACCATTCTAAATACGTGATTAACCCAGGCTTTCATAACTTCTCGAACTTTACCTTTTCTCCCATTGAACAACACGTTTAGGCTATGGTAATAACTTTCGCTTAACTTCACGCACTCCCTCTACCAAACAATTGAATATCGATCTAGTAAAGCGGCAAGTGAACCAACTCACCCAGAAACTAAACTACTGTGCCCCGGTTGTGTCGGAAGATAGATGTATCTTCCCTAGTGTGAGTGATGCGTCGGAAGTTGTTCTTCCAGAAGCTATGGGGCCTGCCGGGGACGAAAAATCACATCACGTGGTGTACATTGTAGAGTTCTCGTCCTGCACGATCCAGGCAAAACAGCGAGGAGTGGAGTAGTACATAATTCTAGCCCTTCCCTACGAAAAGTGTACAAAAGCCCTGGCAGCTAGATCAAGACTGCGAGCAAACTGACTTCCTTTGTACACTGCACTACAACACGTACTAAGCACGGATGTGAGCCATACAATGTGAGTTTCTGCATCGGAGACCCCATATGCAGAGTTGCTTACTCTTGCAAGGTTATATCCTCTCGGTATTACAGGGGCGTCGGACGGTATTTTACATTGGTGCAACTCTGAAAAGGAAAATGTTCGGAAAATCGGGTCCAAATAGCCCATATTTCATTGTTTAAAAAGACAGGATAAATTATTGGTGCGGCTTTGGCCGCACCTGCCACACCAGTTCCGACGCCCCTGTACTAGCAATACTGAACCAGTACCAGCGGTTGAGCACAGCATCAGAACGTACCTGCTTCTTCGCGGCGAGATCCTGGCTTATCGTCCTCCTCATCCTCCGAAAGGCTAGACTCACTAGACGTGCTACTAACGTCCAGCTCGACTTCCTTGCTCGGGTCCACTGAGACAAAGTTACGGCACTGGTACGTCATATGACCAACTGTGCGGTCATACAAATAGGATACGTGTAGTGACACACACACACACACACACACACACACACACACACAGACACACACACACACAGACACACACACACACATACACACACACACACACACACACACTCACACACACACACTTGTACTTGCACACACACACACACACTTGTACTTGCACACACACACACACACTTGTACTTGCACACACACACACACACACACACACACAAATACACATTCACATACACACACACGCACCCGTGTGCGCGCACACATACAGTGACACACACACACACACACACATTCTATCATGAGTATACACAACGTACATGCAATGTCCATAGCTAAAGAACTCAATCAGGGAGAGTTCGATTACGCAGACCCCGTAACAGGGATGTTGGAACACCATCGTTAATCTACACTGTTCTTGTACAGGTGCAATCAGAAAAAAAGTAGATTTCCAAATAGAATAATTATGGATTGGTTTCTGTGCGTTGTCATACGTACAGTACTGGAGTTCCCTGCCAAAGAACACAACACATGGTTGTATGCAGTGATACAGTAGTCTATGAGTAAAGTCACCAGAAAGATCACCATTGTTGGGCTCCTTCAAATGACCAAAGCTATTCCAGAATATGATGATCTGGCTTCCCTTTTGTTCTGGTACAGCGTAATCTAATGAACCCTTGCCATGGCCGAATTATAGACTCACACTGCATTTCTTTGTAAATTTATCCCAACCCACCCGTGAATCATGAAATCTCCCCCGCACCCACACAAGCCCAACGGGCGCAGTACCAGTTGTGCGGCTCCGAGATGGAGTCAGAAAGTTCCTGTCATTCCGGCGCACTAAAGGGCCGCGTGGGAATACCTCACAGCCGGCCTAGCAACACGACAACCGGCCGTGACAAACCCAATTTCCCGGCAGTCTAGGAGTTCATGTGACCGCGACACTTCTACGGCAGTCCTTTCCGGGCATGAAACAAAGGTAGGGTGCGTGAGAGTCGCAGTGCTCTACAAGTTCATGTAGCGGTATTTCATGGTATTGTGTAACGTGACGTGTTAGTGTGCTACCGTGAAGAGAATACTGGTAGTCATCAGCGTGTTCGATTTGCTCACTCAGTGACAGCCGCCATTTACAGCAAACGCATGGTGTGTCCTTCTACATCTGATTCCCACAACACATAGCGCACGTGATGCACATGCACTGACTGTACTCTTCTCATTGCCTTACCATATCCACACTTCTTGCATGCAGATCGACCAGTTGCACCCTGGTCTTTCTGTGTTGTCATGCGCTTCAGCAGCACTGCACACGACACAAGAGATGTGGAGAGGCAGAAAGGTAAGCTTCACTAGAACAACTATAGAGTGTCCAGGACTACGAGTAGTGTTGCCAGCACTTACCCCCAAGATCACTGGCATAGCTGGTTGCCATGCTTGAAGCAGTTCGTGCAACAGCAGAAAGTGGATCAGGGTTAGGCTTTCACCAAATAGTTAATCCTCGCGAAGTCCAACACAAAGGCGCATTCAACTGCAGTCAGTTCGAGTAACAAACAAGACCTTGACTTGAGGCTTGACCAATTCATGTGCCCCCAACAACAAATCAAACAGAATCTTGATCCAACGATGAAAAGTTTGAAAAGTTCATCTTGATTTTCTCGAAGTCCTCGACACAAAAGAAAAACGTGAAAAGCCTGTCAAAAAGTGAAATGCACTGTACGTGCGCGGCACGTGGCCAAAGCCAAAGGCGGGTAAATCGTTGTTTCCATGATCCATTCAAAAAGACAGAAGAAGAAGCATTGTTTCATGGACTCATGGACTTGCTGCGACAAGTTAGTTCGTTGCATATCGATCATGTGATTTTTCCGAGTGGCGAGAGCACTGGCGACTGATATGGACTGAAACAGGAAAGTTTTATTTCGGAGGCCTTGGAAAAAGTTTGGTGACGATCCTTGCTGCTTGTATGATCAGTTCACTTTGCCCTTCTTTTGTTTGACTTCAAACGATCAAATCTGGTAAAATGAACCTGTAGTAGTGTTTCATTTTTCGTTGTGTATTATCTGGAAGTGTTGAATTCGCGGTACCGACTGCAATCATGGTGATGTTCGAGGTGCGAGGCGTGCAAGTGGACTTCCCATTTGAGCCCTATCCTTGCCAGAAAGTGTACATGGAGAAGGTGATCACATGTCTGCAAGAGGTATGTCAATATGGGCTCCACGTGGCGCTTCCTCTGTACCTATATTTTGGTGGAATTGTTATTTTGATGTTTGTGTGCAACTCCACACATGTGCGACAATGTATTCCAAGATTGTGTACAATGTGTAGACCATGGTAGACCTTGAGAGAATGCTTCGTCACTGCTGCATCACTCCCCCAGTGTTCTTACTAGGGATATCACCGTATTTTTTTCTTTCGTAGTAAACCAAGAAAACTGTTTGTTTTCGGGAAGAACTACAGTACAGGAGATAGCACAGAAAATTTGGATGAAAAATCTTGAAGGATACCAGAGATATGAGGCGTCAAAGTCATACGCCAACCTTCATCATGATGTATGCGGAATGCCATACTGCTGTGGCACCAACAGGGTTTTCCGGAAAGCCTAGCAAACGCTTAGCAACATTACAATATTGTCAGAATGCTATGAAATCTGGCTTGTAGGTGCAATATAGGTGTAATATAGGTGCAATACAGGTTGGTTAGTCCTAATATCTGTCCCTCCAGAAACTTGCGGAGACATTTCGGAAATATCGCGGAAAACGTTGCGAGGTAAAATGCCACAAATTGCGGGGAATATTGCGGATTTTGTCAAATATTGCGGGATTATTGTGGTAAAATTGCGGAAATTGCGGCCGATTTTGGTACTTGTACTGTAGTGGTGTACGATGTACGAGTCGTACAGCATAAATCATGCATGACAAAGCAGAACGTACGTGTGCTGCGCTGACTGTGTTCAACTGCAAGACAGCTTTCCTCCATCCTCGGACAACACTCGACGTGAGCCTTTCGTGACTTGTCAGCAGCTGATTTGCCCAGAAACTTCGACATTCTGGTGTCGATCTCACAAGTAAACTACTGACGAGCTTGAAGAACTAAAGAACATCGAAGAAAGACCCCAATATCGCGGTTGCTTTTCGAAATATCGCGGTGCTTTTCAAGTATCAAGGACAGTTTTCTACAATAACGCGGATGATTTTTCAAATATCGCGGATATCACGGACTTTTGTTCAAATCGCGGAAAACAACGCGGCCGCGGAATCGCAAGTTCCTGGAGGGACAGTAATATTGATCAAAATATAATATTTCGGCCAGCGATGACCAATGAGAACAAGCGCGGCGCCCGTAGCAACCACCATAGCAACAATGCTAAATCCATTGAACACGAGTTCCATTACTATGAAATTGAAGTGAGCACTGATGGCTATGGTTGTATTATACATGTACAAATAATAAATACAACAGTTTGGTCTTCAGATGCCCAACTTTACTGCGGCTGTCACACAGTTGATCAATCATGTACATGTACATGTACATTTTACATGTAAAATGCACAATAGTGAAATATGCATACAATCCAATCACTGACGCGATCCATGTCAGAGCGCCACTCCATAGCAATTTCTTTCTGGTTTCAAGGCGACGAGTCGAATACAAAATCATAGCTCACTTTTGTCGCAATAGCGAAAGTCTCCGTCAGGTGCAATCTTTCACTAGGGTCAACAAATCATCTGAAACACTCCTAGCGCTTGAACATATTGCCATTATTGGGTCCAGAAATTCATTCATTTTGGGCGACCAGGAGGTGAAAGTCTTGAAAGCGCGATGAAGAGCGATCCCCCAGCTCGAGAAGAAAGCACTATTCTACATAATTCGAGGTCGCTGAACACGATGGTGGGTGTTTCCTGGCCGTGTACTCCCTCCAACCGGATGAAAAATCCAATTGAAAACTACACTCCTCACAACAAAAAGCTCAAACTACAGTTGCCCAAGCAAGTGCGGCACCAAAACGAGCAGGAAGACCTCAGCTATAAAACGCACCAACTTTCAATTTTGAAAAAGAAAGCAGGACAAAGCAGTTCGACGAAAACTGCAGCGAAGTCCATGGTGCCACCGCTACCATGCTAATGTACGTGACCCGCGTGAAGGCTGTTTTCAGCTGATTTGTCACGTGACTGAACTCCCTATTCTTACATCTGCTATCTTCACTGATACACTACTTGGCATATTTCCGCACACTCCTGTCAACAACACATCACGAATTTCGCCCACTGGCTTTGACTAGTCCTCTCAGCATATTATCACACACCATTCTTTCGTTGCATACCGGGCTCCGTTCACCTTTCCATGTGGATCCTTTCTATTTCATGCATTGAGGCAGTGCCCACAGTACGCATGTTTTCGCCATTTCAAGCAGTAGTTTGATTGGATGTGGATGTGTGTGTGTGCGTGCGTGCGTGCGTGCGTGCGTGCGTGCGTGCGTGTGTGTGTGTGTGTGTGTGTGTGTGTGTGTGTGTGTGTGTGTGTGTGTGCAACCTGTCGGAAGGCTACCCTCTTGCCGAAGCATTTTGAAGTTTGACTAGTTTTGGCTCCACAATCCAGTGTGTCGTTACTATTATAGCTTTCATGGCTGATGTGGTTGGTATGTCTGTTTGCACTGGATTCCCAGTACCCAGTTGCCGAGGCTGGTTGGTAAAATAACTCCAATTTCACTTCAAGGTACCAGTGCATCTAGTGTCTGCTTCTATCAAAGCAGCGTGCTGTCTATACTGGTTACCCCAGCAAGTGTAGGGTGTGCACAGGTAGCTGTCTTGGCCGTCCTATTCTGATGTACTCCGTGTGGTGTAGACCAGGTGTGCATTGGGGGGTCGATTCACATGGCTTCGCCAGTTGTGTGGATTAGACAGTTATCTGGCGCTTGTCTTGATCTGTTTCAATCAGAATCAGATCCGCTATCGTTGCTATAAAGAGAAAATCCGTGGGTGCACATCCAGCGCATTTGCAGATTTGCGTGCTTCTCTTGTGACGGGCGTATACATGGTACATGGTACATGGTGTGTGTGTGTGTGTGTGTGTGTGTGTGTGTGTGTGTGTGTGTGTGTGTGTGTGTGTGTGTGTGTGTGTGTGTGTGTGTGTGTGTGCTGCACAGCGTCGCCATGGTCTGCTGGAAAGTCCAACGGGTACGGGAAAAACCCTGTGCCTGCTTTGTGCTACGCTTGCCTGGCGAAATCATACTCTGGTGGAGCGCAGTGCCATGCTGCAATCCAGCGCTGCTACCGCAAATTCTGCAAAACCAGAGCAAAGCGGCTTCTATGGTTCGGCACCAAGCAATTCATGGACCAAAGGAGAAAGTATGTACATGATATGCATGACTGTGCCTGTCTTGTGTTTACTGTCGATTTTATGGGTAAAACCGAGAGCAAGGTTTGAGGAAATATTGTGGAGCCTTTTACTTGTACTTCGAAGTAGCCCTTTTCACTTTATGGCAATCCGGCATCCATAGTTATAGTTGAAACTTCTTTGTGCTATGTAAAATTTTCACCCTCATGTTATATTTAGCTTTTGGATTACAAGCCGAAAGAGCCAAAACACATTGCAGCCATAACGTTAGTTTCTCTGATTTAGAGTCACCATGTGTGACCATTTAGATTCATTGTGGCAGTGTCGTGGCCAGTTTCTTCTTGCAGTGTTGCCTATGCCATCTGATCCGGTTTGCTGTGCTTCTTGCAGATGTTGAAGCGGTCGCACCAAGAATTATCTATGCGTCGCGTACTCATTCACAGCTGTCTCAAGTCATCGGTGAACTGAAGTCGACCGTTTATCAGTGAGCTTTAGGCATGCGCGTAGCCCCAGTAGGCATTCTTGTTGTGGATTTGCACCGCATGATTATGAATATTGTCATCCACTTTATGGTCTGGAACTGAATGGGAGCACGCAAGGTTGAAAGCTGATATTTGCCTAGCCTGAAAACATTAGAGGAGCATATCGATCTTGGTAGAGGAGAATGAACTGGTATTATCCCAATGCACCTGCTAGCTCACAGAGTCACTCCTGCTTTGTGCTTTCTAGTCGGACTTGCTGGACTGGCGCTTGGTGCTATCACCTCCGTACTATCGTGTGTGAGCACGTGCACACTCGGGGTCAAGAACGGGCTGTAAACTGGTAGTATGCGTACACATATTTTGGCCACCATGAAATCATTCCATGGAATGATAAACAGCGCAGTATGGATCCACACTGTGCCGTCCACCACCAACGTCCACATGTCACAGCCATACCGTACATAATCATCGTGAAGTCCAAATTTGAAATTGAGATTTTAATATTGTGCAGTTATTGAAAGTGCAGTGATCGGCTTGCAGTACTCACTGGCCTCAAGCGAAAGCCCTGGTTTGAGTCCTGGTGGTGACAGTCAATTTTGTTTTTTCTTCAGACTTTTCCCCTTTCAACTCCCTCGACTTATGGATATTTGACAAGTAGTAAGTTTGTATATCCTTTTTTCTTAATTTGGTTGTGTGCAGACCCAAAGTTTGCATTTTGGGATCCCGAGACCAGCTTTGCGTCAATCCAACCGTCCTTCGTGCTGAAACCTTGACGGAAAAGGTAAGATTTGAAGCCAGTCTGCTGGCAAGAGCGTAGCAATGAGCACACGCCACGGTTCTCATGTTGCCTCCGAACGGTCAATCTCTTTGATATTGGAGCAGCGTGTGATGTTACTATGATGTTGAACTGGAACATTTAGAGCTACTACAGTAACTAGTATAATAAATTATGATCATGCGGTTGTGTGCCCTTTTTTTGCTTGTGCCCAAGGTGCATATGTGCCGAGCTAAAGTGTCCTCCCGATCCTGCTCTTACTACAATGCTGTGGAAGGTAATAAAACCTTTGTTGCTTTCCTGCACTGTCTTGAAGGTTGTGGGTGTTTTTGTAAGGTGCTGGCCTATATGCAGTGCACTGCCGTGGACTGATTGAAATCCGATGGGATGACCGTGGCCGGCGCCCTGCATGTATGTGCTTGGCAGCACATACATGCACTGTACATGTAGTTCACAACACACTGTTAACATGGACCTGCATTGCTCGGGGCTGCAAGGCCAGCGCCCCGTGGCCGCTTGCTTTCTCAGCGGATTTCAATGTCTGCTACAGTACATGTACTCGTACATGTAGCAAAGCGCTACCAAGCAAGCTGGCATTAATGCATTGCCACTTGCCAGCTGGCTGGTCATTTCAGAGTTATTATAGAAACATGCGCGTATTGGTGCTTGTGGTGATGCTTTATGGTAGTGACTGTGTTACAACAAGTCACTACAGTGCTCTATGCAGGTGCATGTACTTCAAACGAAGTACATCCCTGTCACCAATCTCTGTGCTGTCGAAACAGATGTGTGATTCGAGGAGGTTTAATTGTTCACCCACGGTAGGGTACTTACTGTTTGCGGTCCGAGGAAAGCTGGTAACATGTTGTCAATGGCGGTGTCGTATGTATCCGTGTTGTATCTGTCCCAGATGTGCTGTATACTTTATCCTGGTTTGGTCTATGGCTGGTGGGTGCTGGCAGATGGAGGTAGATCTGTATCTTGATGCTATATTGATAACATTTGATTCACTTTAGTGTCATTTGTGTTCAATGCTGTGCAGACAAGAAGAAAGACCCTACATTGACGGAGACAATAATGGATATCGAGGACTTGGTGACGTTAGGTTCACAACAACGGTGAGTTGCTCATCAGGTTTTTTTGTGTGCAGAGCAACGCATACATCTGTGTACTTAAAAGTTGATAGATACAAAAATAAAGTTGGTATCTACAGTGTGGTTGTTCTAGCAGCATTCAGTACGCCGGCTAGCTTGGTGCTCTGGTGCCTCGTCTGTGTGTGTGTGTGTGTTGTCTGTCTGTACAAGTGTTTGTGTTCGTGTCTCTTATCTGTTTTCTGTGCATTCTCTGTCGCCTTCTTATCCTATCTCTTTGACTGTGCAGAGTGTGTCCGTACTATCTGGCACGTGAATTACGATCTACCGCTGACATCATATTCATGCCATACAACTATATCCTTGATGCTAAGGTTAGTCATCACTATGCAACCTGTAGAGGTAGATTTAGAGAGGGCTTGCAGCACACTGCTGCACAAGCAGACTTATGAAGTCGATCTGTCCAGCCTTTCAGTTCATTTCAAGTGGACAAACTGCCTTTCTTTGGATGAAGTTATTCACCAACTTACCTGGTGCTGGTACATACTGTACAAGCAGAATATTCAGTCTGAAAAACTCAGAAATGATTATCTATTGTGACGGGAATCATGAGTGGCGTTCGTTTTTGATCTACAGGTTTTAGTTGAAACTACTTCTTTATTAGATGTTTTCGGGTTTTTTCCTACCCCAAACGGTAGATTCTACTTTCTTCTACCGGCCCTACCAGGTTTGAGGCTGGTAGAAGTCGGCAGAAGTTGGTAGAGGTACGATATTATTGTACTTGTGTAACCATGAGGGCTGGTTTCCACAAATTGTTCTACCGAAATGTGTTGGTGAGCGTACTTGAACTACCATCTACTATCTCTTCTTTTTCCAATAGGGCTTGAAAGTGCTACGTCACAGCATAGCAACAATTTCAAAATTTCAAAAACTGGATCCACTTGGATCCAGTTTTTGTATGGATCCAAGCACATTTCAAGCGGTCTTACTCACAGCAAGGTGATATAGCCAGTGAAACTGACTGGGTTGGCTAATGGGGGCGGGGTGACAACTGGTGGCGAAAAAAAAGTCACACCTGCATACGACATGCGTGGGTTGCCATGCACCCACACACTGAGGCAATTGCAAAGTCACGCCTTTTGTGGATCCAAAATAGAAATCTGATGTGAACTTACTACTCCCTGGCCGTTTTGACGTCATCACTTTCAAGCCCTATATCCTTCTTCTCTACCAAGTAGACAAAAACGAAAGCTGTGCTCACAATATTACCCGTATGTTCCCAATCTGATGAGACAATGATCCTTGCTGTTTATAATGCTTTTCTGCATCCAGACTCGCCATGCATTCGGTGTTGATTTGAATAACACCATTGTCATCTTGGACGAAGCTCACAATGTGGTATGTCACAGTACATGCATAGCATGCTACATTGATTTCCAATGATTAGGCGTTGTCCGTCCTTGTTGAAAAGTGCAAAAAACCTATCCTCATGCAGAATAATTTCCTCTCAACCACCACCACCACCACCACCACCCCCCAGTGTCTACTACTGCTATTTGTATTTTCTACGCAGAGTCGCTGGAGGGGGTCAAGGGTACCTTTTGTTCTATGAGTTTCACATCAGTAGGCTTGCCAACATTCTGCCGTTCACTTTGACCTTGTGTGACGTCCGCAAGTGCATACCTCTGATGTATATAGCAGTACTCTCAGGGCAGGGTCAGTACCAATTTTCGTCTGATGATCGATTTAGTTTGTGAAACTCAGAGTTACGAAATCACAACTGCTCGTTATTCTGTCTGTGTACCTCTCAGATATTCTTGGGAAGGCAGCCATTGTCAATAGAGAACACATCTTTGGTGATGATAGTTTCCTGAATGGTGTAATTTGTGCTGATCTGCAGGAGAGGATGTGCGAGGAGTCTTCGTCGTTTGATTTGACTTCAACGGACGTGGCGGCGTCCATAAGCAACGTTACACGTTGTGTCGAGTATGTTTCTACCATGAAAGAAGGCATGCCCATGGATGTTGGTAAGAAAGGTTCCAGTTTGGATGCTTTGCTGGGCACGTTAACCCTTTGGCTCCCCAGTAACTGCCCTACTTAGCAAAGGCCATAAGTTTCGCTCAAATTGTGTCAACTTTCGGTCATTGACTTTGGTGATATTAGCCTGATTTTCACAATCCTGTTCTCTCCGGAAAGCTCACGCCGATCAGATCCTGCCACTGCTGCTGCTGCTGCTGCAAATGACGATGCTGTCACGATGCTGTCACTGCGTCCGCCACCTCCAACTGCTGAGGTGCCTCGTGCTGCTGCACTACCATACCCTGGCCCGCCCTGCGTTGGCCTGACATAGTACGCTCGTACTCCGCTCATGATGCCATACTCGTGGTGGCCATTATGAGTACGTCTTTGCCCTTGCCACATGCCCGGTCTATTTGCTGTGTTCCCGCCCGCAGCCCGCCTTACCTGGTGGGCTCTCGCGCCTTACTTTCCATATAAGCATGGTGGTGTTTTTTATTGTAGACCACCCCCCCCCCCCCCCCCCCCATGGCGACTGGGCCATGGGGCCTTCCCCTCTCCCATATGTGGTATGCTTTGTTCACCCATACCGACCGTATCTGCCTGCCACTACCTACCTGGCTTAGGCTTAGTGCGCGCACTGGGGGCCTTTCGTGCCATGAAAGGACCGGCTTCCTAATATAGAGTCTACACGCCATATGAGCAGTGTTTGTAGTCAGCATTGCGTTGTTAGCACTGATACCTTTGTGTGCAAATATGGGGTAGTCTCGCCTGCCCATATGGGCGTAGTCTACTCATGGCGCGAGCTGGGATTCCCCGGCTGGCTACCTGTCATTGCGGGCCATGCACCAGGCTCCAACATTGTTGCGCACCAAGCCTCACTCGTGACTTGTGCCTGTTCAGTTGTCAGCGATAACTACGGTTTGCCGTACGCTGCAAACCTACATATTTTGGCTACAACCTACATACTTCGATTTTCACGATAGTGCAATATTCAACAGAGTTATGGCAGTTTAAAGTCATCGACAGAATACCGTTGAAATTTGTAAAGCGCAGAGCCAAAGGGTTAAGTTAGTCATGTTTCCTCTGTGTCATGCAGTCTGTACTGGACTATGATATCAGCCAAGACTCTCTCCCTCTCCTTGTCCAATTGCTAGGCATGTGTGTCCATCACGGCTGCAGGTATACGCTGCTGCATGAGTTGTATTGCTTTTCTGCCTTGTTACTCTGCTCTCTGCAGGCTTGCTGCCTAGTAATGACGAGCCTGGAGACGATGACGAGAAAGACTACATTGCTCTCAAGCGTGAGTCACAGCTGCCTCTCCTGCACTCTCTATCTCTATCTCTCCTTCAGTACCCAGTGAGTTGTGTGTGTGTGTGTGTGGGGGGGGGGGGGGGGGGTTATTGCAGCTCACTGTGTGCCAGGCCATTTCTGTAGTCCCCCACTGAGAACGTATCTACATCTTTGTGTCTGACTGGTGCAGATATCCTCATTAACGTCGAGACTGAGCTTGACAAGCTGGACGTTCCTCCTGATGGTGTGACGAAGAAAGGCGGGTAAGCGGAAATCTCTCCTCCTTGCTGTCAATAGCAACCCCCACTTTTCCGTGTGCTCGTTTGTTGGCATAGTAGCTGATCTCACCACAGTTGCCTGTAAATCGAAATGGCACGGTCTGTTTCTTTTCTCGTTAGCGTTTATTTTGCTTTCATACTTCACACAAGATCCGTAGGTGATGATCACATGGAAAGCAAGCAACAGAAATGCACAGAATGCTGTAATGTGCCTTTTTCCCCGTGCATGGATCCATAATTCCCCCCGTTTGTTTGCTGTATGTTCTGTGTGCAGTTTCATTTTCGACTTCTTCGAAGCATGTGGCATCACGTCGATAACCAAAGGTGCCATCCTGGAGACTTGTGACAAAGCGCTGTCCGTGCTGACGACACGTATGTATTCTACCCGGCCTCTGTGTGTTAGGCATGACTGCTGTCGGCTAGTGCATCTATATAGAGTATTTCATGTCTCTGCTTGTCGAGGTCTATCAGCATGCTTTCTTCTCCGTATCTTTTTTTTGCTTTGCAGAGGCAACTTTTATGGGCAAAAATTTTGCTCTTCAAAAATTCGTCGACGCAATCAGGGTTAGTAGCATCGTTCATCTTGGACGTGGATGTCATTCTATTTTCAGATCCCTCGTATAAACTACACCCACACCAATTAGTGACCACACCATCAACAGTATCAAATTCAAATATATTTGCAATAGAATTTATTTGACTTTGGTACTGTTGATGGTAAGTATTGCACATATCGGCAAGAAACTACAAGTTTCAAGCTCTTTACAACCAGCATCAGGGCTCAAGAATTTAGTGAAGTTCTTGAGTTCTGATGCTGGTGATAAGGAGCTTGGAATTTGTACTTTTTTCAAGCCGATGCTACGGTAGCTTGCTGTCTCCAAGAAAGTTATCCCACATGCATGTATGAGTAACTTTTCTAAGGCCTGTGCATGTTAGAGAACAACTTAGAACGAAGAAAATAGCCCGTCTGCTGTAAAAGTGTTTTCATGGTCAAAAGTGGCACGAGCTTCCTTAGCTGGCCTGGTGCGGTTAGGTTTGACGCGAAGGTACTTTGAAGTACAGTGCGTATCGGTTACAGCGTGGTCGTGTAAAAGAATATACTGCCTACAAGAAATGAACTCTCATGTTAAATCATAACATGGATTTCAAGTGCTCATTTATTCTTACAAGCAATTTTATCGTACAGTAGAATATGGACTTTGTGTAGCAAAACATACCAGATTAGGACAAAGTATATCGCCTGTAGTAATAACATCCGTCCAATGCAGTTCCGATCTGACTCGCGTTGTGTCGTAGTGCTGCAGGTTCAACTGTTGTGGTCATGTAACTCATGTTGCATAGCCACATGGTAAGCCTATGTGACTATAACCAGCCGCATGCACAGTAGCACTACATTGCATGTACGATGATCTTCCTGCCTCTGCGCAAATGCACATGATATGTCACACTTGATTTATCGTGTGTAAGAAATATCGGAGATAAGAATAGAAAGTCGTTTTTCAAACACCCACGCTATAACCGATACCTACTGTAGTTGCAAGGGTCAGTCCTGGACGCCCACGTACACATGGGGTATGACGTTGAAAATAGCATGCCATGGCTTGCTGGGTTGGTGCGGATGCTTCCAGGCGGAAGGCGTGCGGAGCTGACGAAGACGGAGGATTTCGGATCTTGGTTGGGTATTTAGGGTATTGGAAGGAAGCCTCTACCCACCGTGCCTGTGAAGAGAACGTGTTGGAAGAGCACACCTGCAAAGTGACCTGGTGTCCTTGTCATCCCTTACAGACTGCTTCAGGTCAATGAGCGCATCCTTCCCTGTCTTCAAGCCTCACAATGAGAATGCAGCCGCTGGAAAAGGGAAGCGCGGTGTCATTCAAATCGAATACGTGTCGCTTGAAAGATGAGCTGTTGTCAGCACTACCATCATCATCACTGTTGCTGCTATCAGCAGCAGTGTGCTCGTCTCCGTCCTTCACATTGGCCGTCACCATCAGATCTGTCCCGAACTTCGGAATTATCCGGAGCAGATCTTCAGGGGCGTTGCTTCTCTCAAGTTTTCTCCGCACTGCAACTATGCACCACCCTCCGTGCTACTTTACAACCGAGTTAGCCACTTGATCCATTGTGCGGCGAGCAACCTCCATGTGCATCGGGTTGCTAGGAGCTGTGACTGCTGAGACAAGCTTCATTATGATTAAGATTAGAGCTGACGATAACTAAATAACTAACAATATAATTACCTTTACTTAAAGACTGCTTCAGGTCAATGAGCGCATCCTTCCCTGTCTCCAGCTGCATGCAAGGCAAGCCTCACAATGAGAATGCAGCCGCTGGAAAAGGGAAGTGCGGTGTCATTCAAATCGAATACGTGTCGCTTGAAAGATGAGCTGTTGTCAGCACTACCATCATCATCACTGTTGCTGCTATCAGCAGCAGTGTGCTCGTCTCCGTCCTTCACATTGGCCGTCACCATCAGATCTGTCCCGAACTTCGGAATTATCCGGAGCAGATCGTCAGGGGCGTTGCTTCTTTCAAGTTTTCTCCGCACTGCAACTATGCACCACCCTCCGTGCTACTTTACAACCGAGTTAGCCACTTGATCCATTGTGCGGCGAGCAACCTCCATGTGCATCGGGCTGCTAGGAGCTGTGGCGGCTGAGACAAGCTTCATTATGATTAAGATTAGAGCTGACGATAACTAAATAACTAACAATATAATTACCTTTACTTAAAGACTGCTTCAGGTCAATGAGCGCATCCTTCCCTGTCTCCAGCTGCATGCAAGGCAAGCCTCACAATGAGAATGCAGCCGCTGGAAAAGGGAAGTGCGGTGTCATTCAAATCGAATACGTGTCGCTTGAAAGATGAGCTGTTGTCAGCACTACCATCATCATCACTGTTGCTGCTATCAGCAGCAGTGTGCTCGTCTCCGTCCTTCACATTGGCCGTCACCATCAGATCTGTCCCGAACTTCGGAATTATCCGGAGCAGATCTTCAGGGGCGTTGCTTCTCTCAAGTTTTCTCCGCACTGCAACTATGCACCACCCTCCGTGATACTTTACAACCGAGTTAGCCGCTTGATCCATTGTGCGGCGAGCAACCTCCGTGTGCATCGGGTTGCTAGGAGCTGTGGCTGCTGAGACAGGCTTCATTATTGATAGTGAAATCGACAAGAAGTGAACATAATGCACCGGAAACTTGATCGCCTTCATAGGGCACGGCTGGTATCATATATCTCTACAGTGTAATAACAACAGGAATAACTAACAATCTAATTACCTTTACTTAAAGACTGCTTCAGGTCAATGAGCGCATCCTTCCCTGTCTCCAGCTGCATGCAAGGCAAGCCTCACAATGAGAATGCAGCCGCTGGAAAAGGGAAGTGCGGGGTCATTCAAATCAAATAGATGGCGCTTGAAAGATGAGCTGTTGTCAGCACTACCATCATCATCACTGTTGCTGCTATCAGCAGCAGTGTGCTCGTCTCCGTCCTTCACATTGGCCGTCACCATCAGATCTGTCCCGAACTTCGGAATTATCCGGGAGCAGATCTTCAGGGGCGTTGCTTCTCTCAAGTTTTCTCCGCACTGCAACTATGCACCACCCTCCGTGCTACTTTACAACCGAGTTAGCCACTTGATCCATTGTGCGGCGAGCAACCTCCGTGTGCATCGGGTTGCTAGGAGCTGTGGCTGCTGAGACAGGCTTCATTATGATTAAGATTAGAGCTGACGATAACTAAATAACTAACAATATAATTACCTTTACTTAAAGACTGCTTCAGATCAATGAGCGCATCCTTCCCTGTCTCCAGCTGCATGCAAGGCAAGCCTCACAATGAGAATGCAGCCGCTGGAAAAGGGAAGTGCGGTGTCATTCAAATCGAATACGTGTCGCTTGAAAGATGAGCTGTTGTCAGCACTACCATCATCATCACTGTTGCTGCTATCAGCAGCAGTGTGCTCGTCTCCGTCCTTCACATTGGCCGTCACCATCAGATCTGTCCCGAACTTCGGAATTATCCGGAGCAGATCTTCAGGGTCGTTGCTTCTCTCAAGTTTTCTCCGCGCTGCATCTATGCACCACCCTCCGTGATACTTTACAACCGAGTTAGCCGCTTGATCCATTGTGCGGCGAGCAACCTCCGTGTGCATCGGGTTGCTAGGAGCTGTGGCTGCTGAGACAGGCTTCATTATTGATAGTGAAATCGACAAGAAGTGAACATAATGCACCGGAAACTTGATCGCCTTCATAGGGCACGGCTGGTATCATATATCTCTACAGTGCAATAACAACAGGAATAACTAACAATATAATTACCTTTACTTAAAGACTGCTTCAGGTCAATGAGCGCATCCTTCCCTGTCTCCAGCTGCATGAAAGGCAAGCCTCACAATGAGAATGCAGCCGCTGGAAAAGGGAAGTGCGGGGTCATTCAAATCAAATAGATGGCGCTTGAAAGATGAGCTGTTGTCAGCACTACCATCATCATCACTGTTGCTGCTATCAGCAGCAGTGTGCTCGTCTCCGTCCTTCACATTGGCCGTCACCATCAGATCTGTCCCGAACTTCGGAATTATCTGGAGCAGATCTTCAGGGGCGTTGCTTCTCACAAGTTTTCTCCACACTGCAACTATGCACCACCCTCCATGGTACTGTTGACAATTCCTCTCTTATTATTATTATTATTGCTATTGCCCCTCAGACTAACGCAAAGGCACCAAGTAGTTATTAGGACGGAATTTCTTATTATTGATATTGATGAGGTTGGACAAGGATTGGACTAGACGAGACAAGATACAACCGAGTTAGCCGCTTGATCCATTGTGCGGCGAGCAACCTCCGTGTGCATCGGGTTGCTAGGAGCTGTGGCTGCTGAGACGGGCTTCATATTGATAGTGAAATCGACAAGAAGTTAAAATAATGCACCGGAAACTTGACCGCCTTCATAGGGCACGGCTGGTACCATATATCTCTACAGTGCAATAACAACAGGAATAACTAACAAGAGAATTACCTTTACTTGCAGAACCAGCATCTACAGTGTTGTAGCTCTGTCAGAACGGAGGTGAACATCGAAGGAAGCCAGTCCCACCCTTTGACCCACCTCCGTACTGTTCTCTGTGCAATTTTCTCAGGGCTTTGTTCTTCAAGAACGCCGTCGTCTGCCGCTGCTGACAATCTAGTATTGCCTGCCGAAAGTGAGCTATGAACAGCTGAACATTTGCACACTGATTGTCCAGTGAGCAGAGTTGCTGAGCTACTGCCACCTCATCTCGGCAGTAACGTTGCATGTCTGAGTTCTTGCACAACTCTTGTGTGGTATAACCAAGTGTTGGGTATGAAGAGGAGTCGTACTCCCAGACACAACGCGAGCGGGTAGTTGGGAAGAAGACATTGATTGTAGACGAAGAGACGGAGACAAAGACGAACGAAACGACAACGTTATGGAAGAGAGAGAGAGAGAGATCAAGTGAGGGCGGCAAGATAAAGGGCCTGGGTAGCTATGGCAAATATGGGCTCGCAAGTAGCTGCCCAGGCCAAATGAACGAAAGGTGAGTACGACGTAGTATGGGGTGCATGCAGGCCGGCTTGGAAAAGGTTGCAGAACATACGGGAAGAGGTACCTAACACAAGAAAGAAAGGAAATGTGAAAAACTGAAAGTAAGCAAGCTGACTCAATTGCTGAGATACTGCCACCTCGCCCTTTGCGGGTAGCACTTTGAAAAGGGGAGAAGCGCATCGGCGGAAACCAGTCCATGCCTTCGACACATTTGCGTACATTCCCCTCCGCAATTTGCTCAGGGCTTTGTTCTTCGAGGACGCTGTCGTCTGCTGTTGACAAACTAATATTGCCTACCAAAAGTGAGCTATCAAAACTGAACATCCGGGGACTGCTCATTTTAAGTGAATCGCTCAGATACTGCCACCTCATGCCAGTATTAAGTTTGCAGGTCTGAGTCCTTGCGCAAATCGAGTGTGGCATAACCGAAAGCGAAATTTCTCTTTAGGCCATGGTAAAAATTATCTTTGATTCTCAAGTACGCGCGCACCGATTTTTGGCAGCGCACCAAGAATTTTTTTAATTCTATGCATGCATATGCACGCATGAAAACGGTCAATGCGAAAGGCATGAATCAGGGAGTAGTAAAATACCAGTACGTTTCTACTCCCTGGCCTGAATATAATTATTTTATCATGTGACCATGTACATATGTGTGACCCTATCTTTGGGAAAAAAATTGTGGGAAATATAATAAAAAAATCGCTCGCTCGCACCGATTTTCACAGGCTCATGACCTAAGAATCAACTTTATTTTTTACCATGGCCTTAATTATATAGGGGTGAAACGGTTAGATGGGTTAACCGGTTATGTAACCGTTAAGAATAGAGGAGCAGTTGACCATTTGCGTAAAGGTTAATCGGTTATTTTTTTCAAATGTACACTATACACAATGTACAGTGTACGTAAATTGTTGAGCTGCATTCCTGTAAGAACAGGTGCATACACTGAGCGCTGTTCACAATGGATGCATGATGGGTATCGCCCTCATCTCTGGGGTTGCTCCCCATATTAACGATACTTGCATATGCTCATGATGAGTTTGAGTTGAATAAATGACAAGGTGACTGTAATACGTAAAGTCTGAAATCCAATGGCGCATACGAAAATATTAAAATATTTTGAACCAACTCTGGAACACTGATCAAGTGATAACACAAAGTTAGTGATAGTTGTGGTGATTGTTTTGGCAGTGTGTGAGGTCATGGTCCTATGTACAACAATCGTACATGAAAACAGGTTGCATGTACCGTATGTCTCTTATAGGTTATAACTTATATCCGTTTGGTTAACCGTTGAGATTCCGGTTAACCGATAACCTGAAACTCTAACCGTATCAGCCCTACTGTAATACCAGCCGGTGGCCATGAGCTTCATACGTGTAGTGATCCACCTCCCCAGTAATTAAGTTAATAATTCATTGCCACTAGGGAGTAGTGTAATACACTGTACCATATGACAATCAGACATGGTAGTACTCCCTGGTTGTCACTATCAATTACTAGGCACACGTACCAGTATACAACTATTCTCATCAGTTAGCTCCTTACCACTTGCTCATAGTCAGTCTACGAAAGATTTTGAAAACTGCTACGGTGAATGGTACGCCAAGTACGATGTGTTTCACACTATTCAAAGCTCCATAGAAAAATGATCTGAGGCCGACTTTGCACACCCGTGTCATCTTCCGGTATTGCACTACTCCCTGGTACTGAAAATATTAATTGATATGTATGAGATCTGGTCGATTTCTGTTCATTTCTTTCGTCTACATCAACCTGCACTTTTCAGCCATATTCTTACTCTCTGTGCAACTGTTCAGACTGTATTTGGTACGGCGGCAGAAGACACGTTAGTGGGCCACACGCAGTCAAACACCATTCGTGATCTCTCTCACTTCTACAAGGTCAGGCCACGCGGTACTAAGTACTGCAACTTCCGGACTGTTCCGTGTATGATTATGTATTGTGTTTCTTCTTGTCTTTTGGGGTGAATTGAATGGAATGGTTTATCCCTGCTCTGCCCAGACTTCTGCGCTTGCTGATAACCCTTGCTTTGAATGTATGCTGGTTATTCTGTTGCCGTGGTAGAGACCTGGAGGCAATATCCAGAGCTGCAGCGTGATAGTCTTTTCCACTGCTGTTCGCAATGTGGGTTGTTTGTTGTTACATGTACATGCATAGGGGAGCACAAACACATGTCCATGCTAGCAAGCAACAGACTATTCTGCATTTGAGCATCGCTGCTATGGCGTGCCTGTTTGTGTCTGGTGGTTGCGTTTTAGGTTCACATTGCCAATGATAAGAAGGCTCCGAAAGCCAAGACTGGTCTGTGGTCTTCTGGCAATGCATCTCGACAAGGTATGCTCTGGCTGTATCAGTGTCTTGATGATAGGAAGCTGTGCATGCTACACTGGAGCTAGTGGTCAGGGTTGTCCTACCAATTGAGCAGGAAACACTAGTAGAAGTGCTACTAGTACATCTCAGCTACAGCTACATCCACATCTTTGTGATCCAATTGGTTTGTGAAAGATTTGAATTGTGATTCGGCCGTGTACTCTTCAACAAGAAGGCTGTTGCTCCGTATGTTGCAGCTCGCACTTCCTGCTGTCTAACAACACTTGACGGACCCACGACTGCTATCTGAAGCGCCGTCGAACCTTCCACTTGGCAACCCTGCGAGAAAGCACCACTTTCTGCTCAGTGCACAGTATTTCAGGGAGTTCACCCTTCATCAGTTAGGCTTGAGTAGACTAAGGAAATTTGTGATGCAGGAGCACTACAATTTGCTCTCTCCCCCCCCCCCCCCCCCAGCAGCCTAAACATCATTGGGTATATCATATCAATTCACAGTGACGCTCCGTTTCCAGCACGACAAACCCCTCGTGAGCACCAGGCAGCAGTGTGAGTTAGTGTTGCTCATGGAATTGTGACAATAGGCGCCGAGGGCCACTGACCCTTTGCGACGCTGTTGCCTCCAATCATCGAGTCGCACCCCAACGCTAAGTACAACAGTACAACAGTACAAACCGGGCTGGTGCAACTTTGGCGGTAATATCTGAAGGAACCTTCTTCAGATATCGCCGCCAAAGTTGCAACCTAGTTTCGTTAACAAATTCATCGCAATGTTGATCTAAGGTATTTAGACAATGTCCGCCCCAACGTCTCGTAAAACGTTCTTCATGTTCCAGATTGCCACTGTGTTTATGCGATGCCTTCTGGGTCATGATGTTGATCAAATACCTCGCTGTGCGTGTGTGTGCTTGCGTGTGTGTGTGCGTGTGCGTTTGTTTGCAGTTTTGATAATGGTTGCATGTACACTGTCCTTGCGTAGGTCGTGTGCTCAGCTACTGGTGCTTCAGTCCCGGCCGTGCTATGTGTGAGATGGTACGTCACGGTATCCACAGCCTCATCATGACCAGCGGTACTTTGTCACCGCTCGAATCGTTCTCATCCGAAATGCACGTGTAAGTCAAACTCTCTGTTGTCTAAATATCTAAATATTCTGAGGAGCTGCGCCAATATCAGCAACTAGACCATGGAGTTAAGAAGTCCAGAGATCAAGTCATATACTGTCGTGGACATGGAAATCCGGTCGGAGGCGAAGCGGCCCCAGCGCACTGGCCATGCAGCCGTGAGGTACGCATATGATCCACTGTGACCAGCATTGCAGCGCTGGTCGCAACGGGTCAACATGTGCTAGCTACTAGCTACTAAGGAGTAACTTGTAGCATCTATAAATTGTTAGCTGTACCCCCCCCCCCCCCCCTCTCTCTCTCCCCCCTCCTCTCTTTGAATGCTCTTTCCTTCTCTACTCTACTCAACTCTACCTGTCTACGTGGTTGACGCAATGCTGTTGGTGCCACCATTTGCAGGCTCGCAACTCTTCGTAGATGGGAAATTTGGACAACAGTGGAGAATTTCGGCACCAAAGTTTCCTGTCAAGTTCTTGACCTCAGCACTGTAGCTTAGATGGCTGGGTAACTGCAAGGAGGGGCCAAAAAGAACACAAGCTTGACATGCCCAAACCATCCTCTGTGACAAAGGGATGATTAAATAATCCACAGTCCCATCTGATAACTTCCCCGTACAGCAGTAAGCCCAGTTTCCTTCACTTTTTTTTACATATGACTTGGTGCGTGAACATACGCACCCGTGTGTGTGTGTGTGTGTGTGTGTGTTTCCAGGCAGTTTGATGTTCAGCTTCAGAACCCTCATGTGATTGACGGTGGTCAGATCTTTGTCGGCGTGCTCTCCACTGGCCCCGGTGGCAAGTGCCTGCGTTCGTCTTTTGACCGAAGGTAAGCTTTTCCCTCACTCTTGGTGACACAGACTCGCAACCTTGTCTCGCTCCCCCACTACACTGCAACGCATGCTCCTTGGTTTCTCAGAGCCCTTTTCATTCATCATCTGATGAGCATGAAAATGCATCCAGACCTTTTTTTTGCACAGAGACAGACTCGTGCTGCTATGGGCATGGTCCAAAGGCAAGGGTACTCATGCTGTAACCTCTTCATTGTGTTTACAAAGCGGAATACTGCCACCTCTCTCTCTCTCTCTCTCACTCACTCACTCACTCTCACGGTATAGTACCATGATTGGAGCTAGCACGCATTGTCTCAAACTGAGATATTCCACGTGGCTTATCTTGTTGGTTTGTTTATCCCCCATTTTCCTCCAGATCAGTGCCGGAATATAAAACTGATCTTGGTAATGCTTTGGGTAAGTAGTCTTCCTGTATTTGTCTTGGGTGTCTTTGTTTTGTTTTTACATTGGCATCTCTTTTTTCTGCTTTCCATCCACATTTCTTGCTATGTGTTATACATGTATTTATGATAGGATGGTGTTTCAGTAAAGCCAGCACTGATTTGCTTTCTTGTTCATGTGTGCTTGTGTTGAACCTCATGTGTGTGTCCGTGCATGTCCGTCTGTCTGTATCTGTGTGTCTATCGGTCCATCTTTGTGTGTCTTATCTGTTCTCCTTTGCTCGTTGTGTTCGGCGCGTTTGCGCGCACGCTGCAGTCAACATTGCTCGTGTTGTGCCCAATGGTATGCTGGTCTTCTTCCCGTCCTATCCTGTCATGGCGGAATGCATAGAACATTGGAAGGTTAGAATCTTGATGATGCCAGGCTCAAGAATACACAGAATGCTATTGAGTGTGAACCGAATGTTTGCTCGTTGGGGATTGAGTGAGTTTTAGCGGCATTGGAATAAACCACAGCAATTCGATAAGTTCTGAATCCTTACATGTAACGAAAATGGGTGATTGAAACACTGACCAACACTCGGTTACACTCTCTATTTTCCATAATGGATCAGAAATTATGGCTCAGCCTTTTGGTCATTGCGACCATCATTAGAATGCAGCCTTGCATGTAGCAATTCAGAATATGTTATACATGTATGTCTTTCTCATGTGATTCATGTTGTGACTGCCGTGCTCTCAGGAGAACTACAACATTTGGGAGCGCATCAATAAACTGAAGCCGGCGTTCACGGAGCCCAAGAACAAAGCCGATTTTAATATGGTATGATCTTGATGGCCGTCTTGTTTGTGTGGGATTGATAGAATGTGTGTGTTTGTGTGGGATTGATAGAATGTGTGTGCTTTGTTCATACCTTTGACCAACCACCTGTATAGTACTGGCAGAATGATGTGAAGATGATGCACGGGGTTCAAACGGTTGAAGCGACCAGCGAAATGATAAAATGTAACGAAACGCAAAGAGCACATACAGACCCCTTTTCACATTGGTGACACATACAAGTATTTTAATAGGTTTGAAAACTAAGGATATGCCAATGCTTCCTAGCACTCGCTCGTGTTGTTCGAGTTGGTGACAGTCTCCTCAACAGTTTGCTGTGGCGTATAGCGAGGGTAGACTCCATACAAAGATGCCATAGCATGGTGGTTGATCATCCCTATTGACTGTGTCGGGAGATATCAGGGCCGAACCATATCTCAAGCACATTGCATCCTTCAAGTTCCTCTTGTTTTGGACTGTCCCAAATCAGGAGTAAGTTGTTGAGCCACGAACAGACACCACTACATGTACCGTAAAGTCTTGTATAAAAGCCGCACTTGAATAGAAGCCGCCCTCGAATAGAAGCCGCAATTTTGGGCCCATCAAATCACACATAAGCCTGGTTTTAGTGTTGACATACCGGTACATAGAAATACCTGTCTTGTATAGAAGCCTGTCGAATAGAAGCCTGCAAAATTTCACCAAGAAAGTCATAGAAGCCGCGGCTTTTATACAAGACTTTACGGTATCTGTGGCAACAACGACAATACTCCGGCTTGTCACTATAAGGATATCTCCACCATGCCTACAGCCTCTCCACTAAGAGGATCATACAGTTCTGAAGGGGCCGTGATATTGCGCCAATCAGTCTGCTTTTCGCTCAACTGAACCTGTTTTTGACTTGTTTGCCTTTTCGCGGGGTAGTTTTCTAACATTTTGCACACGTTTATGGTGATCAATGTCGGTGTGTGTTTTATTCTTGTGTTGATTTGATTTGTGTCCTGCTTTCCGGATTAGACTATGGATGGCTTTTATTCCAAGATTCATGATGTGGAATATCATGCAGCTGCCTTCTTTGCTGTCTGCCGTGGAAAGGTAGGAACATGGGTGTTGACTTTCTTTTGTTGGAGACACTGCCTGGTTGGAGATGCGAGACCACGTGCCGGTGCCTCTTGGCATTTTGAGTCCGGTCTGTGCAAAGCGGTGTTGTGGTGATATCTTTCCAGTCAATCCTCGGTAGTATAGTGGTAAGTATCTCCGCCTGTCACGCGGAAGACCCGGGTTCGATTCCCGGCCGGGGAGGACATTCTTTTTTTTTGCCAACACGTCGTGCTCATCTCAGACCCCTGAAAACTGACACTGATTTTTGCATTGTGCAGTCGTCCCCCTCTAATCCGGCACTTGTTTATCCAGCACACTTTCTGGCAAAACGCATTTTTTCAGTTCATTTCCTACGCTTTAAACTGTACATAATTCGATATTCTAATCCAGCAGTTGTACATCGCATACTGTCAGGGAGCATTGTAACATACACAGCACATGTAACATACACTTGGGAATATCCTATGCCAGTGCATAGGATATTCCCAAGTGTATGTTAAAGAGAAGACATGCATTCCACAAAGTACTTGGATTGACACAGAAAATCCCTACGTTTTGACGTACGACACAAACATGTATGTTAACAGGTGGGCCGGGTTGGAGGGCAGGATTTGATAATCCAGCACCCTTGTTTATCCAGCAGAAAATGCCATTGCAAGAGGTGCCGGATTAGAGAGGGATGACTGTATATGTATGGTTTCTTTATGACGTGAAAATGTCCAAAATAACGTCACATGGGCTTTTTCCCTTGCCTACGTCTTGCTAATTTTCAAAACTTCAACTCCATATTGACTACACCTGGTATTCCAGTTCAGTTCTGCTGTCCAAGTATGTATAATTATAATGTACACAAAGGACGAAACAGTTCTGTCCGCAGATTGAGTAATGTACATGTACAAACTTTTGTTTGGAAGTATCTGTCGTTAATTCCGTATGGTGAGAGGATCAACAGTACGTTACGCCCCTTCTGCTGTGATGCAGCTACAGAATGCTAAGGAAAACCGGTGCAGTATAATAACGAGATCCCAAAAATCTGTAGCATGTGATCTCCCAGTTTTTTGGAGTTCTTGCTCAACATTTCATCGAGCTACTTTCCATGTGCGCTTATTACAGAATGGTTATGCATTTTATATCTTTCCTTCTTTTAGGTCAGCGAAGGTCTGGACTTTGCTGACTACAATGGCCGTGCTGTTGTTATAACAGGGCTTCCGTTTCCACCTCGTTTTGATCCTAGAGTAAGTCACTGATTAATACTGCTAAACTACATGTATGAGTGAGTGCCTAGGAGAACTGCTTGTTGGTGGTGGTCAAGAGACTTTTTGTTTGCATTCACATGCAGAGCCCCCGAGTTATAGCCAGCCTGAATCTAAAGGGGTGAGGAGCTGGACTCACATGGGGTTGGCCATTCTGGCTACTCTCTTTCTAACAGCATCTGTGCACGCCTGCGCTTTTACACACACGCTCACACACGTGCGCGCAACACACCCGGTCCGTGGTCGACTAAAAGAGTACAACGGTCCTTCACTGGTCCGGATGCAAGTTTGTCAAGAGGAGTACAGTGTACGATACCATAGCTATTTTCTTCACACACGACTAATCACCACTATCTTACAGCACCGCTCTGTTACCTGGGATGTAAGCTGCGAAATTTCTATTTCCCAAATCTGCTATATACTATAGCGTGTACCGTAAAGTACCGTTGATCCGCCCCCACGCCATGTCGCTTCCCAGCTGGGTTTTCGGCAGGGGGCGGGAATTAGATCAAGGCTGACAAGTGCAGTACGATGTACAACAACGTAGAGGATCAGACTCAATGTGCTGGATTGTGCACATTTTGATCCTGGATTGGTAAGTATTGTGTGCAGCAGTGCATGCGTCGGTTCAACATCGTATTTCGTTGTATACGCCGAAGTCGCTTCACAAGGAGAAAATCGACAGGGGGCGGGAATTAGAGAGGGGGCGGATCAACGGTACTTTACGGTACATGTAACCTGGATGGAAGTTTAGTGTAGCGAGTACCCACTTTGGGTGATGTTTTGCATGGATAAGGAGATTCAACTCCTGCTACCGTGGGGTGTTCACTGCGAAGAGTACCGTATGCTACTTTATGGCCGCACTAGTACGTGTACTGTGCATGCATTGGAAATGTTACCCTCGCCCTGTCTCATTGCCGCTTCTCTTGCAATCACATCAGCCTCGCAGTGTACAGTAGGGACATGTTCTCTTCTCCCTTCCTTTCCTTTTCGACAGGTCAAGTTGAAGATGGAGTACATGGAGGAGTGCTGTCGAAAGCACAAGCGAGGAGAACCAGATGTGAGTCGCAGCACTTTCTCTTTTGCGTTTGGTCACGTTTGAACTAGACAATGTGAATACTGAAGCAATGCCAGCAGAGTAAAATCATAAGGCTGCACGGTTTGCTGTCACAACCTTGGGAGGTTTGAGTTCGAGAAAGAGCCTTCTTCAAGATTTCCTCCTTTGTGATTATAATAAGACGGCATGCAGCTTACCTGATTTTTTAGTACTTTGAAGTACTAATTTTTTTAGTACTTTGAAGTACTTGTGTTCTTTACTCTGTGTACTAAGTGTGGCACTAGTTTTCAGTTTCCATGTTTTTGTTTGCTACCAGGCTCAAAAAGCTCCACATTTGAATACAGTCTAGCATATCGCCACTACTTTTGCCCCCTTCTCCCACGTTTGCCCACTCCAGCCGATCAGTGGTGAAAAATGGTATCGGCAACAGGCATCGCGAGCAGTAAACCAGGCCATTGGTCGAGTCATTCGACACCGCAAGGACTTTGGGGCCATTCTTCTCTGTGATGAACGGTGAGTCAGCCTCTCTCTCTCTCTCTCTCTCTCTCTCTCTCTCTCTCTCTCTCTCTCTCTCTCTCTCTCTCTCTCTCTCTCTCATTTTTCTTCCGAGTAAGTAGATGTCCAGCAGATGTCAGGATGATTCTGGTACCCAACAAAAAAATAATAGGCACACTAACTTACTCGTACTCTGGCATACACGAAAAGGATTTCCACAACTTTCCAGGCTTTGATCATGGCTTTCATTTGAGGGTCTTGCCCGGGTTGAGTTGATGTGAGCTGCTACTTGTTCATTACCTTCTCGTACTGGGCTGAATACGCCCCGGCCAGTCTTTCGTCAGCATGGCCACATGGACATGTACAGCTTGTGCTCTTCATCCAGAATAACTTTCATCTCGTCCTCCAGGACAACTGTTATGACATAACAGTTGTTTGTATCTCTGGTCAGCGCATGACAACTCTTCTGTTCTGTTTGCCCGTTTCAGTATCATCATGATGATCATGATTTTCTCCCGGCTCACTGGTCCCATTATTTGTCCACTTTATATTTATTCAACATTTTCTGGCTCGTGCAACGACTGCCAATGACAAAATGAATGTGAAATGAAGGGTGATAGCCAACCATGGACTTCCTACATCTACCGTGACGACTCCTTCTTGTACTCACTGAGATGCGATACTGCCGGTCATCGTCTTCTGGATTCATGGTATATTTATCGTCACTGCTCTGTGGCAAGAGCACGTAAACTGTTGACATGTCTGTATACTTGTCTTGTACTCATTGGTGCGGCCATTGAAAGGTGGGTGTCACCCAGGGCCTAGGGCCTCCCCGGGAATTTTTTTTGGAAAATTGGGCCCAAATATTAACCGGTTCTAAAGTAACTTCTAACGTCCCTGCTCTTGCTTGGAATCGTCAGGACGACAGGTTGGTCTCGATTATATTATAAAGGGAGAGATCTTGGGGGGTTTTGTAACTTTTTTTGCTCGCTTGAGGATGGACTGAGCTGAGGTCCACCATGATGTGAATAGCTCATGGCAATAGTATCAAGAGTAACTATGTACTCTTGATAGTATGCATTGGGCGCTTTCGATTACACGCATTTCGGTCAATTCTAGAATTAGTTATTGTTGATGCACAGTTCGATTACACAAAAAGTGACAAATTCCGTCGTTAGAATTGATTTTATCCAATTCCGTCAACTCTGAAGAGAGGGCGAAATTTCTCTAATTCTGGCGCCAGAATTGCACAGTCGGTGTGTTACCGGTCTGGTCATGACTCAAGTGCGCGCGAAGAGCCTCCCTGGCCGGCGTGTGCGCGATGCTGGGTCCACGTGCGCGCGAGGGTGTACGTGATCTCTTACGATTCATCAATTTTGTTTGTGACATGACATGGATAAAATGCGTTGTGAATTCCAGTCGTTCGTTTACAAGGCCGGAATCCGCTCATTCTGGTCATTCCAGAATTCGTGTACATAACAGCCGGCTACGTCACTTGCATGCAGGCTAGCCGCTCGAAAAGACGCAACATTCAGGTTTTTACAGTGCCGTTTCCATGGTTGTAGCCAATGAGCGACGTTCCCGCGGCGGCCTTGATGAGCCGATAAAGGCCCGCACGCTGTCAGCCTAGCTCTACAGTGCAGGAGTCTGCGTCAGTTTTCCGTTGCCATCTCAGTTCGCATGTCACATTCCACTGTGGACATGCGATCTTTGACTGTGCAACGACTGCACGATTATTGTTCTGATCACACTTGAAGTCTGTTACAATTTACGGGAAGTGCCACCTTTGGCAGCGATTCTCAACCCTGGAGAACTATTTGACATTAAAATTGAATGTGATATTAGCTCCCTGGAAGTTTGCTCCCTGGAAGAACTGTTGCGGACGAGGAGTTTCTATCTGTCTCAACTCCGTTGCAGTTGCTTTCTGGATCCAATTGTCGATGACATCGCATGTCTGCCTATCTGGCTCTTGTGGCTGCAACGAGACTCGTTGAGGAGCATCGATGCTACTGGCTACTGCCAGAGGAGCACTGATGCTGCTGGCTGTTGGCAGTGGAGCACTGACGCTGCTGGCTGCTGGCAGTGGAGCACTGACGCTGCTGGCTGCTCGCAGTGGAGCACTGACGCTGCTGGCTGCTCGCAGTGGAGCACTGACGCTGCTGGCTGCTGGCAGTGGAGCACTGACGCTGCTGGCTGCTCGCAGTGGAGCACTGACGCTGCTGGCTGCTGGCAGTGGAGCACTGACGCTGCTGGCTGCTGGCAGTGGAGCACTGACGCTGCTGGCTGCTGGCAGTGGAGCACTAATGCTGGTGGTTGCAGGAAGAGGACCTGCACCGCTGCTGCTGGCTGCCTTGTGACCTGGTGTGACACTGGGTGTCGAGGTGTTGCCCCAGTCCCTAAACAGCAGTTCGATCTCCATATCTGTGAATTCAGGGAACACCTCAGTTAAGGGCACCGAATCAGGCTGTGCGGTGTTGGCCTTTCCGGTGCTGCTGTGCGCTCCTTCGCTTCTCTTCTTCCCATCTAGTATGTGAGACATGGTTCTCTCTTGTGCTGTTGTCGGCCGCGTGTAAGATGCCAGGCTGTTGGAGTTGCGGTGGCCAGTCAATGCCATTATTTGACGCTGCTCAATACCCTCACCAGACAACATCGACACAACGGTAGCGCGTAGACAGTGGTTAGTGTATATCTGTGTCAATTGGGCGGCCTTGGAAATGTCGGGCATCATGTTACCGAGAGTAGTCTTGCCGAGAGGCGAGTTGCAAAACCATACTTTTTCTTTGGTGGCATAATTCTGCTTCGCTCTTTGGAAAAGAGCAGGACAGTCCGGGTGTAGGTGTTCCATCATCATCCGCAATGACAGCAGTTGGGCTTGGTCCGTTATCTTTCCAGCACCGGCGTCGCGACGAGCAGATCCGCGCCCGCCTTGGTAATTTTTGTAGCGAAGTCCGCGGAGAGGCGAGCGAAATCGCCATGGGCATCGGTGCCAAATTCAACATCGGCCTTAGTTATCTTGCGCTGCACCTCGCGACCACGGAGGCCCAGATGGAGTGTTGTGAAAAACCAAACATGTCTGGTCAGATTCTCTGCAGTTTTGCTTCTGTCGAAGAAGTAAGATATCTTGTCCATATCAATGTCTGTGATGGGATCTTTGTGCTGGACAGGATTGCTGTGGCCCTCACGTTTGTTCCTTTTCAGCACGCCATCTAGAACATCGTTCGATTTCTGAAACTCAACGTCAGTGTGTACGTTGAATTGTCGGTCGTGGCATGTCAATTGCCGCTGGATGGCAGCCCGGAAACCATGGTACCCTGGCTCTTGGTAATAGCCGCCGTCTTTCCGTCTCATTGAAATGTAACAACGGCAGAGCACATTGTTCAGCTCCTTCCGGCTGCAGTCCCGCAGGTCGCATTTCAGATTGTTGTCCTTGAGACATTTTTCGAACATAGACAGCCACGTGGATGTCGTGTCCTTCGTGGACTTGGGAACCCTGGAGGTCAAAATTTCCGCAACATCAGCGTCAGAGGCGGACAAAAATCTCTTCTTTGCAGCAGGCTCCATAATCAACAGTGTACCGGATTCGCACGGGAATGTCAAACAAATTAATAAACCACCAAGCACACTGGAAGAGAACGCATTGACTGAACTAAGTTGCTGGTGTCTGTTGTGTCCGTCCTGCGACAAGGTGAAGAAGAACGTGGGTCAAGAGGGACCTTTGATGGGGAGTAAAGTGCAATAGTCATGGTTAAAACCGGGTCTACATGTAGATTGGGCATGCCTGTAGACATGATGTCATGCTCAATTCTGTTCATTGATGGAATATACATACAAGTACTGTGATGTAAGGTAGCAAATGTGGCTACATGTAGTAAGCAATCCAGTATTCTATGATCTAGCATGGTAACAAGTTCTTCGCCAGGTAATGGCGGTAAATGTTGACAACAGGTTTGTACGTGTGTCAGTGAAGGAGTGTCGAAAGTAAACAGCTACAACCTGAGAACAATTCAAAACACTCTTCTTCTTCACCAAATTAAAAAAAGCAGCCCTAGGTGGTATCGCGCTTACAGTTTACGCAAGTGTAAACCTGACCATGAATCAAGCGCGCGCGGGCGCAGGCCTCGGCGCTACGCGCCTTGGCCTGCGCCCTTGGCCGTACGCATGAGCTTTGGCAATTCTGCAACTACTTCTTCTTGGGAAAGAAAAGGAAAGCAAGAGACTTCGTTCACCTGAGCCTTCATCAAGGCCAAGAAAATTGTTGAAAAAAATGGCAAGAGATCCGTCCACCACGTCCCCGACCTCCACCCCTAGGTGGTATCGCGCTTATATACAGTTCGCAAGTGAAACCTGACCATGAATCAAGGCCAAGGGCGCAGGCCAAGGCGCGTAGCGCCGAGGCCTGCGCCCGCGGCCGTACGCATGGGCTTTGGCAATTCTGCAACTACTTCTTCTGAAAAAAATGGCAAGAGATCCGTCCACCACGTCCCCGACCTCCACCCCTAGGTGGTGTCGCGCTTATATACAGTTTCAAAGAATGCCAGTGAAAACATGACCATGACTCCGATGAGCGTACGGCCAGGCAGGCGCTAGGCCCAAGCCAAGGCCCGGGCGCTGGCCAAGGCGCGTAGCACAGTAGATCTACGCACGAGGCCTTCATGTACTGATGTAAGCGAAAACTGATAAGATCATCGCGTGTCAGCAAAGGAGTGATAGTGTAGCCACCACGTCCCCGACCAACCTACTTGTTCTTGAGCATTGAGCAAAGAAAAAAGGCAACAGGTCTAGCCACCACGTACCCAACATCCACCCTATGTCAGTATGTGATATCGAGCTTAAGTTATACTATAATATACGTCTACCATGGTCTACGCGGCTCAAAGGATGTAAGTGAAAACCTGAAACACGATCATAGAGTTCTGGCAGGACTTTCCGCCTTCATCAAGGCCTCGTGCGCACGGCCGCGGGCGCAGGCCTCGGCGCTACGCGCCTTGGCCTGCGCCCTTGGCCGTATCATTAGGGAGGTTTCGCTCTACGTAATTACGTATGAAAATCCGTATGTCGTACGCGCCGGGGAGCGAGGGCAACTTTCATACGTAAATCTGTCTACGGATTTCCGTAGGAAAGCTCTTTCCTACGTTGGGTCCTCCGTAGGACTTTTTGAAATATTTTTCGCATTTTCCGCATTTGTCCATGGCAACATTCAAGCCGCGCGAAACACAAGGTACACACACCGTACACCACGTGCAAAATATAATGGAAAACGCGGTCTCGGTTCATGGTGCATACGGTGGGCGCATGCAGCCAACGCATCTCCAAAGCAACAACGCACGTTGAGCAGTCGTGGAGAAATCACGTAGAGCGAAACCCAACAGCTCTGATTTTTACGTATGAAAATTCCGTGCAGTTCATACGTTATTTTCATACGTAATTCCGTAGAGCGAAACCTCCCTATTATGTATGCACTCGGCCTTGATTCAGCCATAAAGTCCTGCCAGAACTCTATGATTGTCTGCATCCGAACATGTTCGAACATGTTGCGTTCGTCTTTTCTTTCGTAGATCTATGGCGGGAAAATTCGCACGTGTTTGTTCATTGTCATTGATCGTCGTCATCGTCGTGAACGAAGAGTTTTCAAGTTATTTTTATAGCTTTCATGATTGATTTCTTGGAACACGAAGATGCCAAGGAAGACGAGGCGCTCTGCTCGTCAGGAAAATGACAGTGATGATGAAAAACCAGCGAAACGCGCAAAGACCTCAACAGCAGCGGCTAAAAGTGAGGTGATTCCAAAGTCCGACGAAATTGCTTCTCCAAAGAATGTCGAGGAAAATAAAGAAGGCAAGTCGATGCTAAAGTTTGTTGGTGCACAAACGTCAATAGCTGGAGGAATCCAGAATGCCGTGACTCAAGCAGTGGAGATGGGTGCTACTGCGTTCGCTCTATTCCTAAGATCGCAGAGGACGTGGAAATGTAAACCTCTAGAAGAAACCTCGGCTGATCTGTTCAAAGAGGCCTGCGCGGAGCACGGGTTTTCCCCGAAGCACATCTTACCGCACGGCTCGTACCTGCTCAATCTAGGCTCCCCGGACGCTGAGACGCTCCGCAAAAGCAGAGAAGGTTTCCTGGACGAAATGCAACGCTGTGAGAAGCTTGGCCTATGCCTGTATAACTTTCACCCCGGCTCGTCATGCGGCAAGACGACTGCTGAGGAGTGTTGCCAAACAGTGGCGGAAAGCATCAACGGTGTGTTGAGCCAGACGAGCGGCGTAACAGCAGTGATAGAGAACATGGCTGGCCAGGGGAATACTGTCGGTGGACGCTTTGAGGAGATCCGTGACATCATCGCAGGGGTCGAGGACAAGAGTCGTGTCGGTGTCTGCATTGATACATGCCATGCATTTGCTGCTGGATTTGATATTCGCAAGAAGGAAGGATTTGATAAGGTGCTGAATGATTTTGACCAGATCGTTGGTCTAAAGTATTTGAAAGGCATGCATTTGAACGACTCCAAGGGTGAGCTTGGCTGTCACCTGGACAGACACGAAAACATTGGTAAAGGCAAGATTGGTATCGGTGCTTTTCAGTTCATCATGAACGACCCACGTCTCAACGACATTCCGCTAATACTGGAAACGCCGATGGGTGTTAGCGACGCTGACGAGGTGAAGCTGCTCTTCTCCTTCTGACCTGCAAATGTGGTGACGGTAGTGTGTGCTCAGCAATAGTCTGACGCTGTGTTTCTTCACGCCGGCGCTTTCATTACTGACGAGCAGATTTAATGGTGCTTTACCGTTGCATATACTTCTACTTTCCAATTCTCGTAGGGTACAGTTCAAGGTGGTCCTCCATCAGTGAATAGTTTCATCCTGATGTCATCAAGGGAAACTGTACAGATTTTACATGTTTAACAGTGCTGGGTTGACCTTACAACCCAACCCCAATGCATACATTGCTCCACCCGCATCAAAGCTGGCCCATATCTTGATATCTGTGTACTTGATAGCCCTTCTCATAGTCTCGTTTGAACTCGGAAATTACAAAAATGTTCAATTGATTGTAGCTGCATGTTGATCTAGTCCGGGACTTCACCAAGAATATGAGACGCATAGCAAGATGCTGACATAGTTTTATTCTCTCACGCTGTATCCATCACATAATTATCATCCATGTAGTTTGACCCTGTATGCTGAATCGCTGGACGATTTTGTGTTCCTCTCCGTTATGAATATCATATACTTTGCAGTCTTTGCCGAAGCACACCTGAGCAGGGTAATTGTGTTTGCTCATTTTTTACGTACATGTACATATCACACTGCATGCTGATCTGTGTTCCGCCATATGGAGTTTTCAAATCACGTAGCTGCCCATGCCAACTCGAAACGCGGCAGTGTACGACCGGGTCGACCTGGGGAGAGAGTCATAAATTTGTACCCTAATCCACTTACGGAGCACCTACGTTATCAGAGCCCTGCTTTCCGTAAGTGGAGTGCAAACCCGCGAATTCACGGGGTTTTTCCCGCCCACTAGCTGTTTGCATGCCTACCTGAGATTACGGATGCATGTGGGCTCGAGTTCCACGTATAATCTGCCTACTACGAGGAGAAAGGTGAGAGCATTTGCGCAAAGGCTCTCACTTTTCTGATCACCATGAACACCGTATGGTGGGTTGCAGTGCTCACCCGTAATCTGGGCCTCTCGGCAACGTCGGGATCTGCCATGTACCTTGCATTGCAGCACCCACCGTGACCATGTGAGTTTGCTCTAACCCTCACCCGTGACCACACGATTCCTAACATTTGTGTATAGCCGCCTTATGACAGCTGGGGTACTGGCACACGGTAGTTGCAGGCGACATACCTGCCGAAGCAATCTATTCTCGGTCTCGCGGGACATTCTTTTCCCAAAACAACATTTGCTGGACCCATGGCGGCTTCGGCTATTTCCAGTTCAGCCGTTTCAACCTCAGGGCTCAGCTAAAGAGCAGTGAGCAAAAGGACCTAATCTCACTGAACACACAAGCAACCAAGTGCATGTACGTGTAAGCAGTAATACAGTCTGCTGGACCATGGCTCCACCAGACGTACTGTGGCATTGTGCGATGTCATCCGCCTTTGGCTTTGGCAAGGCACGGGCATAAAGAATAATCTGATGGCATTATTGGCCATGTAAGAATATCTATCTAGGTTGGGATTATCTGCCCGGACTTGATTCTTGACACAGAAGTTTATGAGTAATTATGACGGCTAAAAGAATGCACTTGTGAGGTTATGGGACTGGCTCTGGTCATTTATCTCTCTTCATGTCTGTACAGTGCGTATCGGTTATAGTGTGGTTGTATACAAGAATATACTGCCTACAAGAATGAACACTCATTTTTCATAATCATAACACATATTTTATGTGTATATTTATTCTTACAAGCAGTATTATCGCATAGTAGAATATATCGGCCCTAAGAATGGATTTTATGCAGCAAAATATGCCAGATTAGTGCAAAGTGTATCGCCTGTAGTAATAACATCTGTGCTCTGTGCATACTCAATACAATAATATTCAACACAAAAAGAGAGTTATATCCAAGGGAGCATTGGAGAATCACTTTTTCTGTCCAGTCGGACTCTTTCTTCCGACTTCTCTCGTATCTGCTGCTCCGCAGTCTAGTCGCCTAGCACGACCGGTCGACCGCGAGTCTGATCCGTGTGTATCATGTGTACGTGTCCACATGCCAAACGTGCGCGCAATGCGCGCATGCGCATATGATTATGTCACACGTGCATATGATATGTCACACGTGCATTATGATATGTCACACGTGATTTATCGTGTGTAAGAAATATCGGCAATACGAATCAAATGTCGTTTTTCAAACACCCACGCTATAACCGATACCTACTGTATCTTCATGTCTGTATCTTCTGTTCCCTTTGGTGTTCATGTTGTTCTGTAGGTTTGCCAAAGCTGATGTACAGGGCCAGCTTCCCAGATGGGTTCGACCACACACTCGCATGTTCAATGTCTTCAGCCATCTTGCCCGAGAACTTCCCAAGTTCTTTTCAGGAGCAGAGCGACTTGTAAGTTGCTAATGATTATGATTGTATGTGTGCACCAGGTCTGCATAGGATATCGGAGGTTTTCTTGGAAATTTAGTGCGCATGTGTCTACTTTCTCCATGCTCTTCCGCCTGCACAACCGATCATGAGGATTGATGTTGCATGGCTGACAGAAAAGAATTGGTTCTCTTGGACTTTCTGGCCCACTGCGGAAGATTCCAAGTCAGTGCAGAGGTTCTATTCACCCGACCCCATAGGTTGCCGTTGCATATAAATTGGAGGAGCCTCAGCGAACTCCGATTGGAGTTCTACGAGTCTCCTCGTAACATTCTTGATCACTGTGCATGCACAGTGGTAATCATTCTAATAGGAGATATTCTGTACGTAGTAGTCTCAGATCCGCGTTTCAAAACTTGTACCCAAAATAATTACCAAACCGGCGTACCCAGTAGTACCCTGTACGTTAGCTATGGTGCAATACCTGCCGGCACAACCCGCCGACCAGGCAACACTTCCTCAGTCTTTCAAAGGTAAAAGATACACCCAAATTTGCCTGCCCGCCTGGGAGGGCGTGGAGGTTGCACAGTGATCATGAATGTTACGAGGAGACTCGTAGAACTCCAATTGGAGTTCACTGAGGCTCCTCCAATTTATATTTCTACTTCGCTCCTCTCCACATTCATGATCACTGTGCATGCACATAACATGCACAGTGATAATCGTTCTAATAGGAGACTTCAAAGCACCCAGGGCAGGACAAATCGTGTACACCCACCCAGCACAAGATCGTTATGACACTAGGGAAATATGAACTTGATCATAATACCGTATTTTTCGGAGTATAGTGCGCACTTTAGATGTGCTATTTTAGGCCCTAAATCGCAGGTGCGCACTATGCTCCGAATATGAAATGCATGTACTTCAATGATACAAAGGTGCGCACTATACTCCGAAAAATACGGTAATCAAAAGAGAAAACCACATAGTCAATCTATGCTTGACACAGAAGGTAAACTACTCAAAAGCGCTGAAGCAACAGCAGATGACGGCAGCTGCGAGGACCGTCTATGATAATGTTTATTAAAGGAAGACAGTGTTGACCAATCACCAGCCCGCAACACTGCCTCCAATGGAGCCAACATGTCCTTGGCAGCTGAAGCTGACGCCCCACGGATACTATGGGAGCCAAACTTGCTGGTATCGATACCAGCGTCCTTCATTACGGAACGCACCCATCTTGCCACTGTGTCCACAGAAACCGGCTGATGAGGTGCAACATAACTAACAAGCAGCTGATTGCTAGAACGGATAGCATTTGTAGCCATAATGTAATCTCGCAACAAAGGCGCAGCACCCAAAGGATCAGAATCAGACAATGCAGGCAGAGAGATGACAAAATACGGACATTGCCGAGCAACCTTTAGGTTATGAAACACAAACAAGTATGTGGCTGAATCTAGAAACTGAACATTGACATTGATGTGTTTAAGGGACATGGACTTCAAATCCTGACTATCGACCTTCCAGCCCTGCAGATGCAACAGCAAACTCTTCGCATCCCAAAAAACTGGATACTTTGGTACAGGCTTTACGTAAATTTCTTACACCCAACATAAAACGGCGAACAATGGGATGCTCCTCTAAGCTATTTCCCTCGAACGCAAAAGTGGAAGCAATTGCACTGCGAGCCACATTTATGTAAGAATACGAATAGTCGTCATTGTACATTGCGCACAAGAAGCTAATCAATGAGCTTACAGAGGGACTGCTGTAATCAAGCCTCTGCTTGTCGCAAAACTGCATCCAGCGGCGGAAGAGCGATGCGTACGAGCCCGCCGTTGATGACTTCCAGCTGGCCGCAATGATGTGGATGGCTTCTGGTGAAATTCCTCTTGCAAGGAGGGCATCCTGGACAACTTGCAAGCGATTAGGCGCATCTGTGGAAGAAGAGGATGAGTCTGAGACGGCTGCACGGGACACCTGAGCAGGGAGCGGAGAGGTGGGAGCAGAACGGGCACATCCACCAATAGCTCACACAAATGGACAAACCAAGGTTGGCTGGGCCAATATGGACATATTAGGGTAACCGACCCACTCTCATATTCCAGCTTCGAGAGAACACGGTTAAACAAATTTAAGGGTGGGAAGGCATAGCCAAAGACATTTTCCCATGAGATGGACAGAGCATTGACCCAGATGCCCCAGGGTCAGGCTTCCAGGAATAATAGAGAGGAAGTTTATTGTTAAGCCTGGAAGCAAACAAGTCAATATCAGGGTGACCAAAGACATAACAAAGTGACACAAACACATCTGGGTCGAGGCTCCATTCCACATTGCGATTATAATCCCTAGATAGAGTATCTGCCATGGTATTGTCAACACCCGCAATATGAACTGCTTTGATGTCAATGTGCTGTTGGATGCACCACTCCCAAATAGTCTTGCTGATGTCGTTCATCACAGAGCAGTGGCAACCCCCATATCTGTTGACATACGAGATAGCCGAGGTATTATCGCAGTTGGTACGCACCTCTGATGACAATACCCTCTCCAGACAAATCAGGGCAAACCTAATAGCTGTAAGCTCAAGAATATTGATGTGCTATTCAGCCTCTTCTTTCGACCAATGGCCTGAACACACTGATCTAGGACTTTCCCCGAACGAATAAGCACAGTGCCCCACCCGGATTTACTTGCATCAGTAAACAAATCATCCGAGCAGTTGCTAAAGCCCAGTATGTCACTGATAGACCTACCATTGGCGGACACAGCATTGTCACACCACCATAACAAATCAGCTCTACAGGGATTAGACAGAGTAACCAAACGGTCATAACTGTGGGTTTGATCCAAACACTGAGTTTTAAACATTTCAAGGCCACGGTAATGCAACTGTCCATGAACAACAGCCATAAAACTAGACACAATAGTACCAATGACTTGAGCTAGCTTTCGAATGGACACTCGGTCTGTCACTAGCAGGTCCTGACACGACCTTACTAATCGAGTGAGCTTGTCACTTGGAAGCGATACTGTCATATTGATGCTATCAATCACAAAGTCAAGGTGTTGAATTGTAGTAGAGGGCATCATAGATGAGTTCTCCAAGTTCACTGTAAAGCCCAAGCTTTCTAACAGTGACTGTGCATAGGCTGTCTGTTGGTGAAGAACCAGTGCATTCTATAATACCAAACAAAGAATCATCTATGTAATACGAAGAGTTAATACCGTCTTTACGCAATGAGGGAAAGATTGGCTTCATCACCTTTGTGAAAATATACGGTGCCGGACTTAAACCAAAGCAGAGACATTGAAACTCATACAGCTCACCACCCCAACTAAAGCGAAGAAATTTCCGAAAACTACTCGCAATAGGTAGAGAGAAATATGCATCCGACAAATCCAAGGATGTTAAGAACATACCCGGCTGAACTGAGGGAAGAAATGAAAGCAGGTGCTCCATCTTGAAGTGTGGGGCGAGAAGAAATTGATTAAGCTTCTTCAGATTAATAATGGGACGCATACCCCCTGATTTTTTAGGGATGACAAATATACTTGAGACAAACTGCCCAGGAACCGGATCTACCGGCAAGATAGTACCTTTCAACAGAAGTTTCTCTATCTCCGCATCCACCAGAGCATGGTCTGCACCCGACATCGGAATATCCCGTGGGTACCCTTCTAAGCTGGGAGTAGAAATAAACTTCAACTGTATCCCCCGTACCGATTGAAGAACAAAGGGATCATTTGTGGTATCAGTCCACTGATCATAGCACAGGGCCGTACGGCCTACAGAACATACCTGTTTGCTCATGAATTGCGTCTCTCCGGGGCATGGTAAGAGCTGCGCCTGTCTGCAGCCTGGTACGGCTTCGCCATGTATGGCTTCTTCGATTGAAATCGAGCCGACTGTCCCTTCCATGGGGCGGGAGACCCCTTCCAGTTTAACCCAGGTTTCGGGTTTGGTACGTGGTGTTGCTCTTGACCCGGAGGTCGAGGTCGGTGGTACGGGTGATACCGCTGCTGTGGGGCCATGGATCTCGATAACTTCGACGCATCATCGATCTCCTTCACCGCCTCTTGGATGTGGTCCCCAAACAGGAATTTTGTAACTGGCACTGTTGGCCCACATAGGGATTGATACCGCCGTTTGATACCAGACTTGAGCAAGTCTCTCCTTCTATGGGACATGCCCAAGAAGCCATTGCCGAGGACTGCTATGGCCGTGGTCAGCTGTTTGCCTGCCACCTCCGTATTCTTAGACAGCAATGCCTCGCGGGCAACCACTATGGCCGACAAACTGCGAGACATTAGGCCCTGCAAATACTGCATTCGGGAATCTGACAACCGTTGCCATTTCGACAGTTCTCGCCATATGCATGGATTGACCTGAGGTACCGTCAGGGACTCACAGTTGGAGGGTTGTTTAAGCGACCTCCTTAACTCTACGAACTTTTCTCGTTGAATCTTCTTCGTGGTGCACCTTGTCACATACTCTGCCAAAGACGGTATTACAGTAGGACCTGCCTCATCCTCGCCCTCGAAGAGCACATCCCAGTCCTTGTCGCCGTCCAAGTCCAAAGGGTCATCTGGCTCTTCGAATTCTCGAAACGGAGAGGATTCACCCTCAGGCAAAACCTTTGCCTCTGCCAAGATACTGGCAACCGTCTGAGATTCTGTATGCAATGAAGCATCATCACTGAGTCCGCTGGGCTCCATGACAGGCAATGCCGCAGCAGAGGCCATGAATGTATCAGGCAAACGTGAGGCCCTTGCAGTATTAGTGGTAACTTGACCACCTGCAGCAACTGGCAGACTAGAGGCCAGATTCGAGGATACATGATTTTGTGCTGGTAGACTAGAGACCAGATCAGACTGTTGAGGCCGACTAGAGGCCATATTTGACTCGACTGCCATAAGCGGTGTTGCTGCCGAACCATACGTTACACTGCACGTGGCATCACCACTACGCAACGTATAGGGAACGCTGTTAGAACTGCCGTAACTGGCACCACACAGAGTCGTACTACCGAGGTACGGTCTTGCCTCCAACCACGATGTTTGTGGAGCAGAACTGTTGGACTGAGTCGAAGCCTGTTCAAACCTGGACATGAAACTCTCCATCGAGGCAAACATTTTGTCCACTGAGGTTTCCAGCTTCTCGAAACGTTCCATCGATACCGACCTTGGTCTACTGACTGATTTGCTGACAACCGCTACTGATTTCTTACCCCTAAGCACACTACCTGAAGTTGCCACATCTGATTGGACTTCGCTAGGCCTGGACTCCACGCCCGACACAGCACGAGTCACCTCTTCTCTACTGTCTAGCAAACCTTCGGTCACAATTACAGGCCGCCCCGATCCCACAGGGCCGGGAGGAGCCCCTGATGACATCTCAATCTTTGTTCACAGAAACTACAAAAAACACGGACCTGACACTACCAACGCAAAGAAAGAAGTGTTGCCTGGTCGGCGGGTTGTGCCGGCAGGTATTGCACCGTAGGTAGCGTACAGGGTACTACTGAGTACGCCTGTTCGGTAATTATTTTGGGTACAAGTTTTGAAGCGCGGATCTGAGACTACTACGTACAGAATATCTTCTATTAGAACGATTGTCACTGAGCATGTTATGTGCATGCACAGTGATCATGAATGTGGAGAGGAGTGAAGTAGAAACACTCTTGGAGTCGGCATGTACTTTTGCTCAGGGAGTCGTAAAATAGTATTTTACGACTCCCTGCTTTTGCTACTGTGGGGGACGCAGCACAGTAATTTCTAACATTTTCAATTTTATGATCTTGATGTATTTCCACACTGAATTTTGTGTCTGTGGGGGTTTAGCTCAGTGGTAGAGCGCTCGCTTTGCATGCGAGAGGCCGTGGGTTCGAACCCCACATCCTCCAATTTTTTGTTCTTTTTCAATACAATATAATGCAGTCAGTGATCACACGAGGCACTCCGTCAAGCTGCTGAGTGCTTACTAGCATTTTTTTTCTTCCTTGTTGCTTCTTTTTGTGTTTTGATCATGACCCTTCCTTGCCATTTTTCCCCTGTATATGTAGGTTGGTGCACCTCCACTACCCTCCGGTCCCGGCAAGCACCAGCGGCAGTCTGCCGCTGCTTCTGAGGTGACAGCGAAATCGATTCTGGCACGCCCGCTGGCCGGTAACAAGACTCGCGTTCCTCTGATGGCGTCCAACCAGAAAGAATACTTTGTCGACAGCCTAGCTACGGCAGGTGAGGTTGGAGCCGTGTGTGCATGGAGATGATCTCTTTGGCCAAGAGTCCATAAACAAGAGTATGCAACTATGCTATCCTTTCTATGGGCCAGATGAGCGATGCATTGCCTTCACTACATCATGCAGCTATATCCGCACACTGCAAAAAATCAAACACCACACTTTCCCTGCATAAGAGGTAAAGATTTTCGAAGGACGATAAAAAAGAGAGGTGGAATTTAGCAGACAAACCGACGCTTTTACACGGTCGCAATTTGGACACGTTTGGAAATCAAAGAGCAACATTGCGCATGAAAAAATATATAGAGAGAGAAAAACACTACAACTTTGCATAGGCACATAGCATTTTCCGCACTGTGACGGGGAGCAACACGAAATAATTGTAAAGACGATACATTCTCCTTCTGCGCACAGAGCTCAGGATCCAAATTGCGTATAAAGAATGCTTCCAACACAGCCAAATGCAAACCAGATCTACCACGTGCCAATATGAAGAAGAAAAACATCATCACTATACAACTCACGACAGCTCGCACTTCTTGACAAATGTCGTTTGACGGGTGAAAGACAGTTCTCTGCTGTTGCTGTTGTTACCTCCGATATCCCATCAGGCAGGCCCCACAACGCCTTGACGCTAGACTTCCCACCTCACCATCGCCAGTATCTGGATTTGTCCGCTTCAGTGGCCTTTCATGTTTCTTCACACCAGAAATTGTCATTGTCTTGTTTGATGTCCCTCCAATTGTGTCTCCTTCACCGTGGTTCAACGTTGGACTGTCTACGGCAACTGTTCCAGTCTCCGTTGTCCTGATCCATTTACGCGGTCTTCCATTTACGCGGTCTTCCACGTCTTCTTACGTTCGCTGTTGTTGTCTCTTACATTGTTGATTTATTTGAGTCCTCACGAGCGTGTCTTCTCACTCGGGTCCGTGTGACCCAACTAGAAACGGATAGATCCTTTGCCTTACATCCTTTGCCTTATCTCCGGTGGTTTCTATGAAGGTCTCTTCCGTGCACTGGTGTACATGGTGTGGTCATCGGGTTAGCACGCACAATACACATGCAACTCCAACAGCCTTGCAAACGTCCACCCAGTAGCATGTGTTTACGAGAGGGTATGTGGGCACGTGCACACACATCTACGTAGCAGTGTAAGAGAGTAACATAGTGCCTGTAGTCAACATACTACTAGCGCGTGCTGAGAGTGCTATAGCAAACTTCACCATTGCTCGTGGCCATGCATATGTCCAGCAGCAATCGAACCAAGCTCCTTCAAGATGTAAGTGACGGATGTCTGTTCGGACAACATCACGGCAACGCTTTCTGGGACCACATGCGGGGCGTGTAGGTAGCAATGACCCGAACAACAGCTGCCGAGGGGTGAGGTCTTCATCCATTCTGGCAATGTGGCCAAGCCATTCCATCCGCCGTCGAAGCAGGCTAGTTGGAATACAACCAAACGCCCCTTCAAAAATGGCACAAAAATAACTATTGGAGGTTGACGAGGAACCTAAATTGTATTATGATTACCAGTATCCTGTTTGGTTTCGTTCCAAATTGCCAGGACTTGGGTGTTTGCTATCCGGTCACTCCAGACTGCCTGGTCGGTAAATCCCAGAATTGACCGAATGCAGCGAAGGTGGGAGGTAGAGAGGGCGGTAATGTCCTGCGTGCATGGGTACCCAGCATTCGGAGCTGTACAGCAGAAGCGAAAGTACGCACACTTCATAAACATGTCGCTTTGTAGCAATAGACATTAGTTTCCATGAAGACGGAGCGACAGAGGACTCTGAAAGCCCGTGATGTCCCTGCAATGCGCGATTTGATGTCACTGGTACCCACACTGCATTTTTGTCATGTCTCAGCGACGTATTGAGTGAAACTTGACCTCCCTCCATATTCCCTGCCAGATAGTATAAAATAGGAAAATATCGATTGGTCAGCCCATTATTTGATATACTGTAGAACGGCTAAGTTTAGCAAGTAAAGTTTTAAGCTTTTTCTGAATCTGGACCAATTCACGACGGAACAGTTTAGCGATCTGAGTTTCGGAGTTAGGCCACACCAAGTTTTTTCATTGTTTCTCGTCACCGCGCGCGTACCTTTCTTGAGGATTGGACCAAAAAAAATCTCGCGTCTCGGTAAACACGCATAAAAAGGCGTTGTAAAAGTACGCGCGGCGTCAAATCTGGAGTGCAGTGCTAGTGCACGAACCGAAGGACGACTTTTGCACCGTGTATGTACGCATACCGGTAGTTCAAGTACCACACCACCACACGACCTGGTCGTCTTCTTTGCTACACACAGTTCCGGTACAAGTCAAGACAGTGCATGACAGTGCACCGTTTTGGACTGACAGTGTTCCGGCCAAGAAGGCCTTCAGTCCTGTCTGCTATGTGTGTGGCATCAACGCACCTGCTGCTACACCTGCTGATGTTGCCCGGCAGTATCAGTCCATTCACATGCCTTGCGCTGCCTGTGCCGCTCTGGGGAAGAAGCCCCGCACCCGTGGCCCCAGCTGTGCTGCAGCCACAGCACCATCCAGCAAGAAGAGGAAGCACCAGTGAACTGGACTTCTTTCTGCTTTGGGACTTGGTCTCCCTATTGTGTCATGCCATACTATGACAGATGCAGCTGTACATTGCTAGACTCGCCGCAGCATGTACTGCGCAGTTCATACGTTGTGACTGTTCGCTCCATTGTCATTGGAGCCTGCTGTATTCATTGTCTGGACTTGTCATGTCATGCCATGCCTTATCCCATAAGGTTTCTGTTTTAAATTTTAGCACAAGCGCGCACTTGGCTGTTCTTTTATGTACCCCTTGTATAATAACTTTGGTTTGCTTTCTTTCCTATTTAAATAACATGCAACACTGGACTTCCTCACCAGAGGCCGGTGCAGGAGCCTGGTTTTCTGGCTGTATGTTGCAATTGACTGTCACGCGTGGTGTATAGTCTGATTTTAGGTCATAAATTGGGCCTTTGTAGTGTAAATAGCAGTTTTTGTTTTTCAAACCCTATTTTGTTTTTTTTCCGCCCGCCCGCGTTCCTTTTGAGATTTTCAGGTGACGAGAAACAATGAAATAACTTGGTGTGGCCTTACACAAAAAGATGACTGCACTGCACTGTACTATGCAGAGTTTCGATTAGCGCGGCAAAGCTTAGCAAAACGCTCCTTTCGCTGAAATCGTTAAAAGATCACCGTCGCTAAAATTAGCCATTTAACAGTAGCAATAGTTGTTATAGAAGTAAGATGACATTGTATGCGAAAGTCAATAGAGTGATTTAGTTTGACAGAAAGTATCGTTATATGGGGTGTTAGTATACGGGTAGGTTGGCTTTATATTGTAAAGATCGTTAATGGCAAACAAGTGTCAGTGAAGCATGCAAAGATGAATCAGTGCAATCCCCTGCCAGTGCCGGCAGGAGGACTAGCCAGCTACAGCATTAACCACATAACCACCATTGGCCTCGTATCACCAGCCAAGAAACATACCAGACAGATATAGATAGCTCCAACGTAGAGAAAACAAGTAATGAATCGTAACTGCAAGCCCCAACACTATCTTCAGCTCGTACAATATAAGTCAAGTTGAACTGGTGCTTTGCTATGTGAAAATGTGGGTGGCTTTTTAATTTAGCTAGAGAATCTGAAGATGCCCACTGGGGAGGGAGGGAATTCTGAGGCATGTCAATTTTCTGCAAAACAGTGGTGAAACTCTTGTGCCTGGAAGCACTGTGTGAGCACTGTTGTTTGGTTATATCGAACTTTTTTTTTGTGTTGCAGAGAAGCGCCGTCACGTGCAGATCGAGTATGATCGGTTTGATGAAAAGCAGACTAGTGGTGGAGCGTGTTCAACGTTGCCGGCAGCTGCTTGTGGCAACAGTGCGCTGGCATCACTGTCAACCGCTCCACAGCCGGTAAGTCCGTGAAACTGGGAAGTAACTGCTTCTCGTCAGTTCTCCTGCTGCACTCTGTATTGCAACATTCTTTTCCCTGCTTTTTTGGTGCTAGATTGTGCGCACCTGTCCTTCCCTTTTCACTAACATGATCGAATCTGGCCTTTGTTCAAGCTGTCTCTATCCCGTGCGTGTCAAAGGAGCTCTGAGTAGAGAATCTTGTCGCTCTTCAGCTGATCTGTAAGGGCGGTTAGCGTGAAGATCCTCTGATGAGTGTTGATCCACGAGTTTTGTTGTTTGTCTGTTGTTTTGTGCCAAGACCTTGACTGCGGCGGACAGTGCAATTGGCAGTGGGAAGAATCCTATCAATGTCTATGAGGCTGGTGCTAAGGTACGTTTGCTGCACTGGCATGCTGCAGTATTGCACTGGCATGCTGCAGTATTGCACTGGCATGCTGCAGTATTGCATGCTTTCATGTGGTCAGCTGGTCCTGCTCTCCAGTGCACGTGTGCTATGATGTGAAGAAAACTCGCTCGGAAAAATTCATGAAAACAGCCCACCGATATTCTCAAGCACAAGATCACACAGCAGGGAACTAAGCACGTAGTACACATTGGGTCAGCAGCAGAATGCTCTGTGCCAGAAGCAATGCTACGTCTAGTCCTGTACACTTTGGGCAACACTTGTATACTGTAAGACCAGCAATGTTAACGAACATTTAATTCTAACGATTTAACGAATTCTAAAAAAAAACCGTTAACATTTGAAGTGGTTATGTACTAGACGATATGTACATGTACAGTCATTTGCCAGTTTTGAGACCGAATTTGCATTCGTGGTGGGTGTATTCTACTTTTGTGATATACGGCGTGTCCAACAGGGAATGGGTGGGCTGGGAGTTGTGAAACCTGATTGTGTACCATGCAAATGGGTGTTATCCTTGTGTGTCTGTTACAGATGAAGAAAATTCCATCCATTTCGGAGCGGTTTCTTTCACAAGGCGGCACGGAGAAAAAATCCCGGCCGACAATCAGGGTACATTTCCTGTTATTAAATGCTTCTGTCTCTCAGTGTGGACGGCAATCATGAACGCCAGACAATCATTTTCCCGTTTGCATCTTTCCCTCAAACCAATGAATACCAGACAATCAATTCACAATTTGTGTGCGTGCGTGTGTGTGTGTGTGTGTGTGTGTGTGTGTGTGTGTGTGTGTGTGTGTGTGTGTGTGTGTGTGTGTGTGTGTGTGTGTGTGCATGTGTGTGGGTGGGTGTGTATGTATGGGTGTAGTGCTTGCACGGCGATGTGAAAGTAACGAAAGATATGTCAGCGGTACTTTAGCTAGCAGCGCATCTTCTCAGGTGTCACTGGCCTCTTAATCTTGAACACTCCTTTTGTTTCGGTGGTTCTTCTCTCCACTTTGCTGTTCCTACTATCAGGTTGTTCCAAGTAGGCGCGTAACAACAGCTCAGTCGGATGAGGTGAGTGCCTGGGGAGCTGACTTGCTGGTCAATAGATGTGTACTTAGTCTTTGCAGGGAATGTAGAATTCTGCTGTTACTTTTTCACTCCACCGTATAGAGTTTTATCGTATTGCAGTATTAATGAGTTATGGTGTTGTACCAGCTAGTGTGGTACCAAGGTAGAGCACATGATGTGTGTGGGTGGGTGGATATGTGGGTGGGGGTGTGGGTGGTGGATATGTGGGTGTGGGTGTGGGTGGGGGTGGGGTGGGCGTTATCTTTGGAACGCTGCAACAAAGTGTTCCTGCATCAAACGGGCCCCAAAGTTGGGCCGTTTTGCTTTCAAGTTTTCCTCCTTTGTCTGGTAGGGCAGAAATGCAACGTTACATCAGATTCCGAAGAGAATGTAGCATTGCAGCTTCCTCTCACCACCAATATTTTTATTTATTTTAGTATGTACGTCCCCGTGAACTTTTGGTTTTTAATAATACGTACCACGTAATTACTTGTTTCACCTCCCTACTTTATCAATATTGGCTCAATACAGAAGCAGCCAGTTTAATTTATTCCCGTAGCTATGCAGAAGACGTTACTTCAGCTCACAGCTTTAATTCCCGTGGCTATGCAGAAGACGTTGCTTCAGTAACGTCTGGCGCTAGCCAGGGTCCACACAGCTTTAATTTGGTGTTTGTTTGTTTGTTTGTTTGTTTGTGTCACGCCTGGCGCTATCCCGTATCTGTCTAGTACCATACCATCAAACATAGCTGGCCACAAACAGCTGGCCACAGTATTTGCTGGTTCCCGTATCTGTCCCGTACCATCAAACACTGTACACAGCTGGCCACAAACAGCTAACCACAATACAGTCTGTATCGGCTATAGAGTGACCGGATATAAGAATATATCGGCTACAGTGATATTGGTACGAAATATCAAAAGCAAAACGTATTTCATCCAGTAAAAATATCACTATAACCAATATTATCGGATGTAATGATATATCGGATATTATGATGGCAACAAAGAATCAAAACATGCAGAACACACTATATTATTATCGGCTATAGTGATCACGAAGTAGTGGTTGCGACTTCGGCGATAATTTGTAAGAAAGGGTTTGCTCCCCACACCGGAGCTCGCGCTATTCCGCCGACTTTACTTGACACTTGACTGACTCACGACTGCCATCCAGAGCACACGAGAAGTCCATCGAACCTTCGACTCGGCAAACCTGCAAGAAAGCACCACTCCCTGCTCAATACACAGTGTTTCGGGGAATTCACCCCTCATCAGTTGAGCTTGAGTAGGCTGAGGAAGATTGTGCCTGAAGAGCACCACTTATATAGTGCTCTCCAGGCACAAACATCACCAGGGATACAAACTAACAGAGACGCTCCGTTTCCAGCGCGACAAACACCTCGCGAACACCAGATAGCAGCGTGAGTCAGTGTCGCTCCTGGACGGTGAGACAGACGTCGAGGACCCTCGGTCATTCGCAACGCTGTCACCTCCAAACCAACTAGTCGCAAGCCCGCGCTGGGCACAACAGTACGAAGTAGTGGTTGCGACCTCGGCGATGATTTGTAAGAAAAGGGTTTGCTCCCCACACCGGAGCTCGCGCTATTCCGCCGACTTTACTTGACACTTGACTGACTCACGATTGCCATCCAGAGCACACGAGAAGTCCATCGAACCTTCGACTCGGCAAACCTGCAAGAAAGCACCACTCCCTGCTCAATACACAGTGTTTCGGGGAATTCACCCCTCATCAGTTGAGCTTGAGTAGGCTGCAAACCCTTTCTTACAAATTATCGCCGAAGTCGCAACCACTACTTCGTACTGTTGTGCCCAGCGCGGGCTTGCGACTAGTTGGTTTGGAGGTGACAGCGTTGCGAATGACCGAGGGTCCTCGACGTCTGTCTCACCGTCCAGGAGCGACACTGACTCACGCTGCTATCTGGTGTTCGCGAGGTGTTTGTCGCGCTGGAAACGGAGCGTCTCTGTTAGTTTGTATCCCTGGTGATGTTTGTGCCTGGAGAGCACTATATAAGTGGTGCTCTTCAGGCACAATCTTCCTCAGCCTACTCAAGCTCAACTGATGAGGGGTGAATTCCCCGAAACACTGTGTATTGAGCAGGGAGTGGTGCTTTCTTGCAGGTTTGCCGAGTCGAAGGTTCGATGGACTTCTCGTGTGCTCTGGATGGCAGTCGTGAGTCAGTCAAGTGTCAAGTAAAGTCGGCGGAATAGCGCGAGCTCCGGTGTGGGGAGCAAACCCTTTCTTACAAATTATCGCCGAAGTCGCAACCACTACTTCGTACTGTTGTGCCCAGCGCGGGCTTGCGACTAGTTGGTTTGGAGGTGACAGCGTTGCGAATGACCGAGGGTCCTCGACGTCTGTCTCACCGTCCAGGAGCGACACTGACTCACGCTGCTATCTGGTGTTCGCGAGGTGTTTGTCGCGCTGGAAACGGAGCGTCTCTGTTAGTTTGTATCCCTGGTGATGTTTGTGCCTGGAGAGCACTATATAAGTGGTGCTCTTCAGGCACAATCTTCCTCAGCCTACTCAAGCTCAACTGATGAGGGGTGAATTCCCCGAAACACTGTGTATTGAGCAGGGAGTGGTGCTTTCTTGCAGGTTTGCCGAGTCGAAGGTTCGATGGACTTCTCGTGTGCTCTGGATGGCAGTCGTGAGTCAGTCAAGTGTCAAGTAAAGTCGGCGGAATAGCTCGAGCTCCGGTGTGGGGAGCAAACCCTTTCTTATAGTGATCACTTTAAAAAAATACATGAAGCAATAATATCAAAGGCCCTATTTTTTTACTTTCTTCACGTTGCTTATTTTTATAGTGATACATGTACATGTACATAACAGAATTTGTTTATGGAAATGCGGGCACTGTCAACTATGCAGCATACTCATTTGTCAAAACGCCATGTTGGAAGTATTTCCTTGCCTTTCATGTGTCGATCGAAAAAAAGAAAAGAAATCGATCGTATCGCATATAGTGATGCATCGGTTATAGTTATAAAATCACGGAAATCAAAAGGGTACGCTATAGCCGATACAGACTGTATTCGTCGTATGCACTCTTGGTCGTATTATGTGTACGACTCCCTGATGGATAGGGAGACTTTCTGGAAAGAAATAGGGAAACGAGGAGGAAATGCAATTAGAATGGACGTTAGTTGCCGAATAGGTGATAGGATGCGTCAGCAAAAACATACTTTGGAAGAGAGATCCTGTCGTCTCCAAAATAAGCGTGAACGGGCGAGTCAGCGCCGGTCACAGGAAACGTCGGAAGAGAGATCCCGTCGACTCCAGAACGCCCGTGATCGGCAGAGTCAGTGCCGGTCCCAGGAAATATTTCCATCAGTTCTAACAACATGCACGTTGAGCTAAGCAACAAAGCATAGCGTAGGGCCCTGAGCTTCCAAGCTCTCTCGTTTGGTATTTGTTTGTTTGTTTGTTTGTTTGTGTCACGCCTGGCGCTATCCCGTATCTGTCCCGTACCGTACCGTACCATCAAAGACAGCTGGCCACAAACAGCTGGCCACAATATTCAAATAGGGCTTTCAAATGCAAGATCATAACGTGAAGCAACTTGGAAGAATGAGTATGAATGCGAAGTGTATTGGGGAATGCATGTAGGGCGATAGCGCGGGTTCAAATCCCAGGTTATGCCTAAAAAAATAGGAGAATTGAAAAAATTATTACATCCCTATGCTTTTTTTGCCTAGGTCATCAAGGTGGTAGACGGTGTCGTATTACCCTCGACCGTACCTGTCCCGTACCGTACCATCAAAGACGGCTGGCCACAAACAGCTGGCCACGATATTCAAATAGGGCTTTCAAATGCAAGATCATAACGTGAAGCAACTTGGAAGAATTAGTATGTATGCGAAGTGTATCGGGGGATGCATGCCTGATGCAGGGCGATAGTGCGGGTTCGAATCCCAGGTTATGTCTTAAAAAATTTATAACATCCCTATGCTTTTTTTGCCTAGGTCATCAAGGCAAAAAAGCATAGCATAGGGCCCTGAGCTTCCAAGCTCTCTCGTTCAGTGCAGCTGAGAGTATCGGCAGTATAGTAGAGTAATGATGCAATGCTCTTTGCTGCTGCTGCCCAGATTCCATCCACATCCAGCGCAACAACAGCGTCTGTTTTGAGCACATCCTCGGCAAATGATACAGAACGCCATGGCCCGCCAGCAGCAGCAGCACCGTCGGCAGCAGCAGCAGCAGCAGCCAGACCGGACAGCTCCTCGGAGCCTGATGGTGCTGCCAGAAAGCAGAAGCTTGCACATTCCTACCTTGGCCGGGTAAGTTTTTTCCATGGGAATGAAAATTGGTACAGAGCACATAATTATGAATGGCGGCTAATTTTATATGAAGTGTCAATCTCTTTATTGCTAGCGTGAATGTTGTCGCGCAAATGTTGTCCCTTGGTGGTCATACTACCAGAGCTTTCTCGGCAAGTATGCTGATCTAAGCTTTATGGCCAGGTCATGATCAAGCCGTGTCCAGCATACTGAGTCTCTCTCACTCTCTCTCATCCCGTTGATCTGTCTGTCTTGCATGTCCACTGTCTCCTCCTGTACAGGTGCGTGAAGCTCTAAAGCACGACGCCAAGGCGTACCCAGCTCTCTTGTCTAGCCTCCAGCGTTATAAAAAGGCAAGTACATGAGCAGTAATGTTTTACTGGCATCTAAACCGATAGTCCAATGTATAGTCTTTTAGAATCGGTCTCCTGATGATTACATAGAGCAAGAAACTTGGAGTGGAGACAAATTCCACTGAACCTGGTGTGTGTGTGTGGGGGGGGGGGGGGGGGAGCGAGTCTGGAGTGCTGACCTGTTAGCACTCTCATTGAGCACTTTGACCTGCCGTCACACAAGGATCATCCTGCAAACAGGTAGTTTACATAGATCAGGAATCCACTGGTGTGAAATTTCAGTGCTTTTTACGGGTAGTGGGCTACTAACAGCTGTGGTCTTGAGTGTCACTGCCATACTTATTCCTTTGAGTGTCACTGCCATACTTATTCCTTTGAGTGTCACTGCCATACTTATTCCTTTGAGTGTCACTGCCATACTTATTCCTTTGAGTGTCACTGCCATACTTATTCCTTTGAGTGTCACTGCCATACTTATTCCTTTGAGTGTCACTGCCATACTTATTCCTTTGAGTGTCACTGCCATACTTATTCCGGCAGTGTTCAATACTGTAGTTTGTATATTGGCATCTTAGTCAGGTTAGTGGATCTACTCTCGCTTGGCATTTTTTAGGGCATGTTCGATTGGTAGGATCGGGATCCAGAGCAAACGGATCCACTGGATTCGCACCCTTTCGATTGGTCGAACATGCTGTGTTGCAGTGAGCTCTCAGAATACTTTTTGGTTTTCTTCTTTTTTTGTGAATAGCCTTCCTTTCGATGATTTCTTGATTGCTGCTTTGCTTTACTCTATGCTTGCACGTACTTGCAGGAGAAGGACTTGGATGCGCTGTGGAAAGTCATTTCCGCTACATTCTCTTCACCCAGCCAGTATGATTTGCTGACAGGTACTGAACTCCACCGTACAGGTTTCATTTCTTGGAAAATAAGTACTTGGTTCGCCCAGTTACAATTGGTGCTTATCTTCACACTTGTCTCAGGAAGGAAATACATATGATTGAAGCATGCCGCGATCACAAAACACTATGTACCTGCATGTAAGTCCTAACGCCTTGCACCAGTCTTTTCGGCTAGTTTCCTGAAGTCCTTTGCATGAGCGTTTCCCTCAGGACTTGGTGTTTATTTTGATTAGCTCCTTTTGCCCGGTCCTCTGTGAACTTCGAAGTGTATCCGCCGGATTGGTCTCACGTTCTGGAGATGTCGACATGAGCTGCAGTTTCTTCGTCAGCGATTTGCTGGTGATAACTCTTCACTAGGCGCTGTACTGTGCGAGCACTGAAATTCAATCTTGCGAAGCGCTTTTTCAGCTTTTCTATACCTCCCCGCAGTAAACCATCCTTGCCACCAGACAGCTGGAAGTAAGCAGAAACTGTATTCTCCTTCACTCTGAAATCCGAACATCCCGACCTATTTTACGGACTGGAGCGGAGGTTGCAGCGTTTTCTTCCGCTGACGGAAGTGTCCGTCGGTGGCAGCTCCAGCCAAAAAAGACTCAAACAAACCGATCGCAACTTCTGTGATGGTTTGTGCTGCCATGTCGTCGCAGACAATGGTTATGTTCGGATGGTGAATCGGTGGTTTCATGCCATATAACACAGGCAGAACACCGAAAAATCAAGTGCGAAGATAAGCGCCAATTTTAACAATTTTAACAATTTTAACAATTTTAACTTGGCGGACCAAGTACTATACAGTCTATTTTCTTTTCACTACTAATTTTTCTCTCTAATTGTTTGTGGTGAATTTATCCTCGAATGTATGACGAATTCTGCTTTTGGTTTGTGCCCCCCCCCCCAGAGTTCACCACGTTCTTGCGGGCCGAACACACAGACGAGTACAAGCAGCGCTGTGAAGACTTTCACAACGGCAGCCGGCGCAGCGTGGTGGCATCGGGAAGAGCTGGTGCTGGGGCAGGCCTCTCTTCTAGCAGCAAGTCCAGCACAACGCACAGCACTAGCGAGGTAACTGGTTGGTCATGACCTACTATAACAGTATGCTGTGTTGCTGTGTTGCCATGGGTTTAGCATGCTTGTACTTGATTGGGCAGTATTATGTTGTACTTCAACTTTGGCGTCAAGTTCCCCTCACTCGCTCTTAGAAATGCTACGCTCTTAGAAATGCTACAGAAGTCGCCACCCCTAATTGTCATCAAGCAAGCGGGGACGCACACACACACACACACACACACACACACACACACACACACACACACACACACACACACACACACATACGCGCACACACACACATACGCACGCACGCACACACACACACATACACACACACACACACACCTTGACCTTGACCTTTGACGCCCATCGCCGGAGGCGATGATAGCAATGCTACGGCAGAAGCCATAGCAACTTGTGCTGGGATTACACCATTCAACAGCTTGCAAGGCTGAAGAATTGACCGTCACTATTCAGCCTGGTCTACACCATACAGCTATTTGGAGTGACATTTTCTGGCCAGTGAATCCCTACACACACACACACACACACACACACACACACACACACACACACACACACACACACACACATACACACACACACACACACACACACACACACACACACACACACACAGATGAAACTCGATACATCAAGAGACAGACAGAAAGGAACATCCTGCTTCTGCAGTTTGTAGTGTCATGAGCAATGTCAGCTCAGTGTGTACACACAGACAGTTGCCGATGCCGATGAACGCAAGAGAGAGAGAGCCACACTTCGACCATCCCATTCTGCGAATAGCCATGCTCAGCAAGGTCAGCATCCTTCTCCAATTCTGTCACTCCCTGGTCAGGATCCTGATCACTAAGTTCAACGTGTTCTATTGCATGCCCCTCACAGAGATCATAAACTCTTATACATGTACTCGTACTGTACAATTAGTTAATGTGGGTCACACGTATTGCCCGTTTTACGGTGTGTACTGCCCGTGTGATTTGTAGAAGAACTGTAAAGGTGGTGATCCAGCGAGCAAGTCGAGTAGTGCTGCTACAGCCACTGCTGCTGCTTCTCATGGCTCTGTGATCACAGCTGCTGGTCCAGGCTCTGCTACACTCACGTACGAACTAGACAGCAACGGAGGTGAGTCTTTTTTTTTGCATTTTCAAACTAGTGTCTGAGGCGAATATGCCTGTTCATCACCACTTACTACTTCAAAAAGAAGTAGTTTTTGATGACATTTGGGTGGTTTTAGGTATGCACCACCTTGTACCGGTACATTTGGGTGGTTTTAGGTATGCACCACCTTGTACCGGTACATTTGGGTGGTTTTAGGTATGCACCACCTTGTACCGGTACATTTGGGTGGTTTTAGGTATGCACCACCTTGTACCGGTACATTTGGGTGGTTTTAGGTATGCACCACCTTGTACCGGTACATTTGGGTGGTTTTAGGTATGCACCACCTTGTACCGGTACATTTGGGTGGTTTTAGGTATGCACCACCTTGTACCGGTACATTTGGGTGGTTTTAGGTATGCACCACCTTGTACCGGTATCAACCTCCTCCACAGGCAGTAGGCAACTGAAATCCGACCCCATGATTTTCGCGCTCGAGTGCAGCACCGATTCTAGCAGTCTCTGTTTCATAGTGTTCCAATCCCGTGCTGGGTCTTTGCTGCGATGCGAGCGCACCGCTCAGGGGGAGGGGGGATTTCAGTTGCCAGCACTGTTAGCACACGGTCCAGCATTGGTAATGCAAGGGTTGTGTAGTCCCCGGTACTGTTAATTATGCATAGCAGCAAACTTCAATGGCCAGCATTGTAACAGGATAAGGACTGTTGAGTCGGAATGTTTGCAGTTAGTTCTTCAATCCATGCAATGTGTCGGGAGGGCTGACTATCACTGCAGTTCACCACACTGTCCTGCCTTTTTTGCATTGTTTGTTTTATTTCCTCCACAACTAGCTCAAGTCGGTGTTATTCAACTTCCTGATAATGAGTTGTTCCGCAAGCTCCCGAAACAATCACATCTCCCATCAGGTATGCTGTAGACCGTGTGGACTACTTATGGAGGTTTCGGAGAATGAATTTTGGGTTCAATTTTGCGTGCATTTTTTGCTACGAGCGCAAATTCCACTGAGAAATTGTCTTCTCCAAAATGCGAACTCTGTCACTTAGTTTGGCTTTCATCAGAGTGCGAGCTCTATAATGTGCAGGTCAGGAGTCGTAAAATACCGGTATTTTACGACTCCCTGGTGCAAGTTCTCTTGTAAAAAAGTATGCATAGTGTCCCCGTGATGGCCCAATGATGATGATTTTGATACGGGATGTATTTGTGTGGGCGTTGCTGGTGTAATGGTTAGCATAGTTGCCTTCCAAGCAGTTGATCCGGGTTCGATTCCCGGGCGACGCACATTGCCTTTTTTCTCTTCTTCTGATTCCTTCTGTGCCTTTTTTTCTCAAAAGAAAACCTGACTTTCATGCAGGCAAGAAAAAAAGCAATGCCGCCTGCTGACAAAGAGACGAACGGTGGATGGTTTCGCATGCCCATCTTTGAGCTTCCATTCACCCTCTCTGCTCCCGCAACGTGTTCAAGATCCTGTGAGAGAACTGGAGTTCCCTTTTCTTTCACTGTATTTACACTCGGCCAAAGAGAAAGGAGCCATTTCCTCAATTGCGCCCGTAGAGGTTGTCTTTCCGCCCTTGATGTTATGACACGTCTATAGTCTATACACTTTGGGCGAGTTTTCGCTATTCTAGTTTTCCTGGCTCTGTGTGTTTGTTTGTTTTTGTATCCAGGGCGGGTTTGTGTCAAGTGTAAAAAGAAACCGAATTTGTTCGAGGCGCCGTGTACACACGTATGCTGCATAGCATGCTGGAAGGCCCAGTTTAAGGTAAAGGTTGTGTTTCTCTACCGTTAGCAATCTGCGTGTAATGTTAGAATGTCACGGCCAGTGCGTGTAATGTTAGAATGCCACGGCCAGTGAATCCGAGGATCACCAATAGAGGTTGTGTGATTCAGGCCTGGTTTAAATCCCTGGTTTAAATCTGGCTTTGGAAATTTTATTTTTCATTGCTATCAGGTCCGGCCTCATTTTCTCTGTGCTGCGCTGACCATTCCACAAAGGCCGAAACAGTTCTGTGCACAGATTGAGGTTGTGTGGCTACATGTGAATTATCACTTGAAATAGTTTGTATAGCGGCAAAGCCGCAGCAGTGTAGCGATGAGCTGGTACTAGTTCCCCACTCGATAGCAGTTACTTTGCGCATACGCGAATCTGCTCACTCGCGCTATGTACTTAGCACCATGAGCGAATCCGCTGATTCACTTCCATCACGTCATCGCAAAAGCTCTGCAAGTATAGCCTCACAGGAGTATTGTTACTATCAGTACATTTTGGGAGCAAACCATTCAGAAGTATTGCTGTAACGTACGCTCGTTTCTTCTGCACTTCCTGCAGAGGATCGGAGACAAGCGATGGTTTAGGTAGAGGAGTTGTATCACCGAATCTGTACAGCGCGTGCTTAAACAGTTGTACGATGCATTGGTTTTGTGGTGTTCCGTTATCAGGTGGAGCGCAAATGTCCCGAGTGCGATCAGCCAGTGCGCTCCAAGAACCTGAAAAAAGTCTACTTCCTGTGAGTCACTTCCAGCATGCCGCGTTCCGTATAAATACCACTGCCTCGGCATCTACCAGTATTGACGTACATACTTGGTATGCACATATTTTCTACTTCCATTCAGAATGATTCTGTGCCTTTGAACATGAAAAAAAAACACCTACATGTAATTATTTTACCCCCCCCCCCCCCCCCCCCATTTTACAAAGCATGCTGAGACGGGATAACTCCATTAGTGTTTCATGATTCACTACCTACATTTCTTGAAAATTGCTTTTGAGTATTTTTGGTTTATTCTCTCACCTGCGAGATGCTCCTCGCACTGTGAATCAGTATCAGTATCGGTGTTACAAAGATCATCAGTAGGTAGTGTGCGAAGCCGGTTTGGGAGTAGGCGCGAGGTCGGTAAAGATCAACAATCACGAAATCATGTGACATTTGAACCCCGCGGCGTCACACCTGCTCAACGGACCCCACCTGCAATGCTACCTATACCCTACTGGTCTTCAACAGGCAGTCTGACATGTTCAGTGTGGAATATTTGATAAGCTACTCTGTTCCTCCTGCACCCCCCCCCCCCCTTTTACTCCTAGATCTAGGTCCTTATCTTACTTTTTAGTTTGGTCTTTTTGTGCAAACATTCCTACTATTTCCTAGCCAAACACTTGCCTTACAGTATTCGAAATGCAGGAGTTAAGCAAGTGTGCATGCTGCTGGTACATGCAGTTTGCAAATATTCCTAGCCAAACATTCACCTTGCAGTTGAGTACTTCAAGTAAGTTATTAGCAGTTCAAGGGTTTTATAGATGACCGTGGACCCTGCTATATCGTAGTTAATAGTGGGCTCATCAAGGAGTAATTATGGCTGGACGTGACGTTGTGCGTGCGTACGTGTGTGTGTGTGTGTGTTTGTGTGCGTGCTTGTGTGAGTGTGTGTATGTGTGTGTATGTGTGCGTGCGTGTGACTCTGAGCCATTCTTGCATAATTAACGTTATCCTGATGGAGGGTTTAAAAAGGAGATAGGAAATAACCCACACGCAGCTCTGGTTTGAAAGGCAGTTACAGGGTGGATGTCAACGTGATCTCTGGTATCATACTGCATGCTTGTACATCATTGTCCCAGTGTAGACTGTAGTCCAATGCTGGACACTGTTCTGAAAGGCTTTGATAAATCCTGTTGGACCAGTTCTAATGTTGAATGACGGTACATGTACGAGTGCAGTGTGCACTGTACTAGGTGTGTGTGTGTGGTGGGGGGGGGGGGGGGGGTGTAGGTGTGGGTGTGCATGATACCAAGACGATAGATAGCCGTGCAACTGTTCACAGGCAGACTGGCTACGGCGTGATAGACTGCCTATGGCACATCATACTTCCATAGAGTGTGTGAGTTAATAGAGCTCTGGGGTTAAATAGGAATAGCACCACCGTCGTTTGTCAGTGGACTTTGTTAGATAATATCCACTCTTGACATTTTGAAATTGATCACAGCCTCCGCTAGGCAGTCACTCAGGTGTGGGACAATGGATCCGCAGATAGAGGAACGATGGCTGCTGCCTTTGAGGCAGTATCAGTAGCCAGGTTGCCAGGGTAGCAGACGCATAACGGGAAAATAAATAGTGTTTCAGAATTGATTACACTTGCGTATAGTCCTACGCACAGTTCTGCAGTTTTTCGTGCAGACGCGGTAGCAGCAGTAGATTATCTGGCAGTCGCACACCGTTTCCTCGACCGTTTCCGCATGACTGCCGCCACCGCAGCACAGGTTGTAACAAGAGCCGGATCCCACCTCGGTGCTGAATGTGCGCTCGCAGCGGCGGCCCCGCGTGCCGGGGATTCCCCGCGACGCGTCGGCCGTGCAGTAGTTCGGCGAGGAGCGCAGGTACGCCAGCTGGCCTGGCCGGGGGCTGCGGATCTTCTGGCGAAACGTCAGCGTTTTAGACTGGCGCCGCTTCGTGGGCAGGAAGTGCATTTTGGTCTTGATTGCATTTCCGTAGCGGTGATATAGCTCTGCGGAGATTTCCTCTATTGACGGTTCTTGCCACCAGCATGTGTGGAGGGTGGAGGAACCAGACACGCCGTAACTTTTGCACTTCTTCTTCACTCTGCTGTTGAATACCTACATGTATGAGCAAGGAGGAATAACAGCATATGCTATGTGAGTTGAGAACAGGCTTGCTATGACCAATGAGTTGATACTGATGAAAAGACTTCCATTTACTGTATCCTAAAATCTCTCTCGTCATTAGTAGACAGCTGTTGCTGTGATTGACAGCACAATGCTGAAAGGCTGGTCCGTGATCAGGGCCGGTTGAAATGTTGCCCTGTCCTGCCCTACCCTGCCCTGCCCTGCCCAACATGATTGTACATACCCATCGGCTTGGCCACACTCCCACGGAGTCTTTACTGGACTATCATTACTGTTGCATGTGCTGCAGGAATAGGACTTTGAAATGATCCTTGCCTTAACTTTTGTTGCAACAGTTCAATTTTGAGTTTGGGTCTCAGTCGTGACATTTCCACGGGTTTGTCCGCTCACACGGGTTTCTCGCAATCTAATCGTAACTACGAATCCTAAAATTGTACGTCACATCGTGTGTATTGGTCGGCTCACCTCACGACCCACTTTGTAGTTGTAGAGTGCGAATACGCCGTTCTTCTTCGATGTGTCCACCTGGCGGTCCATGAAGTCCTGGCTGAACTTGCGGGCATGTGCGATGTTGTCGTTGCACTTGCCGTTGAGCCAGCGCTGCACCCTGGCGTCGTCCTGCATTGCCGCAACAGTGGAGTTGTCGCGCTCCCCGTCGGCCTCCGCTTTCCGGTCCTCGTGCACGGCCAAGCAGCTGCATGGTACGGCCGCTGTCCCACGGTGGCAGGCGTGTGATATTCCCGACGCCAGCGCTGCCGCCATCAGTGCATTCAGGTATGCCGACTCTCTGGTTGCTGCAACGTAGGGGGAAAGCAAGGCAAGGGCCAGCACAACTCAGCCACTGGCACACAGTTTTCTGGTTACTTTTCACTAAAAACTCAGGACTGTAGTAATTCGCTAATGTTTGATGAACTGACAGAGAAAATCATGCCAATTCTGGATTGGCGCCTATAGTAGCTCAGGACGGGCAGGCTCAGTGCACATAGAAAAGTGGGTATTGAAATGGTCTTGGGCCATGTTGTTCTTATGTTGTGACATGGACATTCCCTGCACGACTGTCCTGAACTTACAGGCTGTAGTGTAGCCCTGGCATGCAGATGAGGGTGTGCAGTACAATGGTCAATGGAGACACTACCAACAACAGGAGTATAGTAACCTAGGGTTACTCAATCTCCAGGCAGTAGTGCATGCTGCAGCCAGTGCTTTGCCAGTTTGGGTTCTGGACTAGTACGAGGTGAATTGCTATTTCTGGACATTGTACATTTCTGGACATTTCGAGTAAAATAATTTTTCGTCGCGTGTAGAGTCAGGTTGATGAAGTTTTTTCTTGCCGTAGTTGACAGCTGGGTTGTTGTAGTTTCTCCTCGTGTCGGTGCCTTGTTGATAGCCTTCGCTTGTGAGGCATTTCAATGAGTTTTGTGGTACTATGTCGCATGAGAATTTTGAATTTTGTGTAAAATAAGAAGTAATGGACGAATCGTTGGCTTCCCCATGTGCACTCCACTTCAGACGCTGTATAGTCTTGGACCTGTTGGCTGGAAGTGTGAAGAGGCCAACTGCAGTCCACCAATAGAAAAAAATAACGAAAATGGTGCAGTATAGGATGCCTTTTGACGCTATTTTACTTTCATGTCCAGAATTCCATACACTGAAATTTAGGCCAAAAAATTGGCCTGTCGAAAACGTCCTGCTATAAAGTCTCTGGGATCACAGCATGTGCAATTGTAACATATTTGGAAAGGTGAAGGATTAGGCCATACAATAGATACAAAAAGACATGAAAAATGTAAAACACACAGCCAGCGGGGTTCTATTTTATTTTCATGTCCAGAAATTGCTATTCACCTCGTACAGTAGTAATGGAGTAAGTACTACTCTTGTCCATTGAAGTCTGGATACAGTAGCAGCAGCTGTACACAGTACCAGTGCATGACGAAACTCAAGTACAAACTGTCAGTGCACAGGTGTATGTGTATCAGTGCTAAGTTAGTACTGGAGCATGTTGTTGTATATTGTAGTGTGGTCACTTGGCATGCTGGGGTGGCTGGACTGCAACTACCCTCTACAGTTGGAAGAGGTACATCTCAGTACCTGCTACTCTGATTATGAGGACTCTCTTGAGCTAGTCACAGTTCCATGGACCATGGCCTGGGTGGTGGGAGAGAGTCAATGAGGCCATGCTTCCATGACACCTAGGCTAGGTTGACATGAAAATCACAGTAACTGGGGGATACTAGTAGTAGTAGTAGTAGTCAGTCAGGATAACTGAACCACGAGCATTGCCACCAAGGTACCTGCTCAGTGCCTAGTGCATGCATTGCACCCTGCACAAGACTCATGTCATGCAACTTACATTCCAAGCCTATGCATGCTGTTTACTCTGGTGTGTGTCCACTACCCCTTCTGGCCTTGCATTGCCAGGGAATGCCAGAGTTTGGCCCCTCTACAACTCTAGATCACTTCTGCACGTTCATTGCACATGCGGGACTACATTTCCCCTCAACCAAAACTGCACGACCCAGCCCAGCACGTAATGATCGTTGGTATGTGGAGCTAGGCCTGAGAAAATTCCGTCAATCATGTTGAGTTAATGAGCGCATAACGGCTGTTGTTGTTCAGCACACCTGCAGATTAGTGCTAGGAACATGTCGTCCAGAGGAATGCAGCTAGCAGCTAGTCAGTGAATGGCACCACAATGGCAGCAGGACATTGACGTCCCTGGAGCCACAGTAGAGGCAGTCAGACTCACGGATTGTGGGATTTGGCTCCATTTTGCCTCGGGCTCAAAGCTGGTTTCCCCATCATGAGCCTTTGCAGCAGTACTAGTACTGTCTCTTGCCTTGAAAGCATGCATACACTAGAGCTGCTACATGCATGTATACATGGCACTACATGCTTACGTTGCGAATACCTGCTGACTTCCAACTAGCTAATCTTGACAGGAGGATGTAGATCTGCCTCACACCCTCTAACTAAGTTTAAAAACACTTTCCCCCAGCTGGCCACCATTGACACCTCCGGCAACCATCCATCATGCACCTCTCTATGGGTATTGGTGAAGTGATGGACAGTCCACTGAGCAAACTACATGTGCAGTGACTTCTTCAACAATCATTGCTGTCCAAAATGCAATTATTGAGTTTGCCGGCAAAAGCTTCGCACGCTTACAGGCTCTCTCTCTCTCTCTCTCTCTCTCTCTCTCTCTCTGTCTCTCTCTCTCTCTGTCTCTCTCTCTCTCTCTCTCTCTCTCTCTCTCTCTCTCTCTGTCTCTCTCTCTCTGTCTCTCTGTCTCTCTGTCTCTCTCTCTCTCTCTCTCTCTCTCTCTCTCTCTCTCTCTCTCTCTCTCTCTCTCTCTCTCTCTCTCTCTCTCTCTCTCTCTCTCTCTCTCTCAGAAGCAATGCTGTTCTGTGATCATTACTCCAAAGCTAACTGTTCAACCGCAGTATTCACAATTGCTGAAATTTCTAACTACCCAACACACTATTCCCCATGACTGTGACAGAGGATGGATTGCTGAATGCGTACTCTTCCAACACCTGCATTTTTCAGCACAGAACTTTAAGAGGCCTGGTTCCCAAATCAAACTGGATGGGCCACTAATCGAGTTGTAAGTTATGGCAGATGATTTGTGCATGCAGCACTGTGCATGTACACGTTTTGACCTCTCATGAAGTCATTATGAGATCGCCTAAATGTTATCGTTATGCCATCATGAACGTATCCAGCATGCATGCAACAAAGTACCTTCCCTCACTGTCACACTTTAGCTGTCAGGGCCTTGATTGGACAGCCAAACTGTTCCTGACTATCCAAGTATCCTGTCCCCTCTGGCAGGATTACTGCTATTACTGATCATGAGCAGGAGATTCGCATCCTGTTCCCCAAGCACCAGGTTCTTTGTGTGTTGTCCCTGAAGTAGCCTAATATCAAGTGTACGCTATCAGTACGTGACAGCCACTGATCAAGATAGTTATCCACGGTATCTTAGGTATCTTACGCTCGGGCATAATCGTGTCAAAACTCTTCGTCATAAGTTAGAACACACGGGTGTTGTACGCATAATCTGTTGATGGGAGGGGGGGGGGGAGGGGGGGGGGCAGAGAAAGAGAGAGACTTAAGCATTTCCAATAATAGTTTGCACTAATATCTTTAGTGTATGCCTGCATGGGTACTACTCACCCTTTCTCGACAGAAAAGGAAGGGTGGTGTTTGGGCAGTTCCACCTGTGCTTGGCAAAGGCGACACGGCACTGCCACACAGCTTGGTATGCAGATTTCTCAATCTCCTCAACTGTCCTCTCAGATAGTGGGCAGATCAGCTGGGATGCAATGTCATCTGGCAGTGAGGAGGAATTCCACTCGCTACACTGCTCTCTTAGTGTTCGGACGCTCTGTGAACTACCATACATCCTACAGGACGGAGAGGAGAACACACACATACATGCACACAGTGACACACACACATGCACACACACACACACACACACACACACACACACACACACACACACACACACACACGCACACATACACACACACACACACGCACACACATACACACACGCACACACACACACACACACACACACACACACACACATACACACACACACACACACACACACATACACACACACACACATACACACACACACGCACACACACACACGCACACAGTGAGAGAGGGGGAGAGAGAAAAGAATAACCCAGAGGGAGACTTGAAAAGGAGGTGCGAACTCAATGGGCACCAGGCATTATACTTTCAAGGACAGGAAACTTGGGTACGGAGTACACATACTAAGCCACTTCTCAGTATAGTACGCATATTAGAAGCCAGCAGGGTCAGACTATTTTCATGCCTGCCACTGTGTCAAGTCCCATCAAATGCCACCATGCGGGTCCTAGTTTGGCCTGGGGCAGCGCTTTCACGTTGGGATTTCTATTTCACCGGCAGGGACTGAATGACTGAATGTGGGCGTGGAACTAAATTTCACATCCCATGACCATGTTTGGGGCAGGCCGCTCACACGGGCCATGACTGAATGCCGGACTACAGCAGCAATGATGCAGTTTTATTGGTGAGAATCTACAATGGATGACATTGCCACACACCAGTGGCTGTGCACCATATTTATCTCCTGTTATTTGTTTCATCACTGTTCAGGGGACAAGATGCTATCTCTTCTCCATGCCCTCTATGGGCCCTATGGCAGCTCACTATCTGTGCAGCCAGGTTTGTTTTCTTCAATGGGCTTATGCAGTCCAACTCCATGCAGCCAGGGTTGCATTTACACCATTGATATTGTAGCTTAGCCCAGTGGCCCGGCAGTAAGAGGCACCAACTAATCACTGAAGAGCCTGTACAAGTGCTACAAACATCATGCTACAAAGGAGAAGACACTTTCCATCGGCATTGACAGTTTTGAGAAAACCTTGACACCTGTGCCCGTGGAGATGTTGTTGGGGCACCGGTTAAGACAGCATGCATGCCCATGAGCCATGCGCATGGTCTTGCGCCTTGCCCAAGGTCTCAACAAAGTAAGTACCAGTTTCCCGTCGCTGTTTGTACGGCAGGCCACTATGTTACTATGTACAGGTCAGTGAAACGGCTGTGCTGACTGATGGTACGGTGTGTACATGTGTAGTGTCGTTGAGAGTCTTGATGCAATTATGCTGCATGTGTGGTGGTGATCAATTTTGCAGCCAGAGAAGTAGTAGTTCTGATTCACTGTCACTGAGACTATGAGTGGCACAATAGCCTGAGTGGAGTGATCAACCTCATTAGTTTGTACTCATCTACACTATGCAGCAGTAGTGCATAGCACAATAGGATAAGTGGATAAGTGCTCTCCATCTCTAGCAAGGACTTCTCAGAACTGTACTGTACTGTACTAGCTGGTCACAATGTCCTCTACTAGTACATAATAATATGACAGCAGGCAACTTTTTCTACCACTTGTAGAGGCCAGTCAACCCACTAAGTAGCCTGCCTCAGTTCTAGCCTGCAATCATGTAGCGTACTGCTAGTTCTACCAAGGCCACGTGGCTGGTGACGGGATTGCTACATGGCGCACTCAGGCGCACTCAGCACAAACTAGTTTGTGAAACTCAATATGATTAGTTTAACCACTACTTTAGTTGCTTGCCACTACACATATTACTGTGGCACTGGTTGCCTGCACAAGGTGAGTCTGACAGTAGTAGCCAAAATCATCATTACAGTGTTCAGAATATATCCCAGAGTGCTGGCTGCTGCAGCTAATCATCGCTACCACAGCATATCAGCAGGACTGATGTGCACAGCTTACTACAATCTGGTGACAGTGGTCACTGTGGTCCTGCCTTCACTGAAGCCATGGTAACGTTAGCTAGAATGTTGAGGCTGGAAATCTTACTTGTTTTAGTTTTAAACTCCTTTCTCCATTGCAGCCATCTACTCATCACCTAGTCTAAACACCAGCTACTCATCACCTAGTCTGAACACGGTACCAACTCACATACTTGAAGTAACATGGTCTCTTTGCTGCTGAGCCCTTTCTCAAAATGCAATCAGCCAAATTTTCAAGGCAGGGCCCACCAAATCCTCAGGGTGAAACTGATGTACACTGATGTAAATGAGTGTTGCTCCAGTGATATCTACATAATTGACTCTTCATGGAGCACACCGTAGGAGCAGCCCCACAGTGTACAGTCATGTACTACTTACTACCTGCAAGTAATGACTGCTTGTCTAATAATTGAAGTTGCCAAGCTACAGGCATGCTAAAGTACCCTGCATGCCTGAACCATTGTGATCATGATTAACAATAATTATTATTATATTTACATTCCCTAAGGATGCAATTATCCTGGCACATTTAGTCCTAGTAATAATATGCACATGAGAACACCTCAGACAAACAACAATGTGGAGTACAGATGTAGGTATTGTTGTGTGCTGCAGCTGCTATTTTGCCTTTCACCATTCCAAGGATACTGCCACGCTGGGACATACATGTACATTGTGCATGTACAATCGTCCAGGCTACATGCTAAGTATAGACTGCTAATCCCCCCCCGGCCTGCTGAGCACCGCAGACGGTATGTCTTTACCAAAATCTACATTGTACTGGCATAGTATCATTCTATCTATCAGGTGCACCACTGCCAGTGCAACTGTCACTCGGACGTGCCCATGGCATGGAAAGACTCTCTATGGCCATGGAAGCAATAGAAGAGACCCTTCAACAGACAACCAAGCAGCTCACCTGGTCGTCCCCAGACCCCACACCACCGCTGCTGGGGTATTTTTTTATTTTGACTGGTCGGTTCCCAAATCAGTTATATTACTTATATAACATTCTAAACTCGCTCGCGAGAATCTTTTTTTTCCTAAGGTTCTTACCACCATTGGCCAGGGGGTGCAGCTGTGACGGTAGCGACAAACAACAGTTGTAGTTGAAGAAGGGCAGCAAGAGCGACGGACGACGCCAGGAGCAGAAAGCGGACTTCCGACACGGGGTACCAGCTGCGCATAGTAGAGTGAGACATTCAAGAAGATCCGATGTCTGATAAACTGCTACTTGCGGGGGAACCTCGCAGCTATTGCGGACCCCTACCAAGCAGCGCACACCACCCACCCACAGTGACACAGACACGCGACTGAGACGCTTGTCGCCGAATTTCACCTTGTTTATCTTCTCTCCCGCGGTGATGAGAATGCGAGAGTAGGCCTTCGGACGGGGTCGCGGTACTGCCGGTAGACCGCCCTGCACACTGTCTGATACCACTCACGCTCGTTGCACAACCACCACGTGTCTACATGCAAATCTCATTGGAGTATAGTAGTTGGAAGATCTTGTACGCAAATACTGAAATAAACCGATCCAGCCTGCCCCCTTCAAGATTTTCCCGGACAGCTGGAATAGATGCGCAGGCAGTCAGGTGGACAAGCGGGTGGAGGGTTTCGGAAGTGGTCCTTTCTGCGTTGTCCTTCCAGTGATGTGTTGTCCCAAACTTGACCGCAGATGCTTCGAACCACTTTGTCTCCCTCTCGGAGTGGCCTTCAATGAAAAATCGAAATCATTGGTGCTCGTGTCGCGCTGCTCCCGCACTGCCTAGCGCCTGCATGCAGTTGGTTGATCGTGCACAGCACGTGGTGTGGTGAAAGCGGCTGACGCAGTACAGCCGTATAAAAGTCTTCACAACGCAATGAAACGATCTTCCCAGCAAGATCGTATGCATCAAACATGCAGTTGGGTGCTAGAAAGAAGAGTAAGTATTAGTTTGTAGAGTTTGAACTTTGAACGTCATCTAACAGTAAACACAAGTATGCATCCTTTCTTCCGAAAGACAAGCAGAGAAAGTAAGACTAAGACCCGCTGGGCGTTCTGACATCGTTCAGAAACGACAGGAAATCGCAGAGGTAATCATATGCGGACAGCTAGCTAAGTGACGCGTGCGGAACTTGCTCCATCAGCATTTGACGTTGTTGTGAACGAGGTCATACTCGACCCTGCTGCGTTTTTTATCCCTTCCCGCGCGCGAAACCCTGTCGAATCAGAGCTAGCTAGCAGCCACCGAGGAAAGTGCATGGTTTGTAAGTGATACTCTACACCCAGCGCCTACGAACGTGATTATTACAGTTCGAGGGAGTCGTGCAGCTGGCGTGTACTTTGACCTTCGGTGCAGGGTCGGTGCAAATCTAGGCAGAGCAGCGCGACCTTCACGTTGGATTCCACCCCCTACAAGGCTACATAGAAACAGGCGTTGCTGCACCGTCCCGATCCGACAGCGCGCGGTGCGATTACTCACTGACGAGGTCTAAATCTGTGCACCCTGTGTCTATAAAAATGGTGCGCGTGTCGCCGCGTGTGAGAGACAAACAACTCGCCGAAGCATACGTCTGAACACCTCCTTAGTCGAGAGAAAGAGAAAGGTATTTCTGTGTCTGTAAATTTCATGTAGAAATGCTATGGTGTGTACTTCAAAACAATGGCGCGTTCGCTTCAGTTGGAACATTGTTCTGTCATGGTCGGTTCTCTACTCAGCTCTAGACTGGGTCACACTGGGCCACACAGTCAGGCCAGACCTGTTAATAGTGTTATAGGGAATGCGACCATTATGTAAGATGTTTGCCCGTCGCAGCCAATGGCCGACATGAACGACGCATGAAGCGGACAAAGAACCTTGGCAAGTGGTCGCGCCGACAGCAAAACCGCCAGAGGCTCGACTCGGCTCGCGCGGACGAAGTACAACAAGGTGTCCACGCGCCTTTTTTGGTGTGCCACTCGACTTTTCGTGTCTGATCGACTGATGGCAGTGGATAGAGTAGCATTGACATTAATTTGATGTCCCTCTCTGGCTGCAGAGCAAACGTGTAAAGTGCTCTCAGCCTCCAGTGCGATCAACCGTTTCAGTTCCTTCACGTGTCCAAAATAGCGCCAGAAAGCAGTGGCATCGCGGCGAACCCTGCACGTAGAAAGCAGCCGTTCATGTTTCGCCGAGGCTTTACTTGATTCAAATAGAGGGTATGCCATCCCGTTTGTTTATTCTTAGCTGAGATGGCAGTCATCGCCAGATTGCCTCCATGGGAATTTTATTATACCCCACCCATGCAATGCTGCTGAACTGTCAGTCGCTGTTCACCCTGGAGTATTCCTTCGTTTCGTCCACCGCCAAAGGAAAGTATTCGGCGTGACCGTTGCATGTTCGGCAACAAAGGTTTTCAGCGACGAAAATGAACACTAAAGGTATTGGGAACAGCGATTTCAGGTATAAGTACAGTCATAGTCATGTAGCCCTTTAAATCTACTTGATAAACTCTGTTGCTCGGCGATGAATTTGTAAAGGGTCCTATCGTCAAAAGGGGTGAATTTCCAGCTTGTTGATTGCACATCTAAATGGATGTAATGGCGACTGATCGCTCAGGCGCTGGGATCTGACTTTCTCTTGTGGAGGCTAGCCGCAGGACCTCCGATCATGAGAACCGACATTCATCGACTTGCAGTGGGTACCGGGTCTAGATGCACGTTCCTACAGCCGGCCTCGGTCTGCACTGCAAGTGGAAGTCGCAGACGATCCACATCACAGGGCGTAATGAGTATGACTGTCCTACAAAGTAGTAGTCATGCTTCCATTGAACGTGTTGTAATGGCGAATCATTGGCGTTGCACATTGGTGTTCACGAATAACAAACACAAAACAGATCGAATGCGGAAGCGACCCGAAAGCACTCGGATACGCTCTGTGCTGTCACTTGTGCACCAAGTCAATCAACTGTCTGTCCTCCCAGTTTGACTTCTTTGTCTCCAGTTTGCGTGAAATACAATGTAGCCACATAGAGCCAGCATTGCACCATATACCAGCACATCATGTGACTATTGTATTGCAAGGACACACTGTACATGACTGTACTAGTAGTAGTACCGGCATACATACACATTCCTTTCACCACTGTACATCATCTACATGAGAAGCATAACTGGACCACTCTACCGGGAGATAGAGCTGATAAGGAACGAAGTTGCAACTAACTATTCATCCTTTTCCTTCCTCTTCTTCTTGCAACGTTTTGCCCATGATGATCGTCTTCTTCCAATGCAGTTTTGAAACATTTGTATTTCGTAATTCGTTCGTAATCAGTTCTGTCTGACCACGAAGTGGTCCAGCCACTCTCCTCTTGTTTTTATGCGTTTGGGTGCCTGAAACCTCTTATACACGAGTACCGGTACATGTATGACAGGATTAAATGCCGGCTTGCTATCGTTATGTCACCAAATTGTCACCAAATACTTACTTCTGCCTTCCTAGCCACCAGCAGCAGTGTATCTGAAAATGGCCATCAGAGACGAGTGAACTGTTTCAGTCGCCCTCCGTGTACAGAGTCAGTTCACGGTAGATCTACATGCAGTGAATGCACCGGTTGGCGACGTCTTTAGTACTACACCGTCACGCCTCTACCCTGGCTAGCAAGAGTAAATACACTCCCGGGAACTTATCCCAGTACTCTTGTTGCTAGCATACAGTCAGTGAACGAGTCATGACTCGTGGTCTTGGTACATGATGTAGCTCCTCGAACCTCTAGTTTTGATTGTCACATCAGTCGGACTGTCCCAATTCCAAAGGAGTTTTCCCTGAGCTAGCTTCAAAGTTACAGGTGACTCAGTGAGCCTCCCTTCCACTCCCAAACTCTCTCTCTCTCTCTCCCTCTCTCTCTCTATCTATCTATCTATATATCTCTATCTATCTATCTATCTATCTCCTCTCTCTCTCTCTCTCTCTCTCTCTCTCTCTCTCTCTCTCACACACACACACACCTCAGACCTCAGACATGCCCATCGCGGAAGCGATGATAGCGAACAGCTATGTTAGACATAGCAACTTGTGCTGGGATTACACCATTCAACAGCTTGCAAGGCTGATGAATTGACCGCCACTATTTTTAGCCTGGTATCCACCACACAGCTGCACACACACACACACACACACACACACACACACACACACACACACACACACACACACACACACACACACACACACCTGGTCCTGGTAAACACTGCCATTACGGTCACGTGTCCCCTTACGGGGCCGACAATAATTATATAGAACGACGAGCGGGACCATGTTCGAGAGAGCCATCTCCAGCAGCTATGGATCTGGCTTATCATCGGAAACGATTCCTCTCACGGCTGCCGCTAGAACTGGTCCATCACTCTCCACAACAGAGCGAACATTCCATGAGCCAACGCTCAGAGTCGTTCCAAGTTGTCGTCTTCGTGCGGTAGTTTGCTCCACTCGCGGGCTTGCAAAGCCTCGCGAAGGACTCCGATGTGGGGGCGACGAGGAGAGTGTCGGCATCGTAACTATCCGACCGTCTCCTGTCGGTGAATACCCCACCTCAGGCACTGTTGGCCTGGACGGCTGGGGACACCCCAGGCCGTCCACAACGGCGAGAACAAGCACGGACGGAGGCCAGAAACAAGAGCCCGGAAAAGTACAACCGTCCTCCACCAGAGCAGAGAACACACACATTGTCAAGATGTTCAACTATTTGAAAGATTTTCTTATCGTCGGAAACGACACACACACACACACATACACACACACACACCACACACACACACACACACACACACACACACACACACACACACACACAACACACACACACACACACACACACACACACACACACACACACACACACACACATACACACACACACCACACACACACACACACACGCACACACACACACACACCACACACACCACACACACACACACACACACACACATACACACCACACATACACACACACACACACACCATACACACACACACACACTCTCTCTCTCTCTCTCTTTCTTTCTTTCCTTCTTTTTCTTTCTTTCTGTCTTTGGTGCTTTCTTTGTTTCTCTCTCTCTCTCTCTCTCTCTCTCTCTCTCTCTCTCTCTCTCTCTCTCTCTCTCTCTCTCTCTCTCTCTCTCTCTCTCTCTCTCTCTCTCTCTCTCTCTCTCTCTCTCTCTCTCTCTCTCTCTCTCTCTCTCTCTCTCTCTCTCTCTCTCTCTCTCTCTCTCTCTCTCTCTCTCTCTCTCTCTCTCTCTCTCTCTCTCTCTCTCTCTCTCTCTCTCTCTCTCTCCTCTCTCTCTCTCTCTCTCTCTCTCTCTCTCTCTCTCTCTCTCTCTCTCTCTCTCTCTCTCTCTCTCTCTCTCTCTCTCTCTCTCTCTCTCTCTCTCTCTCTCTCTCTCTCTCTCTCTCTCTCTCTCTCTCTCTCTCTCTCTCTCTCTCTCTCTCTCTCTCTCTCTCTCTCTCTCTCTCTCTCTCTCTCTCTCTCTCTTCTCTCTCTCTCTCTCTCTCTCTCTCTCTCTCTCTCTCTCTCTCTCTCTCTCTCTCTCTCTCTCTCTCTCTCTCTCTCTCTCTCTCTCTCTCTCTCTCTCTCTCTCTCTCTCTCTCTCTCTCTCTCTCTCTCTCTCTCTCTCTCTCTCTCTCTCTTCTCTCTCTCTCCTCTCCAGACCGAGAAGCTAGTTGCTATTTCAACCAGCCGGGGTCCCAGGCCCATGCAAGTGTGCATCCCTCTACTAGTCTACAGACCAATGACATTATTTTGCTTATTGTCATCAAATAGAATGTTAGCCTCACGACGAACAGAATGTGTGTTAAAATGGATCTCCACCGAGTCTTCGACGCCATCACACTCGGACCTATACCTTACAGTACATGTACTAACAATTCATTCTTATCGGCATGGCCGCTATGCACTGAGTATAAGCAGTCCCAGATAGGCATGGGCGGGTAATGCTAGTTATTTGCTGAGATAATGCTAAAGGCAATGCTAAAGGCAATGCTTATAATATGAGGATATAACGCCACTTATAATGCTCACACTACTCCATAATGCCAGTTGGAAAGTTGGAAAAGTCGATTTAAAGAAGGCCGTTTTGGATCAAGGCCAAAGCGTAGAAGAAGAAAAAACTTAAACAGCAGTGAGCATGTTGTCTGAAACAATCCACTGAGAAGGTTGATTTGCAACGTCAAGTCTCCGGACGAAGCCGGACGGGTTCAGATGCACGATTTTCGGAACTGGACCTAGCCAGCTTCATGCATGACACCGTTATCGACCGGCAATTATGCTTGTAATGCCAATTATTTTGCATGCGAAATGGTGTTATAATGCCAGCATTATGCCACCTGGAAAAAAGGGACTATTGCCAGCCATAGTGCTAGCATTACCCGCCCATGCCTAGTCCCAGGTCCCCAGTGACAACTCCTCCTCAAAGTGAGTTATTGGCCCGGGCTGAGCATGAGATACATGTATACAGTACTTCAGTACAATTCTTCTTCTTCTTCTTCTTACTACAAGTCATAATAAATATGAAAATGACTGTGAGAGTACAGTGTACCATGGTGTACATGTAGTAGAAACTTAGATCAGTTTCTCCAGTTGCAAGAACTGGATAGCTTCTGATGGTTGTGTGAGAATTGCCTCCCTGACTGACGTGAAGCACACAGACGTGTAGCTGCTCGACTGCCGTGTCTGGCAGCCTATGGCAGGGCAAGCTAGCAGGAGGTGGGCAGCATCATCAACCGTGTTCCAGGACAGTGAGTGCAATCGGGTGAAGGTGCAGCCTCAATCTGGAACAAGTACTTGTTCAGCAGGCTGCAGTGGCCAGTGAGGAGCTGATTGAGGATGGTGGTCTCATGCCGGGACGGAGTGCTGCGGAACTTGCTGGTGTTGAGCAATGGCCGGGGGTATGCGGTTGCAGACCGAATTGAAGCCTTGGCAGCTTGGATAGGTAGCTGAACCTGGGCCTGTACATACTGTGTTCCATTCCGGGCAAGGCGATCCGCCTTGTGATTGAGAGCAACACCGCAGTGGCTGCTGATCCAGACAAGGAGGTTGATGGAATGAGCCTTCCTAGCAACTTCTGTCAGAGCATCGAACGCAGGGATGGTGTCTGGGCTGATCCTGTATGGGTGGGTTTCCACGGAGGGCATCTACGAGGGAGAGGCTGTCAGTGACCAGCACAACGTCCGTTTCCATGGTGGTAAGATCGTAGACTGCCCTGGCTCAGGCCAGCTGCTGCTGCTACTTCGGCAGTGAAGGATGTTGCGACCGCACCAGCTTCAGTACATTCAGACATTGTAACGTTACACCAAGATTAGAGTCTATGGACTGGGTTACCTGGTTACATGTACATGTATCTATTATCAAGAGTACATGCTTATGTACTCTTGCTATTATTAATAATAATTATAGAGTTACTGTGTAGTGTGTACTTTTGGTTATAATCAAGAGTGCATAAACTGTTTATGGACTCTTGGTTATATCCATTTCGACCATTCTGCTCAAGACTATTGTAGCATTGCTCACGTGGCCTGCTCCTGGCCTGCCGATTCAGTGCCGAAAGCCGTTGCCCGAAACGCCTGTTTTATTCATCTGCATGACTATGACTGTATAGTCAATGCAGATCCAAACCCGTATTCCATTATCGAGTACCAGTGAAGTGTTTTTACTGACTAATTCAGGTTATAGCTTTCTTCTGCTCCCATTCGAGTCACCTCTACACCTACGGCTCTGTGCTAGTGTAGGGTGCGTGCGCGAAGTAACTCCGCTAAAGTAAAATGTTTCTGCCGGCTAACCACATCACTAAAAACTGCATCAGCCATGCCCAACAATTGAACATGATCCTAGAACGACGACGTCCCTCTCAGAGCTCGGAAACCATGGAAACAGATAGAGAAGAGCTACACAGACAGTTCATAACCACGTCAGTCTGTCAGTCTGTCAGACGTCAGACGATCGATCGGCGATTTGGCCAGTTTTCGCTGAACTTTTCAGCGTCAAACCCAGAGTAGTAGTGAGTGTCTCGGACTCTCGTCTCTCGACTTGAGTCGAGTCTCGGCGTCGAGTGCACTCGCCACGAGTCGCCAGTCGCCACTAGCACTCGTCAGTCGTCACACTCGATCGATGACGATGACTAATATTGACTATGCACGTGACCATGGTGACTCGTCGTCAATAGTCGTCATCGACGAGTAGGGTTGTCCACATTTTTCGAAATATTTTTGCCAAGTTGCGGATGCAAAATGCAGTCTTGTTGGGGCATTATGCATTCCATAAATTCAGCAGGATGTTCAGGAAAATAAGAAGAAATTAAAAAAAATCTAAAAATTAAAAAAAATCAACCCAATTCGCCAAAATTATGCGACCGTTGTCATGGTAACCAACAAAAAAATGGCCGCCTCTGTGTGTGTACATGGTTACCGTGACTCACGTGAGAGTCGACTAGTCTATCGCTGGAAAATTCCATTTTCCTCGTGCTGCATCCATAGTGCCTTTACTTTAGTGGCTTTTTTAGTTTTTTACCTTTTCACAGCTATTGAGTATTGTAGCGGTTGTAGTATCCCTGCCTAGCGCCTTGCTAGTACTCGTAGCTGACTACTACATCTACATCTACTGACCTCTGTCATGTCACATGTACGCGTACACGCACTGCATGACTCTTGTCACTCCTTTGCTGACAAGCCTGTATATCACTTCTCACCACTTGTGTTTCCCTTGCGCTTGCTGGATTGCATACTACCGGTACATATTCTTTGCTAGTTTAGATCATCACACCTGTATGCACTTGCCTTTGGGTCTTAGTACATTCAGTACTGTGGTATTGGTTTATAAAGCATGTAACACTGATAGTGTGTTCAAGGACACATAACATTGTTGTCATTGTCCTGAAGTAACTAACTTGTACAGTGCGTATCGGTTATAGTGTGGTCGTATACAAGAATATACTGCTTACAAGAATGAACACTCATTTTTTCATAATCATAACACATATTTTATGTGTATGTTTATTCTTACAAGCAGTATTATCGCATAGTAGAATATATCGGCCCTAAGAATGGATTTTGTGTAGCAAAATATGCCAGATTAGTGCAAAGTGTATCGCCTGTAGTAATAACATCTGTGCTCTGTGCATACTCAATACAATAATATTCAACACAAAAAGAGAGTTATGTCCAAGGGAGCATTGGAGAATCACTTTTTCTGTTCAGTCGGACTCTTTCTTCCGACTTCTCTCGTATCCGCTGCTCCGCAGTCGCCTAGCACGACCGCGAGTCTGATTGATCCGTGTGTACGTGTATCATGTGTACGTGTCTACATGCCAAACGTGCGCGCATACATGTATGATGTCACACGTGCATATGATATGTCACACGTGATTTATCGTGTGTAAGAAATATCGGCAATAAGAATCAAATGTCGTTTTTCAAACACCCACGCTATAACCGATACCTACTGTAGTTCCACTATAAAATCAGTGAATCTTCGTCGCCTGAACTTACTTGGTAGTTTTGAGGTCTGGCTGTTTGACACACCCTCATGTTTTCCACTGGGGTCGTGAGGAGTGAATTCCTGCTTTGGCCTTTTGGGCATGGAAAAGGGCAAAATATACCCCAAGTTGCAATTTTTCCCCGGGGATGCATTTTTACCCCCAAGTTGCAAAAAAGATGCAAAACATAATTGTGGACAAGCCTATCGACGAGTCTGTCATTATGATTACGTCATGGCGGAAAACAGCAATCCATGTATGACGTATGCCCAACTGTTGATTTTTTTGTGTTTTGTTGATGTATTTTTCGCATTTTTGTGTGTGTAGCAATGTTCAGCTTCATTTTCAAAGTCTGCAATTCAATTGTATTCAAGAATGTCCGATCAAGCCAAGAAGGAGGGCGATAAGCCGTCTGGAGTACGGAATGTGCTGGCAGGAGCATCCTCCAACACGGGCAGACTATCCTCGTTTCGTACAGAGAGGGATATGACACTTGGTGGTGTTCAGCGAAAAACATTTGCTCCGAAAATTCCTGCTAAGAAGACGAAAGAGGAGATCATTGCCACCCAGCGTGCTCAACCAGTTGCTGAGCCCTCTAATAACCCATCTTCTGATCGTGGCCAAAGAGGAAGAAGAGGTAGAAATGATCGTGGGCGAGGGAGAGGGAGAGGGGGCGATAGAGGTCGTGGTAGAGGAAGAGGAATTGTGGAATCGAATTCTATCTTCAGTGCTGGTCCCGGTGAACGGACTAATCGCCAGGGCAACTGGCAGCGGTCAATGGGCGGCGGAAGTGTGAAGCGTGAGCCTGGCGTGAGTGGAGGAGCTGGTAATTTTGGTGGCGGTCAGCGCAGTGTCAAATTAGAAGGCGGATTCTCCAATGCAGACGATGATGGTGACTACAATGCGCTGTTCGGCGATGAAGAAGAGGAGGCAGCATGCGAGGAAGACTACTTAGCTCCAGTACAACTGCCTCTCACACAGCTGAGCATCAGTGAGCCAGAGGTGGCGCCCGCTGTTCTGTTTGGTCGCCCTGCCGATGATGATCAGGAAGATCTAATCTTCATGCAGTTACCCGACTCCTTCCCGGCGTCACTTGTTAAAAACAATGGGGAGGATACAGAACCGATGGACACTGTGGAAAAAGAAAAAGAGAAGGAAAAAGAGGCAGATATTAGTCTGGACAACCTGCCAGAGGGTTACATCGGCAAGCTTCAGGTGAGAAAGTCAGGTCGCGTACAGATTGTACTCGGCGGAGTGGCTCTCGATGTAACCGCAGGCTCACGGCGGCCATGCTTGCAGCAAGCAGTATCGATGCGGGCCGCCCCTGAAGTATTCGACACCACTGAAGCACCGGCAGGCTTATTCTTTCTGGGAAATGTCAAACACCACTTGGTCTGCACTCCAAACTTTGAGACAATGATATCGAACAACTGATGCTATCTTCCACAACAGTGCTATGTTTTTTAATGATTTTTTTATACTGCGTACTTCATTGTAGTCTTTGTCTTTGTCATTGTCAAGGTAGTCTTCATTTTAGTGATGATGTAAGGTCTAGAAGACGTCATATCATTGAACTGCTGGTAGGGAATTTATATCAAGCCGACGAAACTCGGCCAGCTTTACACTCAAGACGAGTCCCGAAAGCTGATTTATCTCATGTTGGCTGGTGCACATGTCAGTTCAGTCGTGGCCGAAGAAAACGGACCTACGAGCCAAAAGCAGCGTCGCGTTTCTATTTCAATTAAGTCACGCACAGCCCAAAGCCCATCCGGGAGCAGCTTGAGCCTAGGCGCTGCTTTCGTTTCACAGGTCGGATTTCTCTGCGCACAACTTCAGGGATCTGGAGGCACAGTGATCCCGGCCACCGCCACATGTCCAGTTCCAACTGATCATGATTGTCACTACATGTAGTAGTGCACCAGTGCTCATGATGGCATAGAATTTCAGACATCTACTTGTATGCCAATCAATGCGCAGCCACTACCCTGCCATTGGTATGCGTATGTAGGAGTATCATGCTCAAAGTACAACCCCGTGTGATCCAGGATTGTGAACTGCAGGTGGTTCACAAACCCAGTGAGTATGCGAACCACTTACAGTTCACAGTCATGGTTACCTGTAGCCGGTGATAGGGAGATATCCCCAATGCTACTACTACTACACCACTCTACTGCACCGATGAAAACTCAAAATCATACAATGTTGATAGTACATGCACATGGTGGTCGGTGAACTGATGGTGTCCTTGTGAAAATACACAATCTGAATCACGTACATTTTGTGACTGGTAATGCCCCCTCCCCCCCCCCCCCCCCCAAAAGGGCTATTGTGCACTCTCTTCACTACAGGACCGGGACACAAAGTAAACGTGCCATGACTCAAGTAAACGCGAGGTTGGACCGTCCGTGCATGCTTCGCAATAGGACAAACGTGCACATGTGGTGGGTGCAGACACGAAGACAAAGTTCTTCAAAGATCAAAGCACAGAACAGAACAGTTCTAAAAGTGCACAGAAGACACTTAATCGATACAGTAAAAAGAGTAAAAAAATGAATGATGATGCAGCCACGGACGGGTACATGGGTAGCCTAGAAAGAGTATGACAGCAGACAGCTACAGCTAAAGTCAGCCTCACAGCATTATGTGTATTATGTACAGAAACAATGCAAAAAACCTCAAGACCTAGCACAGGCGATTCCCAGTATGTTTGCAAGCAAAAAAAGCATGATACTAAAATCTGAGCGCTATGGAGAGAGATGAAAGCGGTTTCATGATGTACTTGCAACAAATATAGATTCAAATTTCAGGAGTATAAAATGGTACACGGCATGCGATGTCCCAAATGACCCTCTCTTTCTTATGTGTGAAAATAGTGTCGGTAAACCGTGCGAGTGCACAGGATTCATGTCATAGAGTGGCATATACAAGTGGCACACTCTAGATCTCCTGCAAAACTCGAATAAATCCGTGGTAGCCACTTTCCAAATCAAAGAGCATTTGTCGAACTTGTTCATCAGTCAACTCATCACTAGCGCTCATGGCTCCTAGCCGATCTAGCCTGGTAGCATAGGACAAGAAAAGAAACACATACCAGTAAAATAATTCACCTTTAGTAATTACACAGGATTCATCCTGCTATCAGAGGAGCAAACGTGCACTGATTGCTAAATACTCCACACAAACCCATTGAATTCCCTAGAAGTCAGAAATCCAGTTCTCCACACCGAACAGAGCAGAGTAATTGAAGAATGTCTCGATGCTACTGCAGACACAAGCTGCAAACCCGGTTGACCAAAGCTCAGGTCTTGGGTCTCACCCACAACTCACCATGTCTTGACCTTCACTTTCCCATCGTAATCTGGTGGTAAAGTGCTGAGCCTTGTCAATGCATCATACAGCTCATTAGTATCCGGATGAATCTAACACAGCGCAGGAAGGAGAAGAAATATTCAAAAACAGTTCACAAAACTACACGTTAGGCGCAGTGCACCAACGCCTCATTTTATATCAAATTTGATCAAATTTTACGAAATAATTTTAAAATGCACAGTGGCAAAGAACTGACTTTGACTAAATTCAACCTTGGAAAGTCAAACAATTGAAAAGTTAGCTGCTCCCGACGTCGAAGCTCATCCTTTCCGTGGCGAATGACTTGGCAAGGTCCAAAATGCTCGTTCCATACATCATGGGCGACAGTGACTTGCGTTACTGTCTGGAGTTTGCGGAGTGTTTGTCATGCTGGAAACGGAGTGTCTCTGCAAGTCTGTATCAATAGTGATGCTGGGCATGGAGAGCACTATAATATAGTATAAATGTGGTGCTCTCCAAGCACAAACTTCCTCTGCTTACTCAAGCACAACAGATGAGGGACGAAGCATCGCTGGCCTATAGCGAAGGTTTGAGTCATGGTGGTGACCAGGGAGCACTAAAAACGGTTTTTAGTACTCCCTGGTGGTGACAGTCAATTTTTCTTCAGATTTTTCCCTTTTCAACACCCTCAACTGATTTAAGTGAGCCCTGATAATTCATAATCTCGGGGACTGGACAAAAACCATGACTATTAACTGATCTTAACCCAACTGTACGCATGCAACCGGTGCACAAGTAAGTTCCGAATGTTGCACGGCTCAAGGCGTGTGCTATTACGCAGCATTCAAAATGCCGTGCATTCGCTTCGTACATGCACAGCTAGACTGAAAACGGAAGAGTTTATACACCAGGGAGTAGTATTGCCGGTATACTACTTGACAGATTTGCTTGTAAGACACACATGCACACCAGCACTTGTACAACTACCAGGAGCGCCAAGGGCCGTATCAGTACCAAATATGCAGGTCAGGTCAGATTTGTCCCTGAGCATAACTGTAGTGTAATAATTATCACAAAGTCAAATCAGGCATGGCTTGACAAACTTGACAAGTTGCAAAGACACCTATTGTGAGTGCGGCCCTACCTCATCCATTGCACGTATCTCCAGCCGCAGCTTGTCCATGATAGTGATAAATAACTGCATAGTGCACAGCAATAGAAACGAAGCCATGTCACATGCTATGACAGCTGAATGATTGTCCAATTCCACAACGCTGCAATGCGCAGATCGTACTATGACGTCATACTGGCAATCATATTCCTCATCCACACCTTCAGCCTTAAACTTGCATGAAAACACTCCATCAAATAGGGCCCCAACGACTGTTTTCTTCCACAAGGTCCGTTTTCACGGCAAAAGGAAGTCTAGTTGATCTGGTTTCTAAATACAGGAAATCACGTAGCAGTGACTGGCCATGCCTTACCGAAGTAATGTCAGCAATGGTTTTGCTCTGGTTTCCCTTGTCGTCGCGAATAGTCAGAGGACGTCCATCTTGAATACGCTCCATAGCCGCTGGGCAGTCAAGCTGCTCAACCAGTAAGCAAACCAACATGTCGGCACATGAACATGGCTTTGGCACATTCCTCACCACGAGCAGCAGGGAAATATAATCTTTCTACAATACAGGGAATTAAATTTGCCAGCTGCACGTACACAAACACATACTTACAATAACTAGTAACTACAGACACTGAGGTCAGAAACAGATCCTGGCAGTAACAAACAATAGCCGCTTCTGATCCAACACCAGTTGTAGAGCCGCCATACAATCCGACTACATAAAATTACTCCGGGAAGGTACGTTCAGGCCTGGTTTAAATCTGGCTTTGGAAAATTTATTTTTCATTGCTATCGGGTTCGGCCGCATTTCCTCTGTGCTGCGCTGATGAGTGCACAAAGGACGAAACAGTTCTGTCCGCAGATTGAGTAAAATTACAGTCATGTACTGTAGTTCAAAACACTTGGCGGTGCATTCGCTGTGTATCTGCCATTAGGACACGAGAATTCATTGAGGGTCAGCAACACTCTTAGTCTAAGTGTTACTTGGTAGGACTAAAGACACCAGCACCAGCACCAGAATACGCTATACTAGTAGTCTGTAGTAGTAGACAAAAAAGATAGCAGGACATTCGGAGGATAGTGATTCACATTCCTAGAACTTAGCGGGAGCGATGTTTTTATAAATGTTTTAATAGCCTACAATACCTTGGGCTTCACTTTCCGGAGTCTCTACTGCACACCACTCAACAAACCAACACCACCATCTTACCCTGTATTTGGCCACAAAAGCAGCTACATTTGGGAAGTCTTGCGATTGAACCTGCTTGAAGGCAGCCTACAGCCACACAAGATAATCAACCCAAACATAGACAAACATAATTATAGGATCAACATACATGCACCACAGTCACCACACCCATCAGTATTGTGCTGCTAGGCTGACCGTACACCACCATCACCTCTCCAACAAGCAACAAGAAGATATTTCTTCAGCATAACCAATTCCTTCGTACGCCTGTTTCAATCGCTCAGACCTCATCAGTGAAGGTAGATATTGTTGAATGGCCAACATTTGGGCACCTGGATAAAGGTGAATCAATGTGGCACTGCAGTCTACTCCAAACACAACACATAGAAACAGGCATCCCCACCACCTGCATGGCTGACCGATGCGCACAACTCACCTTGAACTGAACAAGTAGTTTAGAGCACGCAGCAGTATACCTGTAGCCAAGCAAATAGCCACAATAGAGATTGTAACAGCCATCATAAAGATGAAGTCTTCACTACATGGAAGTGCAACAAACTAACAAACTGACTGACTCACTGGCTGACACACACACACACACAGTGGCACACACACACAGACACACACACACACACACAGTGACACACACACACACACACACACACACACACACACACACACACACATACACACAGTGGCACACACACACACACACACACACACACACACACACACACATACACACAGTGGCACACACAGTGGCACACACAGTGGCACACACACACACACACACACACACACACACACACACACACACACACACACACACACACACACACACACACACACAAACACACAAACACATACACACACACACACACACACACACACATACACATACATATACACACACACACAGACTCAGACATGCCCATCGCAGAAGCGATGATAGCGAACAGCCTTGTTAGACATAGCAACTTGTGCTGGGATTACACCATTCATTAGCTTGCAAGGCTGATGAATTGACCGCCACTAATTTTAGCCTGGTATCCACCACACAGCTGATTGAAGTGGCTTTTTCTGGCCAGTGAATCCCTATTTTTCCATTTTCCATTTCTTTCCATTTTTTCACACACACACACACACAAGCACGTACACACACACACATTGTTCAGTACAAGGCCGGGGTGGTTACTGATAACTCACTCTTTCGGTGCTACAGCATCCTTGATGTAAGCCTTTTCCAGACACTGGATAGTCTGGATAAGTGCAAACAAGTCCGCCATGTTGTCATACCTGTTGGAAGGGAAGAGCAAACAAGACGACGACAGCGACAACAAATACATAATGAATGGATAGTTGGATAGGACTGGCCGGAAGGAAGAAAACAAACAATGCAGTGAAAATCTATCTTATTCAGATACCTCAGGACGGGCTGCATTGCAGAATTGCCTGTGATTTAGAAATACGGTACTGCAAATCGTAGTGAATACTAGTACAGTAGGTATCGGTAATAGCGTGGGTGTTTGAAAACGACTTTCTATTCTTATTTCCGATATTTCTTACACACGATAAATCAAGTGTGGCATATCATATGCATGTGCGCAGGGGCAGGAAGATCATCGTACATGCAACGCAGCACTTCTGTGCATGTGGCTGGTCATAGTCCCATAGCCTTACCATGTGGCTATGCAACATGAGTTACATGACCACAACAGTTGAATCTGCAGCACTGCGACGCAACGAGAGTCAGATCAGAACGGAATTGGACATATGTTATTACTACAGGCGATACACTTTGTACTAATCTGGCATGTTTCGCTACACAAAGTCCATTCTTAGGACCGATATATTCTACTATGGGATAAAATTGCTTGTAAGAATAAATGTGCACTTGAAATCCATGTTATGATTATGAAAGCATGAGAGTTCATTCTTGTAGGCAGTATATTCTTTTACACGACCACGCTATAACCGATACGCACTGTATAACATACCGACCGTGTACAAGCGCCCAGACTCCCAGTGCATGCCATGCATGTGATGATGAGGGCCAAACCAAGCGGAGCTGCACACGCTGGTCTGTACTCTTATACTCTACACCACACAGTGCTATGTCTACACAGGATTCCCAGGCACACTTACTTTTCACGCTCCCTGGCAGTACGATACAGCTTCACATCCTGCAATAGGCAAAGACACATCAACAAGCACTCGCATACCAGCAAGAGACACCAACCTCGAACAATGAACCATGGCCCAGCTTTCCAACATACTGTCTAAGACCATAACCTCACTGCATGGCAATATTTATTATATATACAGTCAAACCTCGTTAGGACGAACTTCAAGGGACTGAACACATTTGTTTGTCTTATCGGGAGTTCTTCTTATCCAGATCTGACAAAAAATCGATATGCATATCAGATGGATTGTATTTTACGTGAAGGTGCATGCTGTGGTACATGGGAAGCATGTTATTCTTAACATAAGCCAGAAACAGGTAAGTACAATGACAAAGTGCAATGAATCACGACTGTATCGAAAGTTCGTACAACGCACTGATATTTTGTTCAAAACACGCTTGAAAACAATTTGCACTGTACGTACAATAATCGACTATTGAAAAAAAAGAAGAAAAAAGGCAGCCAGCACACGCGCACGCTCGTGGACCGAAAGTTCGTACTACATGTACATGACCACACTGACTTTGTTCAAATCACACTTGAAAATAGTTCGTCTTCGCGAAAGTTCGCTGTACAGAAGTTCGTCGTAAACGAATAATTTTGACTTGAATTGATGCCTGGCCAACCATTGGATTGGCCTTAGTTCGTAGTAATGGAAAGTTCGCCTTATCAGTGTTCGTCCTAACGAGGTTTGACTGTATTATTATTTATTCTTCTTTTACTAGGGAATTTCCAACAGGCGTCAGCGCCTTTTTACAGGGAACCCTGGGTATAATTTGATGGATGAGCGAAATTCAGCTGGTGAACTAGACATGCGGCAAGCCGGTGGAAGTGTATTCCACCTGGCAGCGCCCAAATAAGAAATTGCACTGAAGCCATATCGGGTGTTAGCGGGGGGCAGAACAAGAGCAGCAGAGACTTGGCCACGGGTGGTGGCTACAGTGCGAGCACCATGGGCGCGCAAGGTAAAGCGGTCTCGCAGAAGAGGACTAGCAAGTCCATTCAGGCAGCGGTAAACAAATACATAGGTTTTGAAGTTGAGGCGTTTCTCAAGGGCGTACAAGTTAGTATGACTGTATAGAAGAGTGGTGGGAGTCATTCTATCCAACGAAAATATTCTCTTTAATGCTACGCGGCTGGCAGTAAGAAGCTTGTCATATAGGGTTTGTGATAAGCAATGAATATATGCAGTGCTGCCAAACTCAAATGTGGACTGAATGATCGATAAATAGAAAAGTCGTTTGCCAAAAATGCTGATATTCTGCTTTGCATGGACCTTCCTATTGACATTAGCACATACTGCATCCACTTGGGTTGAGAAAGACAGATGTTCGTCAACCAGTACCAAGCGTAAGCAGATGGGACTATGGAAGTGCCCCGGCGGTTGACTGCGGTGCCAGGTGGCAGCTCCGTGCCCGGTCGCCGGAGCAGGACAGACTGAGTTTTGGACGGGTTTAACACCAGTCCCTTCTGATCTAGGTAGCGATCCAGAGCGGCAAGGTCAGCACTCAGCTGGGTTGTGATGATCTGGATGGACTTGTGCCTGATATAGAGTGTGATATCATCGGTATAAAGTTGATTTAATGCATGTTGGAAGCACTGTGGTGCATCACGGGTGTAAATGCAAAATAGCAATGGGCCGAGCACGGAGCCTTGTGGGACGCCTCTTGTGCAAGGGCGGGCCCCACCTAGCTGTTGTCCTACTCTTACTCGCTGGACGCGTCTGGTCAGGTAGCTTGCAAACCAAGCAAGTGCAGTGTCAGCAATGCCAAGCATCTTCAACTCGTCAATGAGCTCTTGATGCTTAACTCGGTCAAAAGCTTTGCTCATATCTGCAAACACTATGCCGCAGTACTCGTTGTTATCAAGGACTTTGAGCCATTCGTCGACCACTAGCGCTAGGCAGTCCTCACACGAGCTGTTGGTACGGTAGGCAAATTGATTGTCAGGCACGTACATGATGTTGTATAACTTAAAGAATGCAATCAGCTGCTCCAACACAACTCGTTCTAATATCTTGCTGCATATGGGCAATAATGAGACTGGTCTGTAATTAGTAGAGCTTTTTGCATCGCCTGATTTGAAAACTGGGCTGACTGTGGCATTCTTGAAAATATCTGGTACGCACCCTGTGCTCAGAGATTTATTGATAATATCAGTGAGAGAAACTGCTATGGAATCACGACCATGCTTCAGTACGGCTGGTAAGACGTTGTCAGAGCCAGGTGACTTACTTGTGTTTGTTGCTTTGAGCAGTGTGGTGATGTGCGCCACAGTTACAGGTCGAAAACGGGACAGTCGAGCAGCAGTAGTTGGCTGTTGGGTGGCTGGGCGTAAACATATGTCAGCAGGCCGGCTTGGATCGTGCACTATGTTAGCAAATGTCTCTGTCAGACTACTGAGAGATCCACTTGGCTGATTTCTTACTTTCCGCCTGCCAGACAGACTGTTAAGAAGAGCCCACTGACCTCTAGGATTTCGTCGGAGTGCCGAGAACTGGTGCATCAGGAAACGGGATTTCAGTCTCCTACTCAGAAGCGTCCCCTCGCGTCTGACAGAACGATACTGTTGCTTAAGAACCATATTCCCAGGCTGCGAAAGGACTCTACGATGCAGAGTAGTTCTGCGCTGCAGCAGTTTCCGTAACTCTGGTGTTGCCCACGGTTGAGGCTTAGGTTTGGGACAGAGGGGTAGTCTAACTTGTTTAGATGGGGCATGCGTATCAGTAACAGCAGCGATAGACGTTAGAAGATGGCAAGAATAATAGGCATCAGGAAGCTTCAGCAAATAAGAAGAACACTCGGAACATCATAATAATAAACAACATACATGTACTTTCCATTGGCATCAGTATTCCGCGTAAGATTTTCGTCGCCTGTGTGGTGTGTTTCTCCACCAATGAGCGCGTACTATGATTATTTATCGCTGTTCTCACACTTTACCATTTTAGCAGCTTGCATATGCCATTGATATATGTGGAAAGCGCGCACGTGCGCCATTTCTGGTGTATAAGAATGATCATTCCTCCATTATCATCATTATCATCCTCTACTGATGAGCTCCGACAGGGAGCGAAACAGCTGTCTAGAGGCGTGGAGCAATATTATCTCTCAACGGAAGTGTCCTTGCTGGTGTCTGTATGGTTCGGCTGAAGAGCGCGTGGTTGTGATGAGTTGGGAATGCAATGAATTGAAAATATGGCCGAAAGCTCTGTCGCAATATTTAGTTACTCGGAAAAGTATTTAAAAAATTGTCAGGCGTACTGAACTAGACTGTGGAACAGACGTTCCAAAACGCATGGAAATACTGGAGTAGAACAAAACAGCACTGCACGCTATAACAAACAAGAACACGGAGGCACTTTGAAGCAGCTGAATGGAATGGGCCTATAGGGCTCCGAAGTGATGTCGTCACATATACCTGACTGTGACAACGCATGCCAACGAAAGTTCTGGGTACAAACAAACAAAGCGCCCCTTTACTCAACATGACATGTATTCCTGCACTAATCTGATAATTCCTTATGGTGGGGATCAACGACTTCTTAGAAGGAAAAAAAGCTCTTCTAGGTATCTCTTGCCGATAGTTAGCTGTTAGCATGGCTGATATAGCCACGGATAATCTCCCCAGTCTTCTCGAAGTGTGAAACAAAGCAGCCGCGCGCGAGCTACGCCAACATACTTCATAGCCATGATTGCCCTTGATCACCCTTCGATTCTCATCCATCGGGATTACTTCTTCCCCGGGCAAATTCCCCCTCCCTCTTGATGCGGATGGTCCTCAGTCGACATAATCAGTGGCCGGGGACACATCCATTGTGGAGAGATACAAATCCGTGTATGCAAGCAGGTAGACTTTAAAGACTCAGTTTACGCCCTTATCTGAACGACTGACATGCCGCAAGCCACCTTGGCTACGCGTTAGTGCTACATTGTCCATTGAAACGACATGTAAATTGCATTTGCACTGAACTTTCCAACATTTCCGTTGGTCCCACTTAGAGCACAAACCCTAAGCACGTTTACATGGAATCAAATGCAGCGTGCATACGAAGCAGGAAAAATATTGGAATATGCACATTACCTCGTACAGCTCAGGACGAGCCCCTCCTGCTCCAGCAACAAACAGAAACAAAAGCAAACATCCCTGTTGGTTCTTCAATATCACAGTCTTGCGAAGTCTAGCAACTTGACTCCTGCTAGTATCTTCAGTTCCTACCTGATTGCCCACCCTGTGGGACACCTGAAAACATACTGGTGTAAGACTCTACGCCAGCTTCAGACCACAGCCACCACAATTAAGTGCACTGACTTCTGCAGCAGCTACAAGTATTTCCTGTCACTAATTTTGGGCAAAGGCTCTAAACCCAAGGGAAAAAGTCTAAACAACCACGATCCTCTTCCACTTCAGGACGTAAGACATCGATGAAGATCTCATTAAGTTTGCATTCCAGGTTCAATCTTTCAAAGTGACCAAAAGTAGCTCGAAGCACTCCAAAACGTTCAAAAGATGAAGGCTTCATGCAACAAGCAAAGATTTTGGAATTTGGGACAATCCATTGTTGAAAATAATGATGACATGATCGGCAACTCACAGCATACATTATGACGTAAGTAATAGTTGTAGGTTGGTTGCCATGAGAATGTAGCCATGGTGTTACGGAAAATGGCGGCCGGCCACGGTCACGAGAGCGAGCAAGCATGTAAAAAGTTGCGCAGGGAAGTGCAAGTCGTGTAATGTTTTCGGATGAAGATGAACTGACAAAAAAACAAGCTTTCGTAGACTTCTTGGTGTGAAACGCGTGCAGTAGGCTCTTTCTTGGATCCGTCCTGCCAGGTAATTGTCGTCGTATAGTATCTTTGTGAACTTCGATTGAGGCAGATTACTAACTTCGAATATACAATGGCAGACGTCAAGCCCGATCCAGATGTGAAAGTCGAGCCTGAGGCAGCTGAGCCAACCAAGTCGGAAATTGCCATTATCGAACAGACTGAGTATTATTTCGGCGATGCTAATATTCGTCGGGACAAGTTCATGAAACAGACTCTGGATGAGAACGATGGTTGGATGCCAATGGAGATCATGCTCAAGTTCAATCGCCTGAAGCAACTGAGCGAGGATAAGCAAGTTATCGCTGAAGCATTGAGGAAGAGCACCTCTGGCCTGCTGGAAGTATCTGAGGATGGGAGCAAAATGCGTCGCAGTGCTTCTCGACCCGTGCCCGAATGGAACGACAACGTGAAAAAGGACACAAACAACCGCACGGTGTATGTTAAGGGCTTCCCAAAAACATCCACTCTGGTAGAAGTTGAGTCTTTCTTCACATCCAATGGCTTCGGCAAGAAGGCCGTGTGGAATATCGTCCTGCGCCGCCAGCTGGACAACAAGGAGTTCAAGGGCTCCGTTTTCGTAGAGTTCTGCGACACTGAGACAGTGGAGAAGTTTGTCGGCGGCACTTACCGTCTTCCTGAAGCAGAGGAAGATCTGTTGGTCTTGACGCGCAATGATTACTACAAAAGGAAGGAGGGTGAGCGCAAGGAGTTAAAGGATAAGCTTCGGGAAAGTGCTGTTGCAGCTGCCATTGCCACAGCTGCTGATAACACAGAGTCAGAGGAGCTTAAATACGAGAATGGCTGCGTCTTGACTTTTGACAAGTGCGGCGAAGAAACTACTCGTGAATCTCTGAAAGAAATCTTTGGCAAAGATGAAGAAATCCAGTGGGTCAACTTCACTAAGGGCGATGCTGATGGCAAAATTCGTTTTGCTAGCCCTGGTGGTGCAGAAAGGGCTTTGGAGATTCTGCTCAAAGAAAATGAATCCGGCAAGGTGAGTTTGGTGCGATGTGCGTGTGTATGTGTGTGTGTGCCTATCTCTCTCTCCCTCTCTCTCTCTCTCTCTCTCTCTCTCTCTCTCTCTCTCTCTCTCTCACTCACTCCTTCCATGTGCCTGCTCCTTCCCATTTTATCATTCATCGAAGTTCTTTCTCATTAACTGCATAAAAGCATGGTCTTATTGGGCTGTACTGAGGGATCTCTTTACTGGGTTCTTGATAAGAGTGCCGATCTCCTCAGTAGTAGGCACGCTACAAATGTCGCCATCGTCCATGTTCCGTGCTTTGGCAGGTTCAGCTTTACGTCGCTTCTCCTTACGCAGCCACTTCACGGCTTCTCCAGCTTTATGAAATGGTTGGACACTGGTAGATTTCAGAAAACACTAACTATTATATTGGCGAAGGCTATAGCAGTAAAGTCGTTCCAGTTCTGTTTGGCTGTTGACCAAGTAGATTTGACAGCAGTAATAGAGAGGTTGCGTGCAACGAAAATTCGTAGCGCCGTAACGGGTTGCTTCCAGGGTCTTCTGTGGAAAACTTGCACTCCATCAAGGTAGATTCAGTAGAGAGCGGGGTGTATTTCCTGACGAGTCGGTCGGGGTAGTTTCTGCATCCAGTTGTTGTTGGAGCTCGGCTTTTCTTGGTGCCCAAGGCAATAACACTACTGCCAATGACAGAGAGGGGCGACACCAGAATAGAAGACCTAACAGCAATCCACGCGAAGGAGAGCAAAGGGCACGAGCAAGACTTTTACAGATACAGCACGGTCTGGCTGCAGATGACAGGACTGAAATGCCCAAGCAAGATGAATCCACAAAATGCCACACATTGCAAACGCTTGGTGCAAGGTACCAGTGTTGGTGGTGCATTCGAAGTTATGATTAAGGCTGCGAAGAGAGCTCTATACTCTTGCCAAACCGCAGTCAGTCTTGACCAAAAGGAAACAAGGTTGTTTTGTGTCTAAGGTGTATCTTCAAAAATGAAGCACGAAAAGTGTGACAGTCTATTTATTTATTCACAATCACATGGCACTGGCCAATGAAAAGGTGATGTGGGCGATAGCCAGCCATGGCTATTGATATGAAAGCATGCTTTTCGTGTATCCGTTATGCAGTCAACTGCTGCTCGAAATATAAGCCTACTTCAGTACATATAGTATGCATTGCATCATGGTGTGAACAACGCGTGTTATGTGGCCATAAACACGGCGTTTGTAGGCGACCATGCGATATGTCATGGTGGCTTTAGGCTATCTTGTGTAGAGCATGCTGGGTTCTTGGTCTGTATGCACTGAATATGTGGGTGGGTGCGTTCGTGCGTGTGAGTGTGTGGAGTCTGACTTTCCTTTCATTCTCCTGGATGGTTACCAGCAGCCAGTGCATGCCGGCGTACATGCATTTGGTATGATGTGTATGCGGGGGGGGGGGGGGGGGGGGGGGGGGGGGACAAAGACCAAAGAGTAGGGAGTCACTGGCCTGAAAGCCCACTTCAAAATATGATGCGTAATGTGGACCTTGCTGAATGGTGGCGTTCAGTTCTTCAGCACTGCAAGCTGTTTAGTGTTGCACTCCCAGCCTAAGTTGCTATAGCTTCTGCTGCAACGTTACTATCGCTGTCGTCGCCTCCAGCGGTGGGCGTCTAACATATTAAGTGTGTGTGTTCTTGGTGACATGTAGATTACGATTGACGGTGCTGAGGCCACGTGCACTGTGCTAGCTGGTGACGCAGAGGAGGAGTATTACCGCGAAGTGAGGCGCGAGGTAGCGTCGGCAAAGGCCAGGAGCCGTCAGAGCCGCTTCAACCACTATCGCCACACTGGCCGTGGCAAGTTCCGTGGTGGCAAGCGTCATGGTGGCGGTGGTTACGATGGTGCACCCCGCGCCAAGAGGAGCAGAGACTGAGCATCGACACTGGTACACGCGCGCGCATTGAATGTGCCTTTGCACGATGTGACTTGGATTTTAACACCGATCTGCCTGTCGACAAGTCGACAGCAGCACTGGGAACTGCATACTTGCTGCAGTGGCACTCGAAGTGCATGAATGGGCTGTCGACTGCATGCAGTCGACAGTGCCTTGGGCCAACTTGGCTTGGGCATGTGCCGTAGTGCCTTGTTGATCTCTGAACTGGCACCTTGAGACTTCAATGCCAGCTTTCTGAGCTGTGCTACTGTAAAATTGGTGTGGAGCCGTTAGCAGTGATCATCTTGCACTCTCAGTGCAAAGCGTTTTAGAAACTTGTACCTCGTAGTTTCATCATTGATTTACAACCAGTGGACATCCAGAATGTACTTTAATTAGCTTTTTTGGCTTCTCTGGCCTGTTTTTCACTTTCTCCACTGGCCGCATTCGCCTTTTGCCATCTGCCGATTCTGTAAGTGGGCAACAACATCATTAGTTTCTGTCCTCATTTACCTCCATGGCCAGTGTTTCGTAATCGATTCTAATCAGCTTTGCTGCATTTGTTTGTGCGAAGTCACCGTTCCCACCGGTCAGTCTCGACTCTTGTTGAAGAGGGGATAAAATGCCTGGTGTTCTTCAGGTTCGGACTGCACGTTGTGCAGTGAAACGCTAGTTTGCCGGGCGTAACACTGTCGTAACCAGACTATTTTCTGATGTACCAAGTGCGTGTTGTGTCTGGCAGTCTACTCGATCGTCAAGTCTGACTCACACTTCATTTCCTGTACAGGGAACGCTTTACACAATGCGCCAAGGAAATTGAACTCAAGTCAACTTGTTCGCACTAACGGGCGTTGCGACGCGTTTCCCATGCGTAACATGAAGTGTGAATCAGGGAGTAGTACAGTATTCTACTACTCCCTGGTGTGAATCAGGCTATAGTACTGTGTCTTCTTATTTTGACATGTACCCAATCGAGTCGCCTGCGTACGTTGGCTTGTGCTAGCATTTTCGTCAGGAGCAATTCAAGCATGTTTCTATTTCAGAGTATGGCACAACCGGGCATAATAATAATGATATGGCAGAATGCTACTTGTATAATCATGCTCAAGTGGGTATTTGTAGGATTCTTCAGAGCCAATGGATACCTATTGTCGTAGTATTGAGGAAGCCTTATCAATCATGTATGTACTGGCTATAATTTCAAAAGTACTGATGTTAGTCTAAATAGTAGAGAAGACTGATGTTATCAGAAAGCTGGCCAGCCGATCAAGAGAGTAGTCAACAATCTAGCTGCATGGGGAAAATAGAATATAACGGTCTCAACGTAGCTGACAAGAGGGGGATTCCAGATGGAATCCTGCGTAAAGCAACCCAATATTGAGAGAGTATAGTGGACAGGATTATAAAACAGTAAGCGACGTCATTTTCGCAGATCAGATAGGAACAAGGATGGGGACGTGCAAGCTAGCAGTGTGTACAGGCATACTGCACCCTGAGCAAAGAGAGCACATTGTAGAATCGTTACCCGATGGTGAATTTAACTTGACCATGGCATGCCACGAGGACACGGTTGAACAAGGGGGCAAAAACTAATAAGACTCCCACTTGATGCAATCCATTTCCAGATGCCCAAGTATGATAGCCACAACCATCAGGTAGATATACTTTCAGTTGGGCTGAAGTATGCCGTTCAAAGTGTACATGTATCTGTGAATACACAACACTACTGAGAGCGTGCTGGTGAGAAGACAGAAGTGCAAGGCAGTGGTGCATGGGGCAGACAGACTGCTCTCCAGAACCACGACGAACTTCAGGTCCGATCCAGTTGCAAGCACGCTCCAAGTGCTGTTGACTTTCCGAGTGTAACCTGCGTTTCATTTTTGCTAGCTAGCACTGATGTCATCCAGGCTAGTGAACATGTCTACCGGTACATGGCGTCGTAAGCTGGCAGCACACGGACTGACTGTCACTGCTATGCTGATGCTAGTGTAGCGCCAGGGGACATTCTCTGCAAACCACAACAGGAAGAGCACATCATATAAAAGTATAAATATGTCAGCAAAGAGTGGATGCAAACCAAGTAGAAGTCGAATGCTTTGTGGCCACTGATGTAGATCCAAGCAAGAATATTGAGTCAGGAATACACCCGGAAAGGCACACTGAGTTCACACTTCCTACATCAATGCACGGTAACGGCTGCTAAGGCCGGGCGCAACTCCTGGTATGTCATGTACTCTGTGAATACTGACGTGACCAGCGCTAGGGGAGTATGCCTGTCTCAAGCAGCCCATGTACCCGTGCAGTAAACGAAAAATAGCCTACAATAAAATGATCAGACTGATCATTACCGTGACAAGTTACTGCATTGTAGCCTTTGAACCTGGCAGGTAGTGATCACCTGCTATCACACTGGACACAGTCCCGTTCTGAGGGGCTCAGGGCACAACAGGTGAATCCCTGTTTGATGATTCATTGCAACCCGGGAAGATCACTACACACATGTAGTGTAGTGTTTGGTGTGTGATACCTGCATGTAGTTCAAGCTGACTGCGGCTGCAGTGCACATCGACAACTTGCCAGACACAGTCCCGCATGTACTTCATGTACTAGTACCTTTCTCCAGCGAATCATCTCTATCCAATCCTCCATTTCATTCTCTGTGCTGGTATAGATGTAGTACGTGCGACTCTCCATGACAAGCCTGGAAAGAAAACATACAACGAACCCCAAACATATTAAAAACCACAACTCTTTCCCTCAAAGCTAGATAAACGAAATTGAATTGAGCATGCACATCGTGGTGTCAAGGCACTTTCTGCCAGTGTGCATTATCTTCAATGAAAACCTACCAAAAATGCCATCCACAGTGTGTTTCAAATATCCTACTGTGACACTGATGATGACAAGATAATCACATGCCAAGTTTATTGTGTCAAACTCAAAGTTGATTTTTCCATCCTTCCAACTGCGAGTTCCAGACCAAAACAGTGGCAACCTGTGTTTTCAAGAGTTTCTATTACAGAGCAGTGCCATGCCAACAGCAATTCGTCCTGAGAAGACTCCCTTACCGAAAGCAATTCCTCTTTCCTTTAGAACTGTCAGTCGCAATGTCTTCCACAGAACTCAAGTCAATCGTGCGTATAGGCTTCTCATCCTGATGCAGGAAAGTACAAACAATTCAAAGTGCTTAAAAGTAAAACCAATCATCTGAAAGAGTACTCGTGGCAGAGCTGCAGGTGAATGAAAAGGAATGATTGATGATATATGAACAGGAATAAAGAGAAGGCTACGGCAGCAGAGGGCCTACTAATGCATAACCATGCAAGGTTCATTGACACCTTGAATCGCCGATATGACAGATATGCTATAAAACGGCAGGGTAAACTATAGCCATTAATGAAAAATTACCTACATCTAATAATAGATGTTCATGTTGGTGTTCATGTTGGCTTACCCCTCTTTTCTTGAAGTACTTGAGCTCGTTGTTGCGCAATGTAAACCACCGTGTCTTCCAGTTCTGCACACAACAGGCACACGTCATGGCAGGCCATTGTGCTGTATACTGGCGTGTGATTTGCATATCCAGTGCAAAATAGAATGCATGCATGCACACACAGAGACTGCAGAGCAAGAAACAATTATTGATATAAACGATGGCGCACACATGTGTACCTTTCGTATCGCTCCTTGCTTTGTCATGTAGCCTGACTTTGTCGCTATCTGTAGAATATTGGTTGAACAAAAATACAGGGAAAGACCAGGTAGTATATATACTGGTTAATCCAAGATGGGACAGCCTTCGGAAGCTTCTCAAAGGGATGGAAATAGAACATTAGAAGAGCTGTACACAGTGTAAGATTAAGAAACCAGCCTTACTGAAAGCTGCGAGTTCCGCACAGCCTGCTCATCTGCTCCCGGTGCGTCCTGGCCTGCAAACTCAGCATGCAGGCGCACACTTTCGTACATCCCTGGCTCGACTATGTCCCGGGGATAGGGATACATGAGTTGCGTAAGAATCCCTATACACAAACACACGTGCACGCACACACACGCACACACACACACACACACAGACACACACGCAAACACACACACATGACATACTCAGCAAAGGCGGCAGCAGATGCGCCCTAGTACATCAGGACACGTCACAAATCAGCAGCATATACAATGTACAACGTACTATCATACTTCTGCGCACAAGGGAAAATGTGCTTAAAACTGAATATAAGCACATGTTCACGTATACAGCAAGCATATGCGCTAAAAATATAGCCTAAAGCCTGAAACGTGCAGAAGACTGAGGTTGGTGCGACTTCGGTGATACTTGGGGAATTGTGTGTTGCTCCCTACGTGGGAACTTGCGCTATTCCTGCCCACTTGAATTCTCACTTGACTGACTCACGACTGCCATCCAGAGCATACGAGACGTCCATCGAACCTTCCACTCGGCAAACCTGCAAGAAAGCACCACTCCCTGTGAAACACTGTGTACTGAACAAGGAGTGGTGCTTTCTTGCAGGTTTGCCGAGTGGAAGGTTCGATGGACGTCTCGTGTGCAGGAACAGCGCAAGCTCCCACGTAGGGAGCAACACACAATTCCTACAGCCTAAAACACCAACAAAGCACTCTCTCAATCATCCAAATATCCAGACACGAGCTGAACATATTTACTTAGAATAGCATCAATGCTATCAGTTCTGTATGACATTGAGCCCAGCAATCCCCGGTTGTACACACACCCGGTTTGCAAGGCATGGCAATTGGTAGTTGGTTCAATGTACATCACCCCAATCCCATCATCTACAGGGAATGGTTGTTCACGGCATGCTGGCATATCAAAACATTTCACGGTTCGTGTGGGACTCGGTTATACCGAGTTTTACTCATCCGAACGCCACCACCCTGAAGAATCAAGGCGCAAGTGCAGCTCCTAATGCGGTAGAAACATGGTGTACCAAAGCAAACCAAATGACATGCACAGAGCAAGCTGCGATTCCGCAGGCTGCCCCTAATGTCTTAGGCACCATGCATGTAGCCAACAACATGCCAGACATCACACCACGATCACTTACCCGATTCGCCACCAACCACCGGCATCTGGTCAAAGTGATCCGCAAACTCCTTGAGGCTTACGAATGTGCCCATGCCGAAATGGAACGTCTCACCTTCCACCCGCACGTCATAGTGCTGGACAGCATCGGATGTCCTACGTACAAGCACACATCCATGCAGCCATACATCCATACATCATCACACAAGCACATGCCCATGCATCCACACATCCATGCAGCCATACATCTATACATCATCACACAAGGAAGAGAGGCTACAAAAATTGAAAATCTTGTTTTAGATGATGATTTAAAATAATATTATCAGTATTTACGGAGGTACGGTCTCCTATGAAAGACCAGGTTTTCAATGCGGGGAACTGCTATGCTTTAGCTGCACTACAACTGAAATGGTTGGCAAGTAAAAGACACACGCAATGAACGAACCTTATACTCAATGTGAAATGACCAAGGTGGTTAACACTGGGCCGAAGCAAGTAGCTGCCCTCGCAGCCATTCGCCATGAGTAGTGCTTCGGCTGTATGCCGGTCTAGGGAGGGATGAAACCATCTGTCAAGACAAACACAGCAACACACATTCACAGACCAGTATGATACACCATAGTGATACGCAGCACACGACACGTTGCACGGTGGCAACTTGAATAGATCGCTAGCATGCTTGGAAACCAATATTTATGGGGGGGGGGGCAGGAGAGAGAGAAGAGGGAAGAGGGAAGAGAGAGAGAGAGAGAGAGAGAGAGAGAGAGAGAGAGAGAGAGAGAGAGAGAGAGAGAGGGAGGGAGAGGGAGAGAGAGAGGGAGAGGGAGAGCTGCACGCCACCTCTGGTCACACTCCTCTGTTCTGCCATTAGACCAACTGCTCATTATAGCGGATATTTGAGATTTTAAACCCAATACTGCATTTATAGAAGAGCAATAGATCTGTCAACAGAAACGATCAACACACCAATATAGAGAGTCAGTACTCGTAACACTTGGGGTGTGACAGCCGCTTCCTGCAAATTCAACAGCTTCGTCAAGACATGTACATGTACCTGCATATGTAGCTTGTTGACATACTCGACCCAGCCATCAACAAGGTCAAACCAATGCACTATGGCACTGTACATGTACATTCCACATAGCCACATGAAAATGATAATTATTTATGGTAATCAACTGTGATACATATTTATGCAGCTTTGATAATGAATTCTGCCCCACCCCTGTGGGTAAACATTTGGATTGGAACTGACTTTATTGATGACTCTGTGAGTGGAGGATCTAAGAATGGCACAATCACCAATGAGTTCGGATGGGGATGTTCGTAAGAAAGGGCACAGGCCCAGTGGTATTGTATGCCCACGTCAACCCAACACAGCAGGATTCGTCTTTCAAATGTTCTTTGTGATCCGGCTACGAGTCTCTGGGAATGGATTCTGTCGGCAGCAAATACGGACCAGGATTACCCTGCATTTTTGCATTCAGGTATGCTGTCGATTCAGCGGCTCCTGCATGCAGCCAGTGCATGCAGCCAGTGCATGCAGCCAGTGCATTCAGCCAGTGCATTCAGCCAGTGCATGCAGCCAGTGCATGCAGCCAGTGCATGCAGCCAGTGCATGTGCCGCATAAGAACTACACTGTGCACATCCACATGCAGGTGTACATCTGGCTGCCGAGACTAAAGCCGGTACACTACTGGACTGACTGTACTGCACGTCACAGGACTGTTGTTATGGGAACAGCCAACCACAAGCCGGCACGTACAAGGGGCTGTACTCTGTGGCAACGGCACTGCATCAGGTCCATCACCTACTCATACGCGCTTGCCCACACTGCTTGGCGTCTGCGCTTAGAGAGAACGTTTGGTGCGGACACTAACGATTGTTCGGACCAAAGCAACGGGAACTGAAGCTGAGATCAAGTCACCGCATTCCCGATCACAAATTAACCCTTTCGGAGCATCTTCTTTTTACCCAGCAACGCTGCATTTGGACGTGCAACAACTCGGCAATACATACTGTGTACTGCCTGCCGCCAAGGGCGTATACAGGCACTACCGGCTCTGATACATGCCCTCATGGTCGTGCTGTTCTGGTGCCGGTGTATCAGTGTCGCTATTCTCCGTGTACGCACTGACTCGCAGGCAGGCTGCATACCCGTAACGTTGGTACACCCGTGATTAAATTGTACTGACGGTGCATGCTTTAGTAGTTGCATGTCAGTGTCGGTGGTGGTGCTCAGTGCTGCAGGCAGTGGTACCTGGATACTAGTACTAAGTCTTACACGCCTTTGCCACTGTCCCTGGAACAGTTCTGGCTAGAGAATTCCGACCTCCTGGCTAAAGTAACGCCGCACTCTAGTGTGCAGAGTGGTACTATAGCCTGTATAGGTGTGGTGCGAGGGCGGCATATGGCGCCGGGTGCGAGGGCCGCTTACCCACACTATTGTATTCATGAGGTCGGAGTTCTCGGACCAGGACTGTGCTTCACTCCACTATCTGACTTCACTTTATTGTACACAAAAAGTTATTTTTACAATGGTGTTTCGGACAGAGAGACCCATAATAGTGCTGTGGTATGGCAGTTTGAAGTCAAATATTTAATTCAAAATTGTTCCATGGGGCTAGACCGTCAAGGAAAATCACAATAGCGACCACTGCACTGGCCCTGATTATGCACTACACCCGCGGCTGTGCACGCCTGGTCATGGCGGTATATTTTGATGCCGACCGACAATGCATGTACAACTAAAATCATTACCTGAGACGTTTCAGACGATCTCGCCTCCGCAAGCTCAACGTGCCACGCTTCATGCCACAAATACACGCCACTGTTAGCTGGACACGCGGAGCGTTTGGGCCGCGTGGATGGTCTGCTCCAGAATCAGTACAATTACAAACGACCGCTATGAAAGCCAAGCCAACCAGATGGGACCGTCTGCTCTGTTTCGACCTCCAACAACATTGGCTATGCTTCGGCACGCATACCAACGCTCCAGCTAAGCGGATAGAGGATGGTGCAGGTATTACTATTGGACTCGCACCGCTATGCCACAACTCACTCAGTTGCAAGTCACTGGCAGAGTACTGGAGACCAGGATTCACTGCGATTCTCTTGCCTACAGCATGCAGTATAGCCTATAGGTCTGTTTTCACGATCAGCTGAATGACAGGGCCAGTGGTAGTGCCAGACCCAGTACAGTAGCGGTATCTTCTCCCACTCCCACTTTACTTCTACCAGGTCCAAGCAAACGGCGGTCGCGGCGTGCTGATAGTGATACATGTACTTCAAAAGTAAGTTCAAAGTCAGTTCAGGCCGTATCGGCAGCAGCGCCTGTTCCCGAATCGACTAACCATCCCGTCACAATGCAGACTACGATCGTATGCGTCAGCCCAAAAGCTATGAATGAGATCGAGAGCTAGCCTAGAGCCTAGTAGAGCCCTAGAGGGGGATCAACAAGGAGGTGGCGTCGGAGTCAGGGTCTGACTGTAACATGGTAACCTAGTGGCAGTAGTGCAGTGCAGTAGTGGCTGTAAGATCCTAGTTGTAGTGAGTAGTGAAGTGAAGTTGTACAACAGACTGTCAGTCAGTGAACAGGATGCAAAAGCTTCAGTACGTCGACTGGGGAAAGCTCCACAGTTCGCTTTCGACGAGTTTGAATGACACTCAAACATGCACTAAACTAAATCGACTGCAGTCATTCAAGGGACTCCAAAGTTCAAGGAGCGAAACTGTGAGTCAACGTTGTGTGAGAGTAGATCTACGATCGGATCGGGAAAGCCATAAATCGACTGCACTGCATGTTCTCCCAAGCAGGGATGGAAAACAAACTCGATCTTGTTGCAAGCAGACGTGAAGATCTACATGGCTGTACTGTACTGACTGTAGATCTACTGTGATATCCACATAAAATTCTAAAAAATTAATAATGTTGATTGTACCATGATTTTGTTGTGTACATCTAGGGGGGTCGGATTTCAGTTGCTAGCACTGTCTGTAGTACCGAGTTGTGCTGTGATTCATGGTTATGTTCGAACGTCTTCTATTCGAAGTAGGGTACTCCTGGTGTGAATCATGAAGCGAGGGCTGGACAAACGCAAGTCAACTGACAGTCTTGTATGGTCGTGGTGAGCCCTGACCGTAGACCTACCACTACCAGGCACCACGGCAGGGAACGGGTCTGCATCGTTCACACAATCACTTCCTTTATTTATTTCGAGTCTTGTTACTTCTTGCCATGATTTGTGGGATCGTAATTGTATTTCCAGATTCATTGGCAGCGAGCTAAGACTCATACAGACTCCGTGTGCCCGGACAAGCGAAGTGCGTTATCGGGAAAAGTGTGACTTTCGAAGTGGTCTGTGAGTGCGAGCTCTGTCTGTGATCGCCCACGTAAGTTCGCATAAACTAACGACATTACGTCGTTCTCCACACGTCTACGTTTCCCACCTCTCCAAAACTCTCATCCAAAATCGCGCTTACCCCAGATCATGCAGGATGCACTCCTCGCCGTATTCGTCATCAGAAACGCTATCCTCCGCCGCTCGTGAAGGCACTGGTGATGGCGCCACACCCCTTGAAGGTCTTTGTAGCGTTTGCGAACGACCAGGGGGACTCAAGCTTGGAGATGCCATCGCTCAGCGCAGTAGCTTCTTTACGAGTTCCTGGTCATCTAGATCATGATCTACAAGCCCGGAGTCATCACACGACCGTTCCAACGTTCTGGCTTGTACTTGTAGCGTTTCCCACTGCCATCGGCATGGCTTGTTATTCCTCCGTGTAGCGATTGAGAATTCTGCTAGCATAGAGGCGCAAACAGCAGAAGCAGAATATGGTTTGGACGCCCCTCTCTTTCTCGCACACAGGAGCTCCGCTGCGCGCTGCACGATCAAAACACCGCCGCATTCAGAAAACAAAGATAATCATACTGATGTCGTGATGATGCCTTGATGGCATTGCCAGGGTGTAAAGTCAAGAATCATCGTCGATCCTATCTGGCGATCATAAACATGCAGCCAGGCCAGGGCAGCGTGGTACGGGCATGTACCCTGCTAGCTGCTGTCGACATGTCATGTCTACCAGGATGGGTCAGGCCATGGCCAGGGGAGTTCACAGCGTCCTTTGGCAGTCGGATGCGCTGGATTGTGGTGTCAGGGGACGTTCCCAAGTATGATTCGGGGACGACCTGTACTTGGCAAGTACAGGTCGTCCCCGAATCCGGTTAGTACATAAACTCCGTTAGTACATAAGAAATCTCAAGTCCCGGACGAAACGTGATCACTTCCATACAAAGTACTACCAGTAGAGGAGACGGCTCGATACCGGGACGTTTTGACAGCCAAATTTGTATAGACCCAAACCGATCATCAGCGTTGATTTTTCACTCGAAATATGTTTGTGGAAGGAAACTAGCATGTTGAAGTTTGCTCTGGGGCCAGAGTCAATCGAACTGAGCCACTCCTTTGTGTTGACCCATTGCCTCCAAGTTGCCCAATTTTTCGCTTCAAAAAAGTTCAAATCAGAGGTGGCTCCAAACCGGACACGTTTTAGAGTGCACGTCAAATTCACTCTGGGTCTGAAATTAGGTAATTGCTATCGCTCCACGACGGCCAGTATAGAGTAACAATAAGCCTTGTGTGTGCTTCCATTAGTTTTGATTGGTATGCGGTGCTTTATTGGCGAGAGGCGAGCCGCTGTTTACCTGCGACAAGAAGTTGATTTTTCGAAAGTCGTAAAACTCAAGTCGCAGTGCGAAGCAACACGTCAAAAACTCACCTGCTTGATATGGCGCTTCTGGTCATCGCAGAGCCATGAAATTTTGGCTCGGAGTATAACACATAGTAGTCTCACTGTGACATATGTTTTCTAATCAAAATACCAAGAGAGAAAGTGAATATTGAGTCCGTTCCGGTTTGCAACCGGTGTCCTATTTGAAACCGTCCCCTCTACCAGTGCAGTAGTAAGTAGTTAGTTTGTCGATTACTAGTGCGTTTAAAATAAACCCCGTTAGTACATAACAGTCATTTCCTCCGTACCCGCATGCCACCTAAATGATAGTACATCATACATGGTTGGTCCTTTGCCTTGAGTTTTGGCCTTCCAGTGGAGGCCGCACATGCATTACATGGTGTTTCAGGTTCTTCTTGTGGACGTGATTAGCTCAGAAATCAGAGTACACATCACAAACCGACAAAGTCTGTTTTTTCGAGTCTGTCTAGACACCGCTCGCGCTGGGCATGCATGATGACGGTAAACTGTAGAATCTTCCCTGACTGGGAGTGTGACTGTTATGGTTTACAGTAACATAATTTGTATGTTATATCGAGGGAAGAAAGGGTTTGCTCCCCACATTGGAGCTCGCGCTATTCCGCCGACTTTACTTGACACTTGACTGACTCACGACTATATCGAGGGAATCAAGAATATCTCGCTCCCTAGCGTATATCTGGTATATGCAGCCACGGTAGCAAGACTATTTTGGTTGGGTCAATGGATAGCGTCAGATCGGCAGACGCAACATGCTGTCAAAACCACAGTCCGATCTACTACATGTTGTACTTGAATGTGTAGGCAGGAAACAGAATAAGACTGGAGGATTTCATCGTCGAGTTTCATCCCTTGTACATGTATCTTTGGTGTTCTTCCTTCTTTCCATGTCGTATTGCTTCACTGAATAAACCTGTTTTGGAATAAGACTGGAGGAGAGCAGTACTACAGATCAGTGATGCAACAAAATGGTGTTTTCCGAACGAACATTTCCTCAAATGTTGCTTTGGCGAAGGAACGAATATTCTATATTCTTCTGAAATGGCTCAATCACTTCACTCTATCAGACCCAACCGTCATGTTGTCTACAGATCACGTGCATAGTAAATATCCACTGGTGAAAGAGCAGATTTGACCAAAGAACAAGCTTCACAGCTCTCAGAACATAATTTCTTCCCTCTCGTCCTCAACACCGTAGGCTACAGAGGAGGTCATGGTCGGAGCAGCATAATCATGATAATACAGCAACGCAGCATGAATTATCGAGTATTAAATAGAATATTCGAATAGTCGTCTGCATTCGAATATTCTGTCTGGTATCGGTATTCTAGAATATTCCTCTGCATCACTGCCACAGATGACTCGGGTTACATGTACATGTACATGTATGTACATGCGTATCCCCTTCCAGAATTCCGCTCCTGATTTGATTCCGGCAAGTAACGTTAGTTGTTTATGTGAGTCCACCACAGTCTGTGGCCGGTGTCATTCTCAAAACCTCTACATGTACATGTACATGTAGAGGCTTTGAGAATGATTGCATGAGGTGAGCCAGTGGATCTTCTAATGCCGTATGGGTGTATACAGCGTGAGTCAGCGGATCTTCTAATGGGCGCTTAGTATACCGCGCGAGCCGCTAGTGCAAGTCGCGTAAAGCGCTATGCAGCAACTTCGCCAAAGCATCCCAACTGATGATGTAATCGGCGTAAAGTTAGGGCGCGTTCGAATTGTCTTATTATTATTATTATTATTTGTAAGAAAGGGTTTGCTCCCCACACCGGAGCTCGCGGAGCAAACCCACCGGAGCAAACCCTTTCTTACAAATCATCGCCGAAGTCGCAACCACTACTTCGTATTATTATTATTAATTCAACATCTCCTGGCTCCGTGTCAGAAGACTGCCAATATATATGAGAAGTCGGGTGGTAGCCAACCAAGGCGAACTGAATAATAAGGAGAGAAACAAAGAGAGTACTGCAAGGGGAGGCATGACGAAAATGGTGAGATTATTTAGGACAAAGAAGCTGAAGCTTGAACTCCTTAATGTCTGTGCATGCTTTAAGGCTAGTTGGCAGGGAAGACCTTCATCAACTGTTCAAACAAATTTTATAAAGACGTATCCCAGTAGAACGGTTTCTATCATTTTAGAATTTTTCAGTGGAATTGTCATGGCAATGATGACGTCCGATCAGATTGACCATCTCCACGCACTATGTGACGTACATGTAGCTATTCCAAACTCTTCGAAACTAATCCACCTCTCCCATTGGGTGAGGTTGTGGAGTTTCGATGAGCTTCGTTTTTCTGAAGAGGCCAATAAGGCCACCTCTTCAGAAAAACGAAGCTCCTCGAAAAGTCAAAGAGTGACAATTCGAACGCGCCCTTAGTATACTGTGCGAGCCGCTAGTACATAGTGCAAGTCGAGTACAGCGCCATGCATGTACGATGTATATGCAGCAACTAAGTATTAGTTACAGCATCCCAACTGATGATGTAATCGCACAACCTCTATACTGGTAGCACCATACAGTCATGTACAGTAGGTATCGGTTATAGCGTGGGTGTTTGTTTTTATTCTTATTTCAGATATTTCTTACACGCGATAAATCAAGTGTGACATTATTTTATTGTGCATCGTACATGCATGCAATGTAGTGTTACGGTGCATGCGGCTGGTCATAGTCACATAGGCTTACCATG